GTTTCACCGCTGACCACCCATATTTCGGACTATTTTTAATTTCCCAGTTCGTCTTCCGTGATGTAGTAATTCCCTTTGCAGCCACTAGCCTGAAGACGAAGGCATCATTAGGCTACGGAAATCTCACACATCGCAAATTTTAAAATAACTTGAGTATCCAAGCTGAGAAAGTGCAAGTTCTGTTCACAGTATAGAAACAAATGGAAGAAGAGACAATGTCAAAACTCCCAGTAAAGCGTGTACACAGAGCAATCGAAGCTGACTCCATTCACTTGGCCTTAGCGATGTGGATGGAAATGTTCCCTGATGACACTGAGGAACAGTGTTCAACGGCAAATGGTAGGGAACAGTCGACGACAGCTGGTACAGGAACTCCCGCAACAACGCAACTATTTCGTAAGGTTGGCTGTGTTCTGGTGGAAGGCAATGGCCGCCTTCTTGCGATTGATCGCAGCCGTGACGGTGTTCATGGATTGGCCAGTTTGTTAGTGAAACATCACGACAGAGCTAAGGATTGCAGTGTCTTTATTTCAAGAAAACCTTGTACCTACTGTTCTAAACTCTCCTTGAAGGCGGGCGTGAGAAAAGTGTCTTATCCGCCGGTCGAACCCGAATATTACGAGGCAAGGAAGGAAGAGAAGCGGATCAAGGCTCTCTTTGATGCCGCCCAAATCGTTCAAAATGTTTTTTTCCCCCAGTTAAAGAAGGAATTAGTAACCGCGGTCGAAGAAGAGTTATCAGCTAAAGCAACAACTTTCAATTATGTTCGTGAGTTTGTTGAAAAGGTTTCTAATAGATTTTGGAATGACGAATACGCGAAGGGTGTCATCGAGGGCCCCTTCCATCAAGCAAAACACGATCTCGAAAACCTTTCGAAATGGTTTGCTCAAATTTATCTTCCTTTGAAACATTCCAAGTTTGCACTGGCTGCCAAGCACATAGCGATTCCTTCAGAGAGAGCAACAAGCGCGTTTGATCCAGAAAATGATTTACACCAACGACGAATTGCAAATCACTTGCTTGCTTTGGGAAGGATGACCGTCCAGTACACCGTGGAACCGAAAACAGGGGTCGGCTGTGTCATCATGAAGGACAATGATATAGTAGCAGTTGGCTGGAATGATTTTCCCCTTAAAACAATCGAGGAAAGTTTTCATTATGCAACCGATCGAGAAAGAGACGGAAAATATCCTTTCTTCATTCACGCAGAGCAAAACGCTCTTCTCGCGCGTAACGCAAAAGATGTCACGGGGACTGTCATTTTTGTCACGAAAATTCCCTGTCACGAATGCACCCCTCTAGTGAAGGTTGCTGGGATAGGAACAGTAGTGTTGTCAACACCACTTAAACCAGTTCAGGAAAAGTACAGCCTGAATTACGACACTTTTCGAGAGGAGGTAGAGAGAGGAACCTTTATATGCTATGAAACATCTACAGAAAACGTATCATAGAACCACTGACATATACGAGATACTTGCTAAGTAACTTACTTCAGGACATGCGGAAGGATACAGCAGATGACAGTGACTTCAGATACAAATCTTTGAGTATGTTACTACTATGCGTAACGGTATCACCAGTTTTGACAATGTATAACACACGTTTTTAATCACATAACACTCTAGACATTTGATGTATTGTAACAATTCCTGCACGCCATTAAAAAAGACATTCCAGCAGTAAACAGTGAACACATTCCAACCCAATCTTTGGCAAATTTCATCTTTTAAAAAGCAAAGAATAAATATAATTGTATATATTTCATGGCCTTCTTAAAGACCCCAGATTCTGAAACTAAGTGAGGTAATTGTATTTGAGGCACATATGTTTGTTAGCTAATGCTCAGGTCTCCGGTCGGTCTCTCTGAGTTGGCCAGTAGGTCGCTAATATGTTTTTGATTCTCCTCAAGTTCTTCGAGCCTTTCCCTTACTGTAATTATATCACGATGCTGTCGATCCTAGAACAAATCAGAGATGTAATGTCACTTTACTTACATTACTATAAAGCTGCCAGTTCGAGTTTGATTTGAGTCCAGTTCGATTTCGAACCTCAATCGCAATAAAGATCATAACCACAAGCAAGCCAAAGTAGTGCACGGTAGATCATTCATATACGGTAAATAAACTGTCACGACAATCACATTTAAATACCACAAGCAAGCCAAAGTTGTGCACGGTAGATCATTCACATATGATAAATAAACTGTCTCGACAGTCACACTTAAATTATCTTTTTCAAAAGAATTAAAAACAGTATCACTGAACAAAAGAAACACATCGCTGATGAAAATCAAGTGAATGGAATTCTTTTTAGGGAGGCGGTGTGGCCGTGTGGTTAGGGTGCTGGTAATCTGGTGGGCCCGGGTTCAAGTCCTCCACCCTACTATTTACTGGATTTGTTCTTGGTTGTCCCAAATTGAACTCGTCGGCTGCGCTGTGTAAATAGCCAACTGGTCTGCCTCACACCATTTGGGATTTTCAAGTACTTTATGTTTATTTCAGTCATTGTAAAGCGCTATTGGATGGCGATAAAAATAGCGTTATATAAATAACGTACTTCTTTATTTTATTTTTGCGGAAGGACGACTTCATTGTTACACTCGATAGACTATTACACTGATAAACTGCATTTTGATGGAGTGTCATTTAACCAAAACCAAAGAAATTCCAAGATCAGTTATAAGAAAGAAAAATACCGTTAGGAGCCACTGAGAACTCTAAGTTCAAGCAAACTGCCTCGAGCGCGAGAAAACGCCGGCGGCCAGGTCGTAGTTGGTTTTAGTTTTGCGTCTGATTGGTTGAGAGATTGGCGCAAGTTTTTAAGACTACTCTCTGGGCAGTATAAATTTGTTTCGAAACTCAATTGAAAATTGTTCTAATATGAGGCGAGAACTCAAGTTTACCTGGTCTAGAGTCGAATTAAATGGCACTGGTGAGCTTGAGTTGGGAATAAACGCTACTCCTACACCCTGACTACCGTCCAGAACGCTCTTGAAACGATGCTGTTTTTTCCTAAACTGTTTCGGTGAAAAAAAAACAAAAAATAAGATTATAAATAAATAAACAATAGAAGTACTGTTTGTTTCAATTACTAGCACAAAATCTCAAACTAAAAGCATATGTTCAGATTCCTTTCAGCATGAAATCTAATGCTTGCGTTCTTTTCTTCGGTAAGACACCACTTTCTCACTACCTATCTCTCGGGAACTTGAAGAAATGCTGGGGGAGGGGGTGAGGACAGGGGTACTTGCGATAGAGGTAAGCTTTACCAAAGTTTACCGCTTGGCTGATTATTTTTTCCCTATCTCCCATCACCATTCCAATTTTCGCGCATATCAACCTCGCAAGAAACTAATGACAACTGGGAAACGCCCGTGTTATGAAATAACTCACGCATGCACTGTTGAATACTGAGTAAGCTTGTTCCTTAAGCTCTCTCTTGATTTTCTGAGGAAAAGTTTCTCTTTTCTTTGTTCTGTATCGCAGTTTTACCAAAGAACAAAATGATTAACGAAAGAGCCTAAGCAGTAAAAAAGCTAAATATTAGCAAACCTTCTCAAACTGTCTCTTCATCTTCTCATTCTCAAGCTCCAAGTGTCTCCTGTAAAAAGTAATGATCGTTACCATAATCTGCTCATGCAAGCAAATAATTATAAGCCCCACTTGCACTTCGTGATCCTTCCCGCGCTCTCGATTCAAGCTTTCTCGCTACAATACACCAACAAAAAGCAACACGGCTATGGAAAGGCTACTGTGCACACTACACACTAAGCTTATGGGTTTAACTATAATTGTAAACATTAAAAGTTCATTTTAAAACTGACAAAAATTAGCCATTAATTCAACTGCTTACTTGACTGAGTCTTTCTCTAGTTTCAGTTGTTCCTCACGAGCTTCTAAGACTTGCATTCTATCCCTAAGATCACTGATTTCTTCTTTGTGTTTCTTAGATTTCTGTTAAAAGAGCAAACCTTGATAAGTGAAAAAACTCAGTTGTCAGATATGTCAAAAAGTGCTATACACCGCATGTCGCTTGTTAGCACCCCACAAAATATCTGAGGTCTCACAGTCAACAAAGTAAATGAGTCCCATCCATACTTTGTGGGGCCTTGCTTGGAGGGTACACTTGGAATCAGTACAGTATAAACCATGGGGCTTATGAAGTACGAGATTCCTTAGCTAGTGGTATATCACCTACAAAAATGGAGCGATAGCGGCGAAATAGGTAAAACAATTTAACGAAAATAACTAACCAACAAAAAACAACAATGCAAAACAAAAGTAGGAAAAAAAACAAAAACAAAAGCAAAGGAAAGTAAAATATAAGAAAGAAAGCAGTTTTCAACTTGCTTTTAAAAGTTGCCAAACTTGTTCAATATCAAATGTCAGGTCGGAGCTTATTAAAACACAAAGGACCTTAATAATGAAATGACAAACTGAAGCCTTATGTTGGTCTTGCACTTGGGGACATCAAACAGAAGTTAACATTTTTTTCCCTCAGAAATTATTTCTAGATATAGTTTCGAGCAACATGATATTTCCTTTCAAAAACAGAACTCCTTTTCAAGATTTTTATCATTCCACAATCGATCGGGACATGCATTTGTTGCCCAAGTTAATTCCTCTAAGACGCGTGCCGCGAATTATTCTGCGTCCGCGAAGATTTTAGGACGGAGGAGGATCACAAGACACATAACGATCCATCTGATTATATATTAGCCACACCTTCTTGTACTCTTTTTCCAGTTTTCTTGACTTCTCCTCCTTTCCTTTTAATGTTTTCTCTAAGTCAGTGATTTGTTTTACCAATTCATTCTTTTCATCCTTCCACTGTTGTCTGAAAAACAGAAATCATAACTACAACAGTAAGTGCGGTGGCTATAATTATAACTACACAATTGCATCGGTTGGCAGGTAAAACCTTCCCTAGCGAAGCTAGATTTGATGGCGTTGAAAAAATTCAGTGATTACCTATTTTGTTCAAGATTGCCCCGACTTTCCTCCTGTTGCCTCTGTTGATCTGTTCTTGCAATACCTGAGACAGAGAAACGTTACTTCTTAATACCCAAGATTTACAGTTAGTTGCATAACTGTGCGTTGAATAGAAGGGTAGGTGCCGTGCAACACAAGAGTTTTGGAACATCAGAACTGAAAAACTACAGAGCGTTTTTTCGATTCGGCGCCATAAACCCAAAATCAGTTATCACAACGGAAGAAAAGACATACAATACACGGAGGCGACGAAAAGCCAAAGTAAACACACGCGAACAGTCGAAAGCGGCGGATTACTGGAGGCGTGGTGGGGGGGGGGAGAGAGAAAGAGGGGGTTAGGGTACTGGTAATCTGGTGGGCCCGGGCTCAAGTCCTCCACCCTACCATTTACTGGATTTATTCTTGGTTACCCCAAGTATAACTCTTCGGCTGCGCTGTCGGGGGGAGGAGGGGAGGAAACAAGCAATCAGAGACTGCAACAAAGAACAAAGTATTGCAATTCCAGAAAACTTTCCACATCTAATTGAAAATTGCTATTAACTCATCATTGTTTCTTACTTAATTCGTCATTGAGTAACTCTAGTGATGTTTTGAGCCTGTCATTTGCTGCCAAAAGCTGCTGCTCGTTGCTCAAGAGACTGAAATAAAAAAGAAAAACCTGTTATAAAGAAACTCCCAAATGGATAGCGTTATTTACATGAGTTAAATGTTATGGACGTTCTGCATCATCACTAAGTCCAGTCCATCTATCTAGTTTCCATCGTCGTGAAGACGACTCAATTCCCACATCCCCTCCCCAAGCTTTTCTAATGCACTCCATCCTTATACCGTAACTATCAAAAGGGTAAAGCTACCTGCTTGATTTATGAGGCAAAATAGGTCTCGATGTTATATAATCATCACTTCAGAGAAGTGGAGGGGTGACGGACGAGATATATGTATGCCCCTTTCTTAGCTAGACTTACTGTAAGGATTCGACTTCCAACCAGTTTGCACCCTCTTTTCAATTACTAACAACCTCACCTTTGACACTGGTTTTGAAGCTGCTGCTGTTTTTGCTTCAAATCCTGGGTTCGAGATTTTTCCTACAAAGCAAAAACTTTGTGAGGCTTATTTGGCTTTTTTTTAAACATGGAATGTAAACTAGCCTCACTTCTTTTACTTTACTAAAATATGATTTATTCTCCTATCTTATACGACACGGCCACCAACCTTGTCAAGTTCATCCGCTGTGTTTCGCATTTCTTGAAGTTGATTCCTCAGCTGATTGCATTCCTTTTCTGCCACGTTCTTAAAAGTAAAGAGAAATCAGACATGAGTTTACGATTAAAACTGACCACACGTTCGGTTATGTGGATCACTGCTTAAAACCTAATCTAGCACTGTACTTTAACACTACAGGTAAATAACTTTTCTTAAACACGACTTGATTTTAAAAGTAACTCAACGTACGTTTTCATGATGACGCCTTTATAAAATGCATAGGTGAGCCCGGTCCGGTAGGGTAGTAAGTGCGAATGAAAGAAGTGTTTATAGAGGAGAGGCCCCCCTCCCCCTCCCCCTCACCCCCTCCCCTCCTTTTGCCGTGACATTTCCGCTTATTAGGAGTACAAACCTTAAACTCTGTGGCTGATCTGACTTGATCTTCAAGTTTCTCAATTTGAATTCGATGTGCCGCATCAGTATCCGCCCTTGCTCTGCAAATAAATCAAAACTGTCAACAGATTATGCCAACGCACCCTAACACGTGCATAGAGGGGGGAGGGGGGCTGGGTTGGTTGCTTCACAGGTTTATGGACAGGCAAATTACTAGGGATACCGGGGAACCCTCATTGGCTAAAAAAACCTGGTTCAAATCCCGCCGTGTTTCTAGTTAGACGTTTTGGTTGTAGATAGCATCGTTACTCAAATGGCCTTGTTCAGTTACGTTAGTGTTTGGTTGAGTTAGTTATTCAGTTTTTGCTTTAGGAAAGTTCGAAAAATTGTCCTGATTCACAGAACCCGAATGCTTCGCAATTCAGTTGGTGAAGTTTTAGCGCTAATTTCTTTAACACCAGCCATGAGAAAGAAGAACCTTCTAGGTAAAATCTACTTAGCAAAGACGAAAACAGAAAAAAAAACAATATATATATAAAGTCTTTGTTATGAAATACAATTATACCATAAAAAAAACTTTAAAGGAAAATCTTTGCATACCTTTCCATCTGTCCTACGCTGGCTTCCAACTACAGAGTGAGAGAAAAAAAAAATTACTTTTGACAGCCCAACTTACAACTTTTCCTTGCTCCTCTTTACTCCTAACGTCGGTATGCATGGTTTGATGACGATCAGATGCAAAAGTTGATCTTAATTGGTGCGTTAAAACTTGTGTTTAATAGCTAACATTAAGCGAAAGCAAACATCAAGAAATAGAGTGCAATTGTAACGAAGCTGTACGTTAAAGAACCAAAGACAACACCACCTTGAGGGATGACACATTCACAGAAATTACTTCGATGAGCAGTAGTTCATGTGAGCATTTTGAGGCTTTAACCTTTTCTGATCGAATAATCTCTCGGAACAGATCATGAACGTGTCTGAGATCTTTCACTATTTTCAGTGTACCCTTCAAAAACTAACCTGAAGTTTAGCTTGTTCTAACTGAGTTATTTTCTCCCATTCCACTTCTCTCGCTGATTGCACTCGTTTACTCAGTTCATGTTCCTGGTAAAGGAGGATAAAGTTTAACAATGTTCAGTGTAGAGGAAACAAGTGCAATCTCCTTTGGGCAAATTGGGGACAGTAAAAGCATCACCAGATATATTCTTTGTCGGGTAACACTGCTGACTTATCAGCAATTCTCCATTACCAAAATGATCAAAATGTTCCCGATGCGTTACAATGAAAATGAGTTTTGACCCATGTCTAGATGTCACTGGTTTGTTCCGAAATGGTCTCATAATCTTGTAAATGAAAGAATTAACAGCTCTAAATACCTTCTCGTCAATGGTTTTCTTGAGGTGTTCCACTGTCCTTTCCAATACTTGTACTTTATTGTTATAATTGTCTAATTCTGCTTTTAATGCATCACATTCTCGTTCTAGATCTCCTTTGTTCTTCATTAAGCTGAGATTCAAAATGCAATGAGACATCATGTAGACTCGAATAAAGTAGGTTCCAAAGCATCAGTTCAAAATAATGAACACTCCTCTAATTTGCTATCCAAATATGATAAAATGTAAATCTACCACCACAAACCTGATTTTCAAATTGCTCAGCTCAACTTTGTGTTTGTGCGACATTTCTTCCATTTGGCTGAGAATCAAACAGTAATACTTTGAAAATCAGTTTTCGCATAATTGAAATGCCAAAGAGGAACAATGTACTGTCAAATATCTTTCCTACATGAGTAATTTCCAGACAAAAAAATAACAGTAAATAAAAATTTTACGCCATTTATGTAGACCCCTGGTGTGACAAATTCCAGGTTCGCAGCACAACCAAACACAACTCAGAATCAATCCAACAATTATTCAAACTACATACAGTAAAAAACTCGCGTATATGAACCTAGAATTTAAGAACCTGCTAGGCTAAAATTTCCTAGCTAAGCTCCCCTCTTAAAAGAACCATTCTAGGCTAAAATCTCGGTGCAGGTTCATATTTTTAAAATGCAGAGTTTTGTTCAAATTTGATACACTACATCGCATACAATACAAAAATGTAACGAAAACTAGCCAGAACACCGATAGAGTTATAATACCACAATACTGTACCATCAATATATCCATAGCTGTGTAACATATCTGATTGTGTGTACACGATGTGTAAAGCATGGCATACAAAAGCGCAGTATCACGCCCACCGATACAAGTTGTTTTTCTTTTCAAACAAAACTTTAGAACGCGATTAATTACCTAGGTAGCCTGAATGCAAAGTTATTAAACTTGATCCTGACCTTTTTTGTGACATGGCCTCTTTTTCCAGTCTATTTATTTCTGTTGTCATCTCCTCCTTCAACCAAAACAAAATAAAACAATGCAAAATCAAGTGTCAAAATGATAAAATAGTAAAGTCAAATTTAAAAATCGACTTGGAGATTTATACATGCGACAACATTTTCTATATAAATACTCTTTCACTTATCAAATGCTCTCATCATCTTTGTAGAGGTTTATACCTTGATAAAACAAGTAATGAGCTAGAATACAAAACTGCATAAAGAGATCTTGTTTACAGAGAATAGTTATGTTTAATAATCAAAGACAACCAAAATTGGTCATTTCAACCAAACAACCAAAGCCTAAGCCTTTATTTGAATGAGGTGACCTTGTTGTGTTAGAGATCAGAAAGGTCATGATAACAAATTAATTTGCATTTCAAAAGCACATAAAATTACTAGCCTCACTCCTGTTCAAAGGCTTGGCAACCAAGCACACAACTGTAAAATGGACTATTACTACATGTACAAGTTTATACTTCAAAAATGTACTAACACCAAATTGAAATTTTGTTGACTGCCTTTGGGTCATATTCATACAAATCATCCCCTCCAGTGTAATAAACAGGGTAATAATATATGATTTCACCATATATACAGTATGTGCATGAAAGTTCAAACCTGTGTTTCATTGTTTTTCTGATATTCTGCCTGTAAAGTTTCACATTGGAGCTTTAAAGAATCTCGTTCAGTCTGATAAGATACAATAAAACAACAAGAATCACTAGGTATTCCATTAATTTTGCAACACGCAAGCTCCTAATTCACTATAAGGCTTATATCATGATATTAAAATACCACAAACATCATTATAAAAGACTCATACCTCAAGTGATTTACACTTTGCGGTCATTTCTGTCAGTTGTCGCGCTTGCAATCTGGATACCTGGGATATCAAAATATTAAATTATTCCCTTTGTTTTAAATAAATGAATTCCAAATTACCTATAAAGATATTATACAAGACCCCTCCATAGTAAACCCTGCCGAGACATACAGCTGTAATGCTCCCAAGAACTCTTATTCCAGACCTGCGTGTGTGGTTTAGTTGGACAGTGGTTTACTTTTGAAGCGTACATGAAAGTGAGGCTATCAGGTCAAGCTTCCCTGAATATTACTAGAGTTGTGAAGTTAATTATAAGCATGAGCATCAAAAATGTAAAATCATTTTCAAACTCAGCATTTTTATCTGCTGAAAAAAACAATCTTCATGGCTTACCAGCCAATTAGTCTAATAAACTTTTATTATGACTGCATTTCACTCACATGGTCAGATTGTAAACCAGATGTTTCCCGCTGAGCTCTGATTTCATCCAGTTCACTTAAGGAGGCCTTTGATCTTCATGTGAAGCTGCAGAATACATATAAACAAGTTTAATATGGACAATCTTATCAATGAGATTAGTTGATATAATCACTCTTAGATAAAGCAATTGTGCAGAATGCAAAGCACACCTGAGCATTTTCTCTTTGTAAAGCCCTTGTTCTTTGGGCATCATTTGGACCTTCTTGTTGCAATCTCTGTACTAGTGAATCTCTCTCCTTCTTAAGTGATGCAATCTTAGAAGCAAGTATTCCATGAAAAACAAAGTTAACATTAATTCCAATTATCCTCTTTATAAATAACAAAAGTCCCCTATCTAAAGTTGTGGGCTAAATAGCAAAAAAATTTTGACAAGGTTAGAGGCTGAGGGTGACCTTGTTGTGATATACATTAAGTTATGCTGTTGTGAAAATTACAGTTCTTCTCTTTCCAGTAACAAGGTCAACCTCTACCAAACTCTAATACAAAGGGCTTGAAAAATGATACAGGCACACAACTGTAAACTGTACTTGTAGACTTAATATCAGGTACAAATAACTGTGCATTTCACAGGCTCAAAATAATAGAAAAACTTTATCAAACATATTTATGCTACATATATGGTACATATACATGTATACTGAACTATGTCATAAGGTGTGATGTAACTTAATCATAGTCTTACTGACTACATGTATATCCTTTCAAAAATTCAAAAGTAAGTATTGATTATCAATTATTGTGACATTAAAAGATCATCCTTATCATCACTGGTTACAGCTGAATGTAAAACTTTTTATGAGGGCAATGAAGTCTCTTGAAAAGAACTGCTACATAAACTTACAAATAACTTTTTGATAAACAATTATTTTACCTCCATATCATGGTGGGCTTGCATTTCATCAATAATTTGTTTGTGTTGGGCCTGAGAATCAGTTAAAAGAGAATGAAGAGACCATAAATTGAATATTTATTTGACACACTGCAAAAATAAAACTAGCACTAAAAGTGATATTCAGTATATCCACACTATAAGTGTGCTTCATTACATGCATCTCAATTTTTGAACCATAAATCAATAAATTTGAGGAGTTAACTACAAAAAGATCTAACAACCTGTTCATGTTCATACTCAGACTTCAAGAAGGAGTAATCATATCGCAACTTGTTGAAGTCACTGTTAGTACAAAAATAACAATTAGTATTCTTCATATATATAAATGCTATAATTTGTTCATAATCATAATTACATACTTTTTTGGCAATCATTATAATGATGTTTCTTTCCATTATCACACTCTGCATTTCACTGAAAATAATTTTCATCCAGGAAAAATCAGTTTAATTATTATAATAATGCAATAAACAATATCACAAATTGTGATACATCAGCTTCCATTCAAGGATATGCAGCAGAGTTGCTAAAGTCATAGCCAAAAGCAACTTCATTCAGTTTTATACAGCTGTTTTGTAACAGTGTACTTGTATCATTGAGGAATCATGTGGCATGCAAAACTAACCTTCTGTATTTATCCATCTCACTTTCCATTGCTTCATATCTCTAAAAAATTAAGGAAAATATAACTCAAATTTTTAAACACTCAAAACTTCAGCCTGAAGAGTTAATTTTGTACCTTCAAGGAAATAAGCAGGATGTTTAGTATCTCTCATAACTAAGTAACTAACTTTAAAGGCTTTCAACCCATTTACAGCACATGTATATTCTGGAGCTGTTGAATATGGTATGTGTGTTCATCAAATACAATTCCATATAAACAATTTATTTACCTCTTTGTAAGGCCCTTCTACCTCTTCTCGTAACTTAACCCTCAACAGCTCCATTCTTTGAGGTGTTACAACCTGCAAACAATAATAATAATTGTACAGTTTTTGCATTATTGACCTGATATAAAGTCGATATAACCATAAAAAGTGTAATTATGATGGGCTAGTTCAGTGGCTATAATAGCTCTCACTGCCTATTTAGGATGTATTAGTAACTATGTTGCTGGAGAAACAGCTACAAATCTTTTCCTCATAACATCATCAAGTTGACTAGAAATTACAAAGATTATAAACAGCTAAAAGCGTTCATACAATTACATGTACATGTAGTTTGTCATTTCCCAGAATCAAAGCAATCAATTAATTTCTAAACTAACAGTTTTACCCCCACACTTATATGAGGGCGGCATTTAACCAGATTCCAGTTTGATCAAGAAAATGCAGTAATGTTAATAGTTTATCATAGGTGACCTGTGCTCTTATCTCTTCACATTCGCGTATCTTAGCATCTCTTTCTGCTCTCATTCTTTGCACAGCTTCTTGGCTTTGTTCCTGGGTTTTCTTAATCTCTTCTCTGGCCTCTTCAAGTTCTCGCTCTTTCCTTTCATCCATCTATAAAACAAACGCATTACTCATGAGTGTTGTTAATTTCACACCTATCACAAAATGTATTTTAACTTAATTTTTCTACATCTATTTGCATTGGATGGTACTGTGACTGCAAGAAATCTCTCCTACAAAAACTCACATCTTGCAGCTGAAGGTGTTCAGCCTTCAAAGTCTCATAGGTGGTTCGCAATTTCTCAATTCTTATCTTTTGCTCTGTGACAACTGCTTCAAGGTTTCCCATTTTCTCCAGTTTTTGAAGAATTTCAGTCTGCTGACCTGCCATGATGATTTCTAAACAAACAATAATTGAAATAAGATGTAAAATTTGTCCATAAACATAGGAGTCATGCCCTTTGGATTTAGTAATAAAAAAATCCACTAGGGTTCTATAAATCTGATGATGGCTTACCCCACTCATTATCTAATTGTAATACAGAGTGAGAAAAGGTAATTATCCTGACATTTTGTGATTTGAACAAAATAGAACATGAGCCTGTCTTGTTGTTAAGTTTTGATTGATAAGTAGATTTATACTAAAATAATTAGATTTGCTCACAGTTCTTGTGGGAGAGTTCAATTTAGGCTCCACTCTCATGAACAGTCATGCAATTTAGTAATCTCAAACTGATAATCTAATTGTGGATAAGTTCTTTGGGGCCAGTCTCAAGTTTGACTCTAAAAGGAACTTGAGACTGCTAGACTGCACTGGAAATGTATTATATGTGGACAAGAAGCCTAAGTTGAAAAAGAGTTTTATATCACTATCTCATGGTTTTCTAGAGGTTAAAAAGTTGGCTGAAAACTGGAGCTAATGTTTTTATTTCTAAACCTTGTTTTACTAGCCAGCCACAATATATCAGTTGTACCAACATAGTAAGTAATTGTGAGTTCAACAATTAAATAAAACAATGAGCAAATCTTCCTCATCCCTATATCAACCCTTGGGATTGAAACATCAGCAGATAAGCAGTATTTTTTTTTTTTTTATCAATTCATTTGTTGTTATGACTTGTTTGTAAGCAGTATCACTGAACTTGTATCGGTAGAAATGTCTTTTAATAAAAACCAATCGTAACTCTTCAGGTAGATATATCAAAGTCAAATGCCTGAATGTATGAATACAGGCCTTGGTACTCCAAAAACTAGTCAACCACGCTGGTGACAAGACGAAAGACATCTTTCTCTGGTTTACTTTTAGTGACGAACTAATTCTACAAAATTTCAGAAGGTAAAGGAGAGGTTTTAAGTTAAAGTTACAAACAACCAAACAAAAATTAATGTCCATTAAAACGTTACGCTAGCTGATAATTCCTGTCAAACAACTCCATTTTTTGCGTCACGTTTCATAATGGGTTCCATATAAGTTTCAAACGCTCTCTTTCTAAACAAAGACCACCAGTTCTGCATTGACACTTTAACAGCTCTGGCTTGAAAACAAAGCATTCAAGTACTTGCTAACATAAAATAAATTCACCAAAACATTGTTGTTGACTTAGCGGGCTGAAGTAAAGTGATCTCTTAGGCACGACTGCGATGGAACTTAGCAACATTCAAGCTGTTAAAGATGTTTTCTACTATTCTGCTGTAAAGTAAGTCTCACAGAAGGTTAAGTTAACTTAAATAACTATCGTCCTATTAAAGTAATCTGTGGTAAATCTAGCGCCTTGTTTGAGCAAAACACTCCTAATTAAGTGGAGTTCATTACCAACAAATGCACATTAGAGCTTTGTACGAGCCATGAAGATATCAACTTACCTCGGTTACTTTAATGCTGCCTTTATCCCGTTATTGCAATGTTTTGTGGTCTCAAAAACTTAAAATCATTCTTGTAACTATAGAAATTTAACGATTTTCCACTATTTACAGAAATACAAAAGAAAACTGCCACAGAATTACAATTAAAGGCGTCCGTCGCAACCACCCGCCATCTTAAATTAATGACGTCACGAGGCCTTTGTGTGGCTAACCACTGACACCTTGCTGAATCTGCGATGACGTCTGCGAAGGTGGCACGGTAATCGGTGCAAAAAGGTGACCCTTTCGTATATCAAATACCGATATAAAATCAACACTAAGGAAAGCCGAAAACTATGTGAATTGTACGCTTGTCGAGAGGTTATTTTACATATCCTAACGCCTGTTTAGAGGGTTTCGATGGGGTTAACCCGGCGTTAGCCGTAAAACGGTCAAACAAAATAATAATTAGCCGCATGGAAAGATATCCGTTAGCCGGAAATTGGCCGAAATTTTAACCGTTGGCCGCAAAAGCCATCACCCATTGATACCCTCTGTTTAAATGTTGCTTGATAAGAACGTTCACCGTCTCTTACAATAAAGTTTTCCGTAAGCCTGATAGATAGCCCCTTCCCACCCTCTTACGCCTTAAGCATCATCAGGAGCCCAACATCTGGCATTATCAAAGCTCTCACATCCTGCGTTTTGGTAGTCATTCATAAAAAAAAAAATTTTTCCCCTCAATTTATTGTATTCAGAATTAATGACGGGTATCGCCCTTCATTTACAAACACACATCGCAAAGGATTTTCTAACGTTTTACTAACATTTAATGCACACAGGTCATTCAAAATCTTTTATATTTGAAATATAAACGCAACATGAATTTTGAGCCTCTTTTGCGTTGTAAAATACTTTCAAACTATAACCTTTTTAGCAATATAAAAGGTGAAGAGAAATATACATATACCAGGCCTCAGCTGGCGAATAACTTGACAACAAAATGGAAAATCGCTAAGAAACAGAAGTTATAACAATCTAGTAACCGTAGGGGAAGACTATGGAACCTATCGTTATCTTCTTGTAGTTATGCAAAGAAAGATTTAGGTGATTTTCCATAGTCTCCTTGTACTATTTGGCGACGAATGAACCCTCCCCCCCTCCGTTTCCCCTGGAAACCATGGGATCCCCCCAAAAATTCTCCTCGCCTGACTCAGACGAGAAATAATGATTTGTTCCCAACGAGAGGGAAAATTAATCTTAATACTGCATTGTGATTCTAGTACAGCATTTAAGAACGTTGCTGTTTTCAGTACTTTAACGCAACATATCATAAATGGAAAGAATTTAAGAACTACGAAATCGAGTAAATGTGAATGAATGAGTGGCCCGTAATCGGATCCTTGTGTTTGCGCAAAGATCTCTTGGATCGTCACGGGGCAAGCATTGCAAGTACATACATAAATACAACTGAAAAGACTATAGTGATTTAATTCCTCGCGACTTATGGCTAATTCTGTGATATGTCGAGACCATTACGCGATGACGATTTCAAAATAGCCCTCACGCTAGGAGAGATGTTTATAGGTATATTTTATAACATATTTCGTGGTAATTCTAATAGAAACTTACAATTCCCTCGTATAAACATTATCTTAAACCATTTATGATAAAAGCGCGACGAAAAAATGATTAATCTCTCCAAAATCGTTGTTTTAGACGACGAAACAACCTTTCGCCATATATTTCCCTCGAGCAACTTGCCATGTTTGCCCCAAGGCGATCTCAGAAAATTTTGCGTAAACGAAGGATCCGGTTACAGGCAACTTATTCAACTGTAACAAAGATTTTACATAATTACGTGAACCTATTCGACAAACTTCATTAAAAGGAGACTGTAGCGCGTAAAACTCATCAGAAACTCATGGCCGCACACTCATAAATCAAGCAACAAAGGAAGTGTCCTCGAAGACTGGTAACGATATATTAATTGCTTAGTGTGTAATTAAATATTTATAATGCTGCCTGTGAAGTCCGTGTATAATTTGAAAACTGAACTGATTCGTAAATCATTCTGTGCCAAATTTTATGATATCCAGATCGCCTTCCGGTCGAGATTACATTTAAGGTAAGCAGCGCATTATCCTAATCTTATCTGAATTGTTTTGATATTCCTAATCATATCAGTATCACTCTAGTAAGATCTCTTTATCTTCGCTGAAAATATAAAGAAGGCAGTTTGAACTTATCTCCCCTTTTGGATTAAAAAAAATGATCTGGACACATCAAATACTTTTAATCCCTTCAAAGGTATAGATATATCGCTCAATAATACTTTTTTTTTTTTCGAAAATGAGACGATGCTGTGGAAATGACCCGCTTCCCTTGCATAATTCCTGATCAAGAAGTCATTGAGCAAGGATCTTGACAGGATTAGAGTCGGTTTACACTTTACAATTTGGGAATGGCCTGCGTAAAGAAACCTTTTTTAACGAAGCAGTCGAACTTTACTCAAAAGTTTGTTAATTTGAAGATCTTTATTACGTCTGATGTAAACTCATCCATCTTAAATCTATCGAAAAGTTGAGCTTTCATTTAAAGTTGATGTTTTTTTTATGTAAGTCTCTCTTAATCGCTGGGAATTTTCAGATAATTACGGTCAGTTACAGTAAAAAGTCATATGCTCATTAAACGGTTACGTTGACTGAGCAAAGAACGGGACATTTTCGGAAAGTTTATGACTCTATTGAAGGGGTACATCTGTTTCAGTTTCGATCAGTGATTAACGGGTTTACAGTGCAAATTTTGAACAGTATAGTTGAACTTGTTCGAATGTTTGTTAATTCACAGATCATTGTTAGGTTTTCTTGCTAATTTGGAAGAGGGTCTCACGGCAAACGGTTAAAATTTTGGCCATTTTATGGCAAACGGTTACAGTCATTCCATTGCTATCAACACAAAATCTTTTTTATGGTTACTTTCTTTATGACTATCGGTTCAGTTAAAACTTGTCATTTAGCCAACGGCTAAATGTTTTGGTCATTTTGTGGCTATCGGTTAACCCAATAGAGACTCTCTTATAAATAACATCATGATCTTGTCAATGGCGCCATGGCGAAATTTTGTTTAAAGTTAATGCCTTTTGTTTGATATGTCACTCTCCCTTGATCGTTGGAAATCGTGTGGCAATTATGGTCAGTTACATGTGCAAAAAGAAGTCAATTGCTCATATCAACTGTTGATTAATTGATAAACGGGGCATTTTCCGCAGGCACGCGGCTTTCTTAATGAGGGACATCTTTGTTAGTCTCGATGATTTACGGGTTGAAAGTCCACGTGGTGTCCATAAACCAAAATTGGAATAAAATATGTACAGTTGACAATTTTTAACAATAGGAGCTTAGGGCTGATTTTATTCATAGAGATAAAAAATCATAGTTATCCTCATTGATCACACTTAGAGTTGTAGTGAGGCGAAAAATATGATCAGAAGAGGTATCTTGGTGCTTTTTGGACTTAGATAAGAATTGTTTTTGTAACATATGGCACCTTACAGCAAAGCTGACACAGACGCAGTCAATTCAATAGAATCGCGTTCAGAAAAGTTTAGCCGATATGTAAGTATAACTTTGGTTCATAGAGAAGGTTTTGTATCGTTTTCGTCTTCCCTTTTTTCGTTTTTGTTTGTTTTTTTGTTTGTTTCCTTTTTTCGGTTCAAACTAGCATGTACTGATTTAAAGCGTTACCATGGTGATAGTTAGTTTTTCATAAAAATTCCGCGCGCCAATGTTTCGACTTGTGAACAAAAAGTTGCTTATCTTTTTGTCGCGTTTGAATGAAATTAATGGAGGTTGTGGAAAGATAGAACCAGACATCACTAGATAAATTTTCTTAATGTGCTGACAATTATGATTTTCAAAATTTTCTGTGCTGTTGTTAAAGGCCACTCGTAAAATAATCTTCGAAAGTTGGTTAATATGCGATTTATTCGAATATAGTTTTCTTTCCTTCTCAGCGCCTTTGTTTACTTTTTCTCAGAGATATTTACAACCGTATATTAACATTTAGGCAGCATTTTTACCCTAATCCCACAAAGCAATTTAATGTGCAAAGCAACATCGTTTGGAACGTAGTCAATTGCAGAGTGTGTCCGCTATTACGCTGTTTCCAGTCGGGGAGTTTTGTTTCAGTGGCTGAAACAAGTGCATTAAGTCTTTAATCGTTGCTTCCCCGTATTAACTTGTATTACAGTCTTAATTATTAAAATATTTAGTTAACCAGTCGTTTCGTATATACAGTCGTTTCCTACCCAGTCGATATGTGCCCAGATAGGACCATTCGTACCCAGTCCGCTGAGTCGTTTCTTACCAATATTATTAGTAAGGTGTGTTTACCATGTTAAGTATGTTTAAAGTAAGGTCAGTTTCTTCAGTATCTAAAATCGCAATATTACCTGCGTTAAATTAATTAAAAGAAGTTTTGCTTATGTTCATTTTTGATTCGCGACCACCGAATCCAACCCCTGGAACCAAAAGTATGCCGTCTGGGACTCATAAGACAGACGCAAAGAATAACTCTACCAGATACACATACAAATTAATTTTTCATCGTACATGAACTATCCTTGCAACCTATTGTTTTGTTATCAAAGTCTCAATTTTTAGAAACAATAAAGCTGAATCGAATGACATTCTTTTGTTTTCTATCGGGAAGACTAGCAGATATATTTCTTCTCCGTTAATACCAACAGGAAAAAAAGTCACACCTACCTTATCTGAGGCTCTAATTAGCTACTCGTTAAGAAAGTCACAAGCATAAAATATAGACAGTCCTATCAAAAACATCACGCTTACCTTGCTCTAGGCAATAATTTAGTTGTTTCTTTAATTTTAATGGTATCTTACTCTTTTGACTCTACCAACTTGTCGTACGCAACAATCGTCATCTCTTCACGCGCTCGCGCGCGAGGTATTTTGAATGAATGTATACTGAGACGGATACGAATCGACCAGTGGTTCGGGTACAAACCGACTCAAACTGGGTACGAATCGTCTGAATTTGGGTATGAAACGACCGAGGGTATGAAACCTTTCCATACCTTTCAATCTGCACACTCTCCTTGAAGTAGATCAGCGCTGACGCTAATTTAATCGAGAAGAAATCAGAACAGCTCACTAAGGCTTCTGAGACTTCCCGCTCAGGATTATATTAATTGCGTTGCAGTATGTAGTGTTGTTATAATGATGATCTTGTGCAAATAAATAAATAAAAACAAAAAAATAAACAGCCCACTAACTTTGAACAATTTACGGTCCGATTTTAATATCATGCGAGTGGTCTTTTTCCTTTCCTTTTTTTTACGTTGTCAACACTTACCTTATGTTGGTGTTAGAACGGAATATTTTTCCCATTTAACTAACCTTTTTCCTTTGTTATCCGGTTTTGCTTTGAGAAATTTTGGTACAACAGAAGTCCGGATCATTAACCGTTCCTTCTAGAAATGGACGCACATCGATATCAATTCTGGCATTATCTGGACAACATATTCAAACAAGACATATCCGCATTGCAGTGGTTCTGATCTGACATGGATTTGGTTTACAAAATTCTAAGTAAAGACGGATGCAATTGACATCTTAATAGCCTTTTTGCCAGGAAATCTAGATCATGAGATAACTGACCACAACCAAGCAAATTGTTACAGCAGCTGTGTACAAGGGGCATGTCCCAAATGAATCCCCGATGCACGAATACATGCAAGCCCTCAGCAAAAACCTCTTTCAATATTCAGCCTGACAACTTTTCTTGGGGGAAGAATTATATTTATTGGATGTAACTGCTGTTATCAGCATTTTCACTTTATGATCTATTAGCATATATCATCAGAACAATTGACTAATTACCGTGTTAGCACACGTTCGCTCGCTCCGAGGAAATTCTATTCTATAATTAACTCATATTTATTTTAACACTTCGTCGCTTTTAAAAAATGCTTTCACGAAACTCTTCTTAGTATACTCAAAGCCTTCTTCACCTTATTTCTATCAAGCAATAATTATTATTTGACATTCGCAACGAACGGGGAAAAATTTAATTCGAAATCTGTCTCTTAAAATTTCGGAACTGTCTTTCCCTTTGTCAATTGGGGAGGCGTGCGTCAGTGCTTAAAACAGAAAAATCACTATAGAATTACTACCGTGCAGATTGAAGTCAAATAGAAGAATTGGTCCACTTTGAATTGAAACTACCAGTTTGATGAAGTTCACAGTATTAAAAAAAGTCTGGTTTAACACAAATTTTCATTCTGAATTTCGAATTAAAACCCGAGTTGTTTACTGTTTAAAGACGGAATTGGTATTCATGACCGGCAGGTGTGTTTGTTTTAAGCACCCATACCGTCCATTAGTATGTATTATAAAATCATAGATGGTAAATTATCAGCCGTTCGCACTGAAGTCGTATGAAAGACACAGGTAAGTTTTAAAAATATTTCTTGTTGTGGTTTTCCTTTCAACGCACCTAATGGTAGTATACTCTATTATTTTCAATGAGACAAAATTTGGTAATGGTTGTTAAGAAGACATGCATATTATGTGTTTTTAAAGCTAGGGGTGTAATTTAAGCGGGTTATTTGCAGTTAAAGAGTATAGCGCGATCTGTGAAGAAAAAGCGAAAAGAAAAGACAAAAACAGACAAAAGCAGAAAAGAATGTAAGAATTTAACAATCGATCTTAAATGCGATCTTAAATAAATCCTTGGAGCTTTACAGGAAACAAGGAAAATATTAATTTTTGAACGGTTTCCGCTCTTTTGTATTCGTATGGGAAATTTAAAAAATTCCCAAAATTTAACTTTTTCCCCCAGATTAAGCGATGGTTTGTTTTAAAGGAAAGGAAACCGAGTTCAAATTTAGAATTATCCTGGTCAATGTTTTCTTTTGTACGCGCTCTTATTGAGAAAAATAGTTGAAGTTAAGTCCCAGCGAGGTTAACCATAAAATGGTTTCTATTTAAATTTGGGTATGGTTTCCCACGTAAATTTCAATAGATAAGTTGGCATTTCGATTACTATTAAAGATGAGCTTTTCCTTTGAAATTTTAACTGATTTTCAATAAAATTATGCCATTCTGTGACATTTCCATTTTCATTTAAGACTTTTCATTTCGATCCATCCTGACCATGGTGAATGGCACAATCCTTAATTCCTTTGTTTTCTATCCTAAATTTGGTTAAAATTCCTTCTTTATTGCCCTTTGAGCCTGAAGAAATCGTGAGGCCTACAGGAAGGGGTTGAAAATTAGGGAGTTGAGAATGCTAACATTCGTGTGCTTCGTTTTCAGAAGAGGTACGAGATTTCTAACCAAGGACGTTAAAACACACAACAGTTTTAAATGGCTTACAACATCTGGTTAATCCTTGGTGTTGCCTTAGCAAACTGCGGCTATTTACGGGCGAAATTCTATGAAAAGGGTAAGAAAAAATTCATTAGTTGATCAGGCACCTGAAAGTAGCGAACATGGTCATTCTGAGTGTCCGTCGGGGTTTAGTCTGCAACTCATGCTTGCAACGCGCGCTCATGCCCGCTAACTGCGAAAGACTTTGAAATGGGTTATTGAACGAATCGGGGTTTGAAGTACGAGTAACAATACTGGATGAAAATTTGATATGGTCAGTTAATGCAGGGCGAACCCTTGCTTTTAGCAGCTATTTTGGAGAAAAGAGCGAGGGAAAGATTTTAGCAACTGATTCATGGACATAGTATTCAGAAAAAGTCCTTTTTCTCACAATAATCTTGCTCAAATGGACGATCTTTCCCTCCATTACCTTTCGTTATCTCTACCAAGAAAACTTCAGCGCATTTAGCAGGACGCTTTTGTCTCACAAACCTGGCGTTCATCGGAGGAATTTTCTTACTTAGTTGGTTGAACATTTGACTACTTAGTCGGACCTGGCTGAGGTTGAAATCCTTGCAAAGTCTTTAAATTTTTCTTTTCTCCCTCTCTGGAGACAAATGTCTACCATTTTCCCATTGATTCAAGCATAATTTATCGGTCGTGGAATGTCAGTAGAACACAAAATAATCATATTTTTTTCTTTTCATTGCTGACTCTTGTACCCTACTCTTTCACCTTTACACCTGCTAATCCCGTTGTTGTGGTCTGCAAAGTGTAAAGTGATTCATATGACGATTGAAAGAAAATAACACAAACAAACCTTTCAACCAGACTGCTTGAGGAAGATTTATAGTGAAGAGCTTCCGAGAGATAAGCTTTGTTTCATTGACAGTTTTTGAACTGAGTAGCTGCTTCCTTTCATAAAATGAGCGACACTTTGAGTTACAAGTGTTTGCGATACTAAGAGAAATAACAATAACAAATGCAAAATTAAAGTGCTGCAAAATAAGCCATCTTCATAATACACGTACTAAGGAAAGTATTGAAATATCAGTAAAGATAATTGGATAACACGGGTGCATTTATTGGTACAGAGTTTTGGATACAAAAAATTTTTGTAGTTGTTTTTGAGAGATTAAGAAAAAAGAAAAATCCTTCACTTCCGAAACTAGAGGCGGAATTCTGGTAAAAATCAACAACGCACATCGCATATGAGTTAAAGTAGCTGAGTGCTTGTCTTGGCGCGTCCGCTCAACTCACAGGAAATGTCAGAGCTCTTTTGACAGCTACCTAAGTCGAAGATGGTAGCTGTCAAAAGACAGCGGGAAAAGGCAGCTTTTCGTGGCTTTTTTGCCGCGTTTTATGGCAAAATTTTAATCATGATAATATATATTCTTTGTTTTGGGCCCCTGCGAAGCATGTAGGTTGGGTTCATGCGGAAATCAAAAGGCGCCGCTTCGTTAACAGCTGTTGTCCTCGAAAATTGCATTTGTTTTCTTTGCGGTAACATAGATGGTGAAATATACATGTAAGATGTAGTTTGCGAATTGAAGTTTTCGTCTGGCTTTTTTTTACTTTTGGGTGAGCAGTTAGGGATAGCTTCTCTTTGCTGGTAGTCCACACAGCTGTCCGCGTGGTGTAAGGTGCATGACTTGTAATGTGGAGGTTCAAATTCTTCGCTCAGACGCTCAATAGGGTTTTGTTTCTCTAGTTACAACTTCAGCTCCTTCTTTGCACCTTGCATAAGGCCAGTTTTCTTTTTTTCCTTTTTTTGATTTACTACACGCTTTATTTACTTAGTTTAGTAAATTCTCTTCAAAGATAACCTGTACTTTAGTATTTATTGTAAAATATTAAGCAGTTCAGCCTTTTGCAATATGATATTTCAATAAACTGTCTATCTATTTATCTATCTATCTACCTGTCTATTTATCTACGTCATATGTTCGTGTATTTACAGTGTCCGCAATTAGCATAAAGGTGCAACAGACATCGACAGTTGAATTAATGTTCTGTTTTTCTAATTTTAGATGAGGGTGGTCGAATTTCTCTCCATATCGATGGAAACATCACACTTGGAGGTCTCTTTCCAGTCCATCGCCGTAGTAGTACGACAGAGAACGCTTGTGGGGACATAGACCTACTTCCTGGATACCAGTACCTCGCTTCCATGCTGTATGCTCTTGAAGAAATAAACGACAGTCAGGACATTCTTCCAGGAATTAAGCTCGGGGCGAAAATATACGACACTTGCCGAAGTCAGACGATTGGTTCCCAAGGCGCAAAAGAAATAATCAAGTACACTCTTCGTAAAGAAAATAGCATTGCACCGCTAGCAGGTGTCGTCGGACCATTCCGAAGTGACGTGTCTGTAGCTGTTGCAAATTTGCTTCGTGTCTTTAACATCCCTCAGGTCAGCTACGGCTCAACTACCCCAGTTCTAAGCAATAAAGATCTCTACGGTTACTTTTTACGCACTGTCCCGTCAAATTCGTATCAGGGCAAAGCAATGGTGGATGTTGTTCGTCACTTTGGATGGAGTTACGTCATGACCGTGTATTCCCCGGGGGAGTATGGAGAGAGAGGCATGGTCAAATTCTATGAAGAGGCAGAACGTGCGGGGATTTGTATTGCAAACAAGAAAAAACTTCCTTCTTTCCCGACGGAGGAAGATTTTGACAAAACCATTCAAGAACTCCTTGAAATTAGGAAGAAGAATTTCCGCGGAAAACTAGATGCTGTTGTTCTGTTTTGTATTCAGCGAGATAATAATGGCTTAGTCCGTGCAGCACAAAAAGTGTTGAAAAATGGAGACAGATTTTATTGGCTTGCAAGCAATGCGTGGGGAGATCGAAAACAAGTAACAGACGGAGCAGAAGAAGCAGGTGAGGGAGCCATCACTATGAATTATATTGAAGGCGAAGTTGACTCCTTCAAGAAAAAGTTTTTGAACATGAAACCGTCCCTGAACAAGTACGGTCCATGGTTTGAAGAATTCTACCAAAAAACATTGAAGTGTAAGCTCAAAAATGCCTCAAAACCACTTAATTACAAACAGGAATGTTCAGCAAATGAATCTCTTCCTAATGGCATGGAGATCGGGCCTGTCCGTGTTGTGATAAATGCTATGTATGCTATGGCGCATGCACTCAACAACATGCATTTGACGCTGTGCTCTGGACAGCATGGTCTATGCAACGACATGAAGAATCTGAAACGGGAACAATTCTTGACCTTTTTAAAGAATGTGTCTTTTCCAGATGCGTCACTTGGTTTTAACGTGACTTTCAACCAAAACGGAGATGTAGATGGAAATTATAACGTGCTGAATTTCAAAAAAGTGGAAGGACGACATAGGCACTTTATCGTTGGAAACTGGAGCGGCGCATTGAATGGGGATGGAAAAATCCAAGGAAAAATCAGATTAGATGACGACAAGATTGTGTGGGGTGGAGGAAAAAAAATCACTCCATTATCTTATTGTAGCAAAACTTGTCCGGCCAAGCAGATAACAATTCCAGAAATTACCAACGCTCGGTGCTGTTGGCGATGCGAGGGCTGCAGTTCGAATGATATCATTATAAATAACACATGCTCACTTTGTGGAGAAGGAAAGATACCAGACACTAACAGGACAAAATGCTTCAAACTGCCAGTTGTCTCCCCGACTTGGAGTGACAATCCTGCGCAAGTTTTAACCGGATTCATATCTGCTGGAATTATTGCCAGCATTGCCACTGCTGTGATTTTCATCTTGGAAAGGAAACACCGCATTGTAAAAGCCTCTGGAAGAGAGCTTAGCGCAATTCTATTCATGGGAGTCTTTTCGTGTTATATTGCCGCGTTATTGCATTTTGTGAAACCGCAGACCACAATCTGTGGCGCCAAACGCTTTACTGACAGTGTTTCAATGACAGCATGCTACGCGCCTGTCTTATTACGAACAAACCGCATTTATCGCATATTCAAGGCTGCCCAGAAGTCAGTTCGGCGACCGACGATGGTAAGCCCACTGTCACAAACATTTGTAGCCCTTGGTATTATCGCTTCTCAGTGTCTAATAACAATGATATGGGTTTTATCAAAACCTCCCCTGGCTGTGGAATATTACGGCTATAAAGACCGCGTAATTCTAGAGTGCAGCACGGACGACTTCAGTTTGGCAATAAACTTGTGTTTCAACGTCATTTTAATGTTTATCTCGACCGTGTATGCGTTTCGAACCCGGAATTTTCCAAGAAATTTTAACGAAGCTAAGTATATCGGCGTGACGATGTACATATCATGTTCTGTGTGGATAGTGTTCCTTCCTTGTTACCTAAACGCGGCTGACAGCATTTGGAAATCTTACTTTTTGTGTAGTTCACTGTTTCTCATTGGAACAATAACTCTGTTAGGACTTCTCGTGCCAAAAGTTTTTCTTGTTTATTTTGGCAACACAGTTGAACCGTGTGGGAATACTACACTTACAGGAACAATGGATGATAAGAGCAGAAGCGAACATCGTAGGGATACTATGACCATGGTGTCCTAAAATTATTTTTTAACAGAGTTATGAATACCTTAATTATAGTCGTTTATAAGTCAAGTCACCAAGCTTCCAAGTTAACCAACACAACTTAGAAAACGAAAAAAGAACTCGGCTATAAGCCTGCAAGGCAATGAGACCTTTTGTCTCAATCAATGGCGACCGAGCGAGGATCAGCAAAGTTATAAATTAGTTATTCAAAATGTGCAATGTAATGTGTTGGCGAAGAAATTTGTGAGCAAAACTTTAATTCATGCTTGATGGCAGAGTAATAAGCCCGATTTGAAGGCCATGATTATTTTAGGTGATTTCTTAGTATTGTGCATAAAAATCACGTGATCTTTCGGATGAGTGCGTGCGCATTCCGAGAGCACGATATTGTTTTTCAATCAATGGACCAGATGAAGAGATGCGATTGCTCTTTTTATTGTATAATTTTGGTGTACAAATTATCCCCTTCGAATCTGAGAAATCAGAAAAAAATCATCGAAAGGAAAAAAAAGATACAACTGAAAACATGCGCGAAGCCGGTATCTTGAAAGCAACGAATCGCGGAACGTTTTGTGTCGATGTCGTTTAAATTTGCGTGATTTTTACAAATTATTCCATATGCTCGAGGTTTTTCTATCTATCAAGTTTCTTTCAACTGTGTCTTTTAAGACCCTTGCTTTCAGTTGGCGCAAATTGTACCGTGAACCAATGAAATGACACGCATGATTAGTGCCAGTACAGGCATAAATGGGGTAAGTTTGGTCCATTATATCTCCTAAACAAGCACGGTGACCTGTCTTTTTTACTGTCATTTTTCGAAACAGACATTGATAGGGAACATTTGAGGGAAGTTAAAAAATTTTTTCGATAACTGTTCTGAGGAATCACCTTAAAAGTAATTTATCGTCAATTTACATGAAGTACTCAAACTGTCGTTTGAGGTAAAACTGAAAATATATATTCTTGTCTTCTTCCTAGGTTTAAAATGTGTAAAACAGTGAAATTAAACATGAGAAAGAGAATTTAACAATCTCTTGACCGGAGTCAATTTTCTGATCAGCAGTCGAGCTTCTTTTTCAAGAGGGACGTAATACACGGAAACTCTTGTGCCCAGTCTGTCTTCGGATAAATTTTCGCCGATTTATCGCTTGAAACTTAAATCAAATGTAATGAATTATAAACAAATATTTATTTCGTAAGCTCTAACAAACGACAGGGCATGAGAAAGAAGGCAAAAGATGCTCACAGGTACATAGAGCAATAAAAGTAAAAGGTCAGACTCGATGACTCTACACAGACGATCTCAGAAGTAATTTTCTATCAACAGTCGATCGTGGCCATTCAACGATTAAACTCTCGATTGTTATGAGAGTCACCATTGAGTCTTGGTAAGATGTTGGGATTAAAGTGCAATCAATTTTGGAATTTACTACTCGTGGCCATACCAAGATTGGACTTTCGATTGTTATGAGAGTCGCTACTGAGTCTTGGCAAGATCTTGGGATCAAAGTTCAATCAATTTTGGAATTTACTACTCGTGGCTACTCCACGATTGGACTCTCGATTGTTATGAGAGTCGCTAGTGAGTCTTTATAGAATCTTGGGATTAAAGCTTAATCAATTTCGAAATTTACTGCTCTCTTGTCCTTTAATGTTGACGCTTCTGCTTTCTGCCTTTTTGGATTAACTTTATTTGGCAGGTGAAAACTAGCAATATTTTACGGTTGAACCAAAATATTAGGAAGGAGCCATGAACATTTAATTTTATTTGAGGTATCAGAATTACTCTTCCATCTTTTTCAATGCTCTAATCTTTTCACTCCCAAGATCTTGCTAATAGTTCTCCTTATTGTCTGCCATGCAATTCTTATGATACGTATTCGGAGAATTTGGTATTGGATCAACAAATAATTCCCTATTTGATATTATATCTTGATATTGTAATTCTCATCGCTTGTCTGCTTGATATGGTATTAGCCTCCTTTCTTGGTCACCCATGGGAATAAAAGGGTTAACCCCTATTTGGAGTGACTAGCATCTAATTTCTCACCACTGAATGACACATCAATGTCATGAGAATAAAGGAAATAATCACCAACAAATTCTCCTCGTCAGCACCTTAATAAATTTACAGAGAACAGTATGGAGAATATGAAAACTGATGTTAGGCGTAAAGGGTTGACGCATGCGTGCAAGGAGCAGAAACTAATTCAACCTCAAAAGTTCTTCCCAAACCTGTAGGGAAGCTCTTTGCTACATAAACGAATATACAATGAAGAAAATCAATACGCAATTTCAATTTCTCTTTTACAAAACATTTTCTGCCAAAACAAGCTGTCAAAGAGAAATGTATTCAAAAGAATTAATCGCAATATCAAAAGTTCTTGCTGTGCTTGAAAAAGCCAATTTAAAATAAAGATTTTAAAAAATTTTCTCGCCGAGTATTAGGGACCTTACTTTTAGGTTGTTAAACCAATTGGAAGTACTGGTTAAAAGACGGAATTATCATCAAGCAAGAATTTTCGTATATGTATTTTTAACTTATTCAAGTGTTGGAAAATTAATTTAAATAGTATATGAGCACAAACCATTCAGTACAAATGTATTATAAGCTAGACGATCATTTCCTATTTATTTTGCGGTCTTACTTTGTAATTAGAGTAATTTATTCTAAATTTTTAATTTAACACTTTCAACATCCCTTTTTTGAAGGCGACCAAAGTTGTAAACTACTTGTACTTTTCATCCTCCGCACTTAGTTTGTTATCAGTTAACTCATTAGAACAGCAGGTAGCTCTTTTGGGGGCGGTACCTTGAATACATCCTTTCTTCTTCGAATTCTCTGTTTATTCTGTTGTTATGTAACAGTCTACAAAGGTTATTTTGCTCTTTAGACATCTTTTTGAGAGTAATTCTAATTTCGTCAATGGTCTGTAATTTTTATTTTTCCAATCTCGTTTCTGTTTCGCCCCATCTTAACCCCAAGAGTATGAAATTTTGGATAGAAAGTCGTTTTAAAAGGGCCAACATCCCGAGGGTACATACTTGGTATGCGGGATCTGTTTCACGTAACTTAACGTGATTCGCTAGTTAAGTGAGAAATAAAGACGATGGTCAAAGATTGACGGCCTGATAACCGTCGTCTTTATAAGCTGGTGACTAACACTGTCCTAGGGAACCGAGCTAGACCCCGAATAGAGGTAAAGGAAGAGTCAACTGTTAAAGAGTGTCAGAAATTGACCCAACGTACTTCGCCCAAGAAAGAGTGTTTTTATTGTTTGCATTTTGGTGGCAACTACGAGGCGTTTTACTGCACACTGCATTAGTCCGTAAATGAAAACTTGAAAATTGATTTTCACATGCTTACATGTTGTGGAGTGCTTTCTACCTTTGCGGTTTCCAAAGACGTCTTGCTGTGCACACCTGAAATGAGATAAATTAAAAGCTTTTACGACGAGCACAACAGAAATATTGTTGAGGAAAAATCATCTGACATGTCGTGATGGTGCGACAAAGCAGATTTATAAGTGCGTTCGCAATTTCTCTCCTCTGAATCTTTTGAAAATATCGTTCAAGGGAACGAAACGAAACAAGCCGGCTTTCAAATTGAAAAGGTAAGGGCATACTGGATTTTGGGCTGTATTGTTTTGATTCGAGATGTGAAGCTGAAAGAGTTTTAAATATTAATTTTAACAAGAGGCGGAATATTTCAAAAGTCAACGGTTTAAAAGAGATGGCAATTTTTTAATGATGCATTTACTTAAGTTCAATTGCTCCGCAGAGTATATTCATTACCTTTGGGTGAGTTAGTTTGGTTTTGATACCGGACACATTTTTGAAAATGGCGAGAACTACACCGCTAGAAAGCTTTTCCGCCAAATCCGAGAAACAGGGGAACTAATTTCAATAGCAACAGACGATGCAATATCCTCAATTTTACCTCATTATTAATACCATACTCTTGAATTTTTCTCGATTTTGCGGCTGAAACACAATGACTGTTAGCCTAAATCATTCTAACCAACTTTTCTATTCTTGTTTTGTTTCTAAAGAACAAAAGTATAAAACACCATAAGGCATAGTGCTTAAAATTCTCTTCTTACGCATAAGCCGTAGCTTATTACATATGCCACGCAAAGCTTGTAAAATCAGAAATGTATCGTTTATACGGTGAGTTCGAATTCGCGTCTTATATAGGCCGCGGATTGTTGTGTTGGTTTTTTTTTGTTTAATTTAAAAGTCCAGCCATTTTTTATTTCATTGCGTCTATCGCAACATACATTCTGTACGTAGTCTCTGATAACATTCTCTTGTCTTTTCATAGTCTAGTCCAGTTTTATATTTTCACTTTCCAAAGGTTGAGCAAATTATGTAACAACATGGAAGCTTTCTCAGCTTGGAGGGCATTTTTCGCGCTGATTTCATGAGTGCTTCATCAGTAACCTCTTAGAAGATTCTCTCACTCCACGTAATCACACTCAGTTTTCCAGCAGAGCGTGGAGATGGAGATAATTCACCTACTCTCATTCACGGATTAATTACACTGCAAGAAAAGACCTTCCTAACCCTGAGCTGTTCCAGATTAGCTTAGTCCGTTAGTCAATAATTTAAGCAATAGGCTACACTTTCTATCGGTTTACTGGCGTAATAATCCGCGCAGGGTGTTAGGAGAACACGAAAAAAGTATGTTAATCCCGAGCCGGAGGCGAGTAATTTACAAACTTTCCGATGAAATAACTATGGGTTGACCTGTGCAATAAATGATAGGTTTTTTGACCAATCAGGCTCGTACTATGTCAATTATTTCATAATATTTCCACAACTCATGTGATACGATTCAGCAAATTCCTCATTTTTGGCAATTTCACTCGGCTCGCTAACATCCATTAGGCATTCTGAAGAAACACTCAGCTAGATTGTTCTACATTATTTGATACTGATACGAAAAATCGACATGAGTTTTCAGTAATTCTGATGATCTTTAGCTAAGAGTAATTTCGTAAAGAGTGATTTTGTTTCATTCCCCATACGAAGAGCCGCGTTATCACGGTGTAGAAAAACATTTAGACTTTTAAGACGATATGTTTTCAATCTAGCTAATAAAACACTGTGGTTACATGTTCTCTAATCTTAACTTACCGCTTTATTATCTTCAACCATTTCGCTCGGCGTCGCCGTATGTAATTCGCTAGTAGTTCTTTGTTTAGAAATTATTTTCTCCTGACATTCATTGAAAATGGTGGCATGTACTGACAATTTCAGCTCTAAGGGGAGCAATTAATTATAAAATACTATTTTTCCGATCGGGATAATTAAAGTTGAAATCAAAATTCTACGGATCAAATAGCCAGCTGCACTGATCAAACGTCGCGAAATATCAATTAAAACGAGCCGATGTCAAATTTCAAATTTAAATAAAGGCGGTGTGTGTGAAATCAGTCGAGTTCAGTGTCTTTTTCTGGAAGAAAGTATACAAATTTATGAACTAAAGTTGTTGGGAAACTGAAACGCTTTTGCAAACTGAAGGCCAAAATCTAACAAACAACCTCGAGTAACAAAAGGAATTTTCAGATTTTTACACCAGAACTGAGGTAGGTTGATAGGTCTAATAAGTATCTATTTCTTGGTGTGAAAAATATCGCTCGATATCTCGTTCTAGAAAAAATCTCTTATAAGCTTATTTTGGTTTAATGAATAATTTCTCGGGGGTGTCTTAGAATGTGAAGATAACTTTTAACAAAGTGCACTACATGAATAATTAGCAAAGTCCGCCAGAGAATGACATGGTGTCGTCTGTGATATCCTGCCTTCATTCAAAAATAGCTGAAACGTCGTTTATTATTCAAAGACCTAGCTCAAATTTCAGCACTATCTCTCGTATTTCGAGTTTTTGATGGTTCTCGTAAGTTTCAGTCATATCTAAAGGACCTGTTTTAATTTCACTCGACGGCAACGAGGTAGATATGAGCTGCGTATGCTGTGTTTTCACTGCTTGTCTACTGAAACATCAGTGATATCACCTTGATATCGGGCGGGTCGAGAAAGTGCAACCAGTTATCTTTTTACAAGTCCAAAGACTCGCTGATTAGCACTGTTACGAGAAAAAAAATTTAAATGCTGTTTAGTAATGGAATATGGTTTAACCGGAGATTAAAACTTTCAATATATTTTTTTCAAACTGAACGAGCAACAATTAACCCTAAGCCTAACAAAATAGCTGTTAGAGCTCATTCTAAGGTCTATAATAAATTTCAAATCTGATTACATGTACAAAACTTCCAAATGCGCTAACCTTAGTGCAATTTCATGGACCTCTGCCTCACTTTATTCATGCACCAAACGAAAATCAGAGCTTTTAATTGATGAAAACGAATGAATAACTTTGTTTGTAGATGTCAGAAGTCATTTAGCGCTTATAAACACCGAAAAAAAGCCTTAAAACGGTCGTATTTTATTTCCTCGAAAACAAAATTTATTGGGTCAGATAAAAGTATCACCAGAAAAATTATTGTGACACTTAGAATATTTTTTTTCCTCTAAAACATTTTTTACCTCGTAACCAAAAGTGCGGTTCCTGGTCTTCCAAGACTAATCTGATGATTTTTGAAAGTGAATAGACTTCAAAGATTATTGACAAGAAAGTATAATTAGGCGAGAGTCATGAAAAATAATTATGAAATACATACGCACAATATTCAGCTGTTTAAACTGAGTAACAGTAGAGTTTCTCAGGCTGATTAAACAATGATTGATAGGAAATTGGAGACATGTTTTGATGGTATATTGCAAATCTTTATGTACAAACATAATTGTGAAGTTGTTGCTTTATCGAAATATCCTTACATCCTGAGAAAGACTCTTGAAACTGAAAAAGGCACGTACAAGGAAACGTTGATTAACACAACACGTTTGTGCGTGTTTATTTTCTTTTTGCTTATCTTTGTTTTAGTTACTTTGGAAGGAAGATTTTTTCCCCTTTTAACATCAGGTTGATATCAGACGCATTCTAAAATTGGAGAGGTATAAGATTTTTCGAACATTTCTATGATGTACCTGACTTTGCATTGACTTCTCGTTAGGGGTAAAGCAAATATACACCACTGTTCTTAAAACTCAGCAAATTTTAAGGAGATTCAGAACAGCCACGATCATCAGATAAAAATCTCAGTTTGTATCGAAGGAAGATCACTAATTCGCATGTAAGCAAAATTATAAAAAAATTCACGAAAGTTATTGGCTATCACTAGCCCGATTGGAGCTGTTGCCTCGTGTTTTGCTGAGTTGACAGTTTTTTTTTATGAAGACGTATGACCGATATCTAGTTTCTTTCGCAAATTAAGTTTTAATTCATTGATAACAGGACTTATTGTCGTCCAATTCTGTCTATAATCATACTCGTAATTAACAAATCGGAATCTCGCGATAGTCCGATTTTGTTAATCACTCGTATGATTACAGACCGAATTGGACTCCAATTGGTCCAAGTACCATTATTCAATTTTATCCTCTACTAACCAAAAAGTGAGTCTTTTTGGAGGTAGGTGAAGTAGTAAGCCTTTTTCAGCGTGCATTGTTGGAGATATCCAAGTTATAATCCTTTTGAAAGCCTTTTTTTTATTTTCAGGTTTTGAACCATGCAACTGGTTACCAGGCTCTTCCTCTATTTCTCAGGACTTGCGATACAGTGCTACTGGTCAGTAATTTCAGTCGAACAAGGTAAATCAATGGTCCGTCTTAGTGTAAGTTGTTTAATTGTAGACTAACTTCAAGACAATACAGGGACGCATATTGGCTCTAATAATCAATTTGTAAGAAATGGTTTAATACTGAGGAGATCAAGCTCAGAGTCTATAAATAAAGGCATTTATGGATCCTTAACTCAGTTGCTAGAAGCTCTTTGTGTTCCCGTCCACCGTTTTCCTTAAAATAACCAGAATACGTATTCCAATTGTCCAGATAAAACTCGTATTCAGTGCTTAATATAAATGCTTGGTTGTAACTGACGAGTATCTGTCGGCAAAAATATGTTAGTAATACCTTGGAGAAGATCAAGTAAGAGACTGAACCAATTTTCCGGAGGTAGCCCCATCGAGTTTATCACCCTTGTTTTCGGAAATCTTAGTGGGGCCTAGAAATGACCGATCTTATGTGGCAAAGGTTTTTCACGTTGACATTCCGTGCGACTTCTATTAGTTTTTCATCAGAGCAGTTACGGAGAAAGGAGTTCTTTTAGGGACTAGTTCTAGGGATTAGCCGTTTAAAAATTGTATCATGGATTCATTTTGAAATTTGGGAGAACTTTTAGAGAAAGTGATGGGTGATGTAATCGCGTATAAACTAACATTTTTTTTATCAACCAATCAGAACTTATGCGTTACGAATGACTTAGAATTCGTGCAAAATTGTGGCAATATATTCAGAAAAATGATGTGTGAATTCGGCTGATGTGTTTTTGCTTTGTCATGAGCGTAGGACAAGGAAAAATTCTGAGTCGCTATTGAAAATCGAACCTCAAACCTTAGGATTTCGCGCCCCGATGCTCTCCCGATGAGCCACAATGAACCAACTGACAGCCAAGTAGACCATAGCGCAGTTTTAATCAATTCTAATTATTTTTCAGCTTCAGAGACCAAGACTATTGAGCTGAAAGGTGACATAATACTTGGAGGACTTTTCCCAATTCATCGCAGAAGTAAACAAACGGAAAATGCGTGTGGTGACATCGACCCTCAACCAGGATTTCAATACTTAACTGCCATGCTGTTTGCCATTGAGGAAATCAATAACGATCCAAACCTTCTCCCGAGCATTAGCCTTGGGGCGAAGATCTACGACACTTGCCGAAGTCAGACGATTGGTGCCGATCGCGCTAAAGACATCATAAAATATACCCTCGTTGACCATGGTCCACCCTTGGCAGGTGTCATCGGTCCTTTTGTCAGTGATGTTTCCATTGCAGTTGCAAATTTACTGCGTGTCTTTAACATCCCCCAGGTCAGTTATGGATCAACCAGCGCGGATTTAAGCAACAAAGAGATTTACAGTTACTTTTTTCGCACCGTACCGCCTGACTCCTTTCAAGCTTACGCCTTGGTGGATGTTCTAAAGAGACAAAACTGGGATTACATATTCACCGTCAACTCTTATGGAAATTACGGGCAGAAAGGGATGGCTGAATTAGAAAAAGCTGCCGAAGCAGCAGGGATTTGTGTCGCGCATTCCACGCAACTCCCAAGTCTACCCGACCATGATGACTTTAAAAAGGTGATTAACAACTTCCTCAGGAAAAGGAAGGAAAATTCCAATACAGTCAATAGTGTTGTGTTATTTACCACTCAGGCCGACTCGGCTGACTTGCTTCGCGCTGCTAAAGAGGCTGGGGCGAAACAGTTTACCTGGGTAGGGAGCAATGGTTGGAGCAATCGTGTTGACGTAACAGAAGGAAGGGAAGAGGAGGCTGATGGCTCTTTAACTGTTAATCACCTCGAGGGAAAAGTCCATCGATTCGACAGACACTTCAAGAATTTAGCACCGGGTGACAACAAGTTTAATCCCTGGTTTGAAGAGTTTTGGGAAGCAGTTATGAAGTGCAACATTCCAGGTAAGAGAGAAAACAATCCACAGATGTCCAGAAGTTGTGGAAACGTAGAAAGGCTTCCTGCTGACATGGAAATGGCGCCCGTTCGAGTGGTTATCAATGCGGTTTACGCCATGGCGCATGCTTTGCATAATCTGCAACAGGTCTACTGTCCAGGGGTGGTAGGGCTGTGTCAAAACATGACCAGAAACTTTCGAAGAGAGAAATTTCTTGATTTCTTAAGAAATGTGAGTTTCTCAGACTCGGCATTAAACTTTACCGTTCGTTTCAATCAGAATCAAGAAATAGACGGAGTTTATGACATTAAAAACTTTCATAGAGGGACTGATGGTAAGTGGAAGTACACTAATGTTGGTAATTGGCAAGGAAGGCTTATAGCGAGGAAACAAGTCCAAGGAATACTGAAATTAAACGAATCGCTTATAGACTGGGGAAGAGACAAATCTCATCCTCCGAGTTCCTTTTGTAGCAAGCCTTGCAATGATTCCCAAATTCGCAAACCGAGAAGTCGAGCTCCCAAGTGCTGCTGGGACTGCATTGATTGTAAACCCAATGAAATTATCAAAAATGAAACCTGTCAATCATGTCCACTTGGTTACTCATCCATCAACAGCTTGTCCGTTTGCACAAAAATACCGGTTTTGTATCCAGAGTGGTCAAGTGCGCCCGCGATATCCGTTGTCATCTTCGTTGTCATAGGAGTGCTTTGTGAAATTGGGACAGCGGTTCAGTACATCAAGCACAGAAGTCACCCTTATATCAAAGCTGCTGGGAGGGAATTAAGTGCCATCGTGTTCATGGGAATCATACTCTGTTACATAACACCGCTCACTTTCCTGGGCAAACCGACGGACACGATATGCAGCGCGCGACGTTTTCTGGGAAGTATATGTTTCACAACGTGCTATGCTCCCGTGCTTATGAAAACAATTCGTATTTACCGCATCTTTAAAAGCGCCAAAAGCTCAGTAACCCGGCCTTCACTCACCCGCCCAGGTTCCCAGGTCCTCATCTCCATGGGGCTGATAGCAGTACAGCTGTTGCTAACCACTCTGTGGCACTTCTCAGAAGTCCCCGAGGCCGAAGAGGTGTATCCCTCTGAGAGGACCGTCATCTTGCAGTGTGCAGTGAATGAATATACCTTGGTAGTCAATATTTGCTACAACTCTCTTCTGATGTTCCTCTGCACTATATTTGCGTTTAAAACGAGAAATTTCCCCAGAAATTTCAACGAAGCCAAGTACATTGGCATCAGCATGTATTTAACGTGTTCTGTGTGGATAGTCTTCTTTCCAAGTTACCTTAATACGTCCAGTTCTTACGTAAGAGTTTATTTAACATCCGGGACCCTCATTGCCATCGGATCCATAACACTGAGTGGACTTTTGGTTCCCAAAGTTGTTATACTCTTCTTTACAAATGGAAAAAACCCTAGTGTTGCTGAATATAGCACAACACTTACAACAAGTAACACAACCAACCGCAAGCTAAGCAGTAACCTGTGTGCGAGCGCTCAGTTGCCGAAGAGTATTTCTTTTGAGATGGGTACAGCGTTGAACAACGACGTTTCATCTCGGTTCCTCACAGTTAAATAAACTGCAACAAGCACATCCAATTTACCTAAAATGGCAATGTCGGTAATTTTGTAATGTGTTTGTTCATTGTCTGACCAATTAAATGTCGTTGCAAGAGGCCTCTTAGCTAATCTCGCATGACAAAATGAGGTTAGAACTTCGGCTTCATCAAGAAGAGTCAGGTGCCAGTCGATTTTTCAGTGTTGCATGGCCTGGCAGTTACCACCATCGTATTCCCGTAAAAATCTGACAGACGCCGCCTGCAGTTGCTGAACTATATCCAAGATTATTTAGTATTATACGCTGAGTTGATAACATAAATTGGCCAGCGTAAAGAGTTTCAAAGCTGACGTTTCGAGCGTAAGCCCTTCGTCAAAACGAATGAAAAGTAAGGGCTAACGCACGAAACATCAGCTTTGAAACTCTTTACGGTGGCCAATTAACGTCATCGACTCATTTGATAATACTAAATTACCTTGTTTAACTCTCCCGCCGACGCAGCATCACAGTTTCTTTAGAAACTTGCCCCCCATATCCAGCATAAATTATCATGAAGGGACCAGTTAAGACTGCTACTCCCCTCGGATGTGATATTAGTCCATTATTGGTTATTTTTTAATGCTTCGTGAGTTCCCGGTGACAGTTCACTTGTGCTCGCTTATTGAACAAGGAAATATAGGTGCAAAGTGTCCAAGAGCAAATGTCACAATGGTTATCATCATCTCAGACAGGAGGCTGGCGGGCATGGGTTTTAATAAAAACCGCTTACCAGTGGTCTACAGCCGCCTAAAAGACCTATTACCGCTGCCTATTCAGCCTGCTCGCAAGCTCTCGTGTCTCCCATCCACCATCGGCAGCCGCTTATGGAAAATGTGTTGAAACCTCTATCAGCAAAGGCTTAAACAAATTCATTGTTTGACAACGGGAAACCGTCACATGGGCACTAAGTTTTCCATCATGTTTCTTATCACATTAAAACAACGAAAGCATTCTCAGCATTTTCAGGCATTAATTCCTCATTTTTATTGTATTCTTTCATAGCTATTTCATTAATTACGCTAAAATGTTTTTGCCACTCGACTTTCTCAATCGGAGATAGAGTGGATACATGATGATATACAGTCATTTGGTAAAACCTCAAAATAATCTTAAATTACAAATTTCTCCAAAATCAGAGTTAACCTTGACCCTTTAACTCCCATGATCTGATTGTTAATTCTCCCCTCTAGTTTCTTTTACATTTCTTTGTAAATTAGTTACAAGAATTTGGTGTTAGATCAAGAGAAACAATTTCTACCTGATAAGTCTGAGTATTCCTATTACCTTTTCGATTGATCACGTATGGATATTTGAAGGAAGAAGTTTCATGTGAATCACTTCTGGGAGTCAAAGGGTTATAAAAGCGACTCACAAGTGTAGAGATCTCTCTCCAGATTGAAACACAAGATACAACGAACGCCAATCTGTTCTGGAAATCCTCACCAACACCTACGTAACCACCCTTTCTTTGCTAATCTTAAGAAAATTACATTTGACTGTGTGCTGTTTCAGCCGAGAAAATACGACTTCATGGTTGAAAACAATAGACAGTCTATGACTTGGGGTTTATTTTATACCGGGAATCAAACAAATATCTTAGGTATAAACACTTTCAGACTGTCATTCCTCCGATAATACGAGTTAGGTCGATTAAAATGCTTCTCCGTGTCCGAACTGGATCCCTTTTTTCCATATTAAAAAATTTCAATACATTCAGCATCTGGTTGCAATGTCGGTTTTGGTACATACCTGTATTTCGTCGAGCGTTTACCTTTACAATTTCATACTTTGAACCTTGAATACAATGGCAAACATGCTACTGATTCTACATCGTATGACCAAGGTCAGATTACTAATACAGATAAGCGAACAACTTTAAAATGAATACTTGAATGTACAAATGAGTATGACCCTTCACGTTTATGCTTTCAAAAATGCCACAAATCAAAACAACTAGAAGAACTAAAAATTGCAAGAGTATCGAGTTAGTAAAGGAGCGAACTTTGTTAATCAGCTCTCTCTGTGACTTTTTGTGACTGCTCCTCATCCTCTGCTTTGCGCAGCTTGTTTTCTTTCTCAAGTAAAACGATAATATCTTTGATTTGATCCGGAGTAAGATCCACATCTTCCAGGGACAACAGTTCAGCAACCTGCGCAAAGAGCATGACAGCACGCCGGTTACTTGGATAAAAAATCAAAGTAAAGTTCACGCACAGGAAAAGTATCAAAAACCAGAGAAACTTTTCGCTTAGAGGGTCTAGACCCACCACAATACCGAATGGGCCACAGCTAAAACTAGGAGTGAGTTTTACAAAGATAAAAACTTTTTGTCTGATACCATAAAAAAGATTTGAATCAAATTAAATTCAAGACGTCTAGAAGAGGACGTGACCAACTTGTCTCTTTATGAAAACGGGCCAAAGAACTCTGCCCAGCCAACGCATTTTATGGTAAGCTAGTTATATGTCTCCACATTTTGTCACTTGCCATTTATTCATCCTTTACCCGCAGCTCACAGTTTTCCTCGAGCCTCGGCCTTATAAAAATCTTTGCTAACCAGAACAGATTTTGATCGCAACCAATTTCCGAGCATAATCTCGCGCCAAATGACCTAGCGAAAGAGAGGTTGGCAAGATTGGTTCTTTCTTTGATCAATACTTTATTCAAGACTAGCACCTTAACAGTCATCGTTATAACTCCAATGGTGTAAAAATAAATAAATAAATAAATGAATGAATAAACAACCCACGCAGAACGAAACCTCAAATTATAACCCACATGCTATGACCCTTCACTTATATCTTTCCTGACAGGCGGTTTCGCGCGCGCATTGCGGTTTTGTGTGCGCTAAGCGGCCAGCGGCAAAGCAAAACTATCTTCCGTTCCAAGGCTCTCGCGGCTTCGCTGCTACCCGCTTTAGCGCACACAAATACGCAAACTACGCAGGTTAACGTCACTTCTGGCCAGTCCCTTCTCCTCTCAATTGGTTATCTATAATCATGTACACATCTCATTTCAACAATTCTTACTGACCGTGCCCACGTCCACTAAGTCAAGGGCGCCGTCATGATCTTCGTCGAGCATTTCGGCTATTCTCTGACATTTAGCTTCACTTGGAGCGTCCTTCAATCTCTGTACAGCCGAGATCATCTCTTGTAAACTAATTTTCCCATCGCTGAAGAAAAAAAAGGAAAAAAGATTCATGCCACAGTAAATGGAAGAATTTTTCAACTGCGTGGCTAAAAACCAAGAGCCAAGCCAACCATGCAGCCAATCAGAACAGAATGTTAAATATCACAACGCACTAATAAGTAATTCTTCGAGTGTTCTCATAGAAACTCGAAACTGGAGACTCGATGACAGCACTTAGCAATGCAGATTTATTGCAATTTCGGTTGAATCTCGGCGCTCAATTGAAACAATATTTATACTTTTTTCAGCCATCAGCTTTTCCATAATCCAAGTGCAATGAAGTCCCCAAACTAGTCGATGAGTTGATAAAGGGAAGTAAGGGACGACTTGATATTATCTATCGCGGGGGGAGGGGTCGGTCAGTGGATTTTCGTTGTGTCACAGTAAATTTACCTGATGTCCCTCTACGGCTCTGCAGTATTCTAGCGATCCCCCCTCATTAACAATCAATTTTCTATACCCTCCCTTTTTTTTACATGAACAATTTAGTTGATAAAACCAGACAATTGATGAGTTAGTTGATATTGATTTATATCGACTGATGGACAGGTCGGTAGATATCTTTGGACAGTATTTTTAGTCTCCAGCAAACTCACCCATCAGCATCAAGTGGTTGTTCCATTTCATCTTCAACTTGCTTCAAACGGTCTTCAATCTTTTTAATCATCACATCCACCTTCCTACCGAGTCGTGATGAACCAAGTGATTCTTCAAGTACTCGCTTTTCATCTTCAGTCTCCAGCTCACGGAGTTCCTAAGGAACAGGCAAAACCGGGAAAAAATACACATTTCAATTCATGCTGCAAAAAAGAATTACACTAGAGGTGTGTCCCACAACCTGTTCACTTTTATTATTTTGAGCTGAATAGCACACGAAGTTTGAATGGTTTTCCCTTATAATGTACTAGAGAACAGACACATACGTGACGTCAACATTTTGTTCCCTTATAATCTAAAACAAATAGATTCCATGTTGCCGTGCTTCTGTACAGTGATAGATCAAAGATAGCGTCAAAATATGGTAAGAGCATATCAGTGATACACTCGGCTGTGCCTCGTGTGTTACATTTTTGTTCTTACCACAATTTGTCGTCCTCCGTCCTCTGTGATCGATTACTAAACAGATGCACGGCGACCTGGCTAGTCAATCACCTCACGTGTTCACTGAATTCCTGCGGCGAGGCTACTCTAGTTTCTTAGCAACGTTACAATTTGTTTTGGTAGAAAGTGCGCAAAACAATGATTCGGCCTATGTTTGTAACGGATAGAAAATTGTTCCGGTACAAAATTACGGACTTAAATCAGTCCCAAGTTCAAGTCTCTAAATGAACTAATTTCTTTAACAAGTCATAAATAAAGGGGATAAGTTTCTAAAGAAACTATGGTGCTGCGTCGGTGGGAGAGTATAACAAGGAAATTTAGTATTATTAATTGAGTTGATAACGTAAATTGGCCACCGTAAAGAGTTTTAAAGCTGACGTTTCGAGCGTTAGCCCTTCGTCAGAGCGAATGACGAGGGGCTACCGCTCGAAACATCAGCTTTGCAACTCTATACGGTGGCCAATTTACGTTATCAACTCAGTTGAGAATACCATACTACCCTCTTAAACAACTAAGTCGACTAAAAGAAAGTTGAGTGTGCATAATGTACCTCTTGATATTCTTCTCTGTCTTCCTTGATCTTCTCTAATTCCTCTCGTTCATTGGCCCGAGCAAGACTTGCTTTGATAGACAGCCAATCGTCTTGAGAAATATCCTCTTCAGGCATCGGTTTGATTTCTGGCGCCTTGTCCTGTCGATTCACCAAATTCATAAATTAAATGTTTGAGTTTCCTTTGCCTATCTGGTAGCGGCGATTCTAAGTGTTTTAATGCGCAGTTTTTTTAGACTTGGAGTTGACCAGCCCGCCAATCAGGTGAATTTATTATCAGTATTCATCAGTGCACCTCCTCTGCTGTTGTTCCACATTTTCCAACAAAATTTTCAAAAGTAAAAAAACTTATCCGTTTTTGATTTGGTTTGGATTTACTACCCTGTCATTTGTTTAAAAATCTGGCTTCTCTCTCTAAAACAATATCGTGAAAAACTAAAACAACCGCGTTTCGGTGATATGAGCTCTTAAGAGGAACATACCATTTTCGTCATCATGGTAATCATTATAACCATTATTATTAATAGAGCGCTTTTCGATTAAGTGTCGTAAAGCCAAAAGCAAAGTAATCATAACAGAAAATCAGAAGAAAAGAATTTACCTTTGAGAGCCAATGAGAACTCAAACTAAATCCAATCAAACTGCTCAAAGGGCGGGAAAACGCGCGCGACCAGCTCATGATGCGGTTTAGTTTTGATTGGTTGAGAAAGTGGCACGAGTTTTGTGGATCAATCACAGAGTAAAGTAAAAGCAGAACCTAGGCAATCCCGGATCACTTTCGACGCTCAATTGAAAATTGCTCTATCACTATAATCATTAACCCTATAACCCCTAAGAGTGACTAACATCTAACATCTCCTTACAACATCACCCCTGAATCACACATTAAGGTCATGAGAATAAAGGAGATGATCACCAACAAAAGAATCTCTTGATTGTTGAACAAATTCTCCTTGTAAGAATCCTAAGAAATGTCTTGGGAGTAGTATGGAGAATATGCACATTGATGTTGGGGAGTAAAGGGTTAATTTTATTATCACTGTTGTTGTTATTGTTAACATTTTTATCTCTATCACCATCACAAACGGTATTTTAGTGAACAATATTATTACCCTTATCTCAATTACGTTATTATCATTGAGAACACCAGCTAGAGGTAGACAAGCTAATGGTATTATTCGTAAAAACCCCATGGGTTACTCAATTATCTCGCAAACACAAAATTGTACTTACCTCTAACATCTCAGAAACAACACTTTCGATCTATTGCACAAAAAAGAATGAAAATGAAGAAACACTTTGAGAAGTGAATAAACCTGTGATAAAGCACTTTCTGAGGGTGTAACCTCCACCCAAATTGGTGGATTTTATCACCAGTATCGGTCAAGATCAATAAATATGAACCGTCGATTGTTAGTTTGGTCCAGAAACAGAACATTTGATCTCGGCCGAATCCTGATGACTCAAACCTTCAAGAGAAAATTGAAAAAGGTACGATCGAGAGTTGAAAACAAAGGACTGGAAATAAGGGAAAACGATGTTCACTTTTTTTTTCTATTCATACAGTATACATTAATCAGATTTAAGCATACAGAAGTTGAGTGAAATGGAACACTAAATAACTGCAGAAACCATAAAGTAGCGTAATTGTTTTGGACTGTAGTGCACTAGTTGTTTTGAGTGATTTGTCACGCATTGACAGACGTGGTTCGAATTGGTTCGACGTGGTTCGAGTTATCGAGGGCAGAAAAATATAGAGAATGACCCAAAGGTAGACGAAAATTGCTTCGAGTTAGCGAGAGGTTCGAATTATCAAGGGTTTTCAGTTACCGAGGGTTAACTTGCAGGAAATGTATGACGGACATCTAGATTTTAGTTCGAGTCAGCGAGGGTGCTTCAGTATAGGGCTTCGTCTACTTTGTAACTTAAAATCAACAAAAAACACCATTACCCTTGTAAAGGTAACGTCATACAGTGTTCCTTAAGACAAAGAGCCACTCAAGCATGCATAATGAAACACCAATTGATATCAGTTTTCCTTTATAGCGGGAATTCTAAATTTTAGGTCTTGGTTTGCATTATCTGTCTGAGCCTTTGGCTTCAATACATAACATAAACCATTGTCTTGATAATTATTGCTTTTTCTCAAGATTTTGTCAACATTCTTCCTGATGGAAGAGGTCCCCTAGCCTTTAAGTCCCAAAAGTAAACTAGACAGCGTTTCTCCTTACAATATAAATACCTTATGAAACGATTTGGTGTGTAGTATCGCTGAGTATTTTTACGAGTTGTGCCGTATTTTGACGAGCCCGAAAAGTAAGTCGAAATACGAACAACAGCGTTTCTCTTTACAGTATAGATGTCTTATTAGACGTTTTGGCGTGTAGTATCGCTGAGTATTTTTAAGAGTTGTGCCGTATTTAGACGAGCCCGCAAGGCGAGTCAAAATACAAACAACGAGTAAAAATACTAAGCGATTCTACGCACCAAAACGTCTAAAAAGTTATTTATTATCCAATTTCTTTTTTTTCTGCTACGTCTTTCTGCTCATTTCTCAGAAGGCGGTAAAAGCAAAGCGGATAGAGAAGCGTAGCGCGCGCAGCCGACTGGTTAAACAGGTTTTCTTATTGTACAAAATAACCAACTGTCCAAATAACCGTACAATATCGCGGGAATTTTCACTCTATTCGCGCGTTATTTGTAATTATCTTTGTGCAGTTGGATGATAACAATTCAATATCAAGCACACAAGTGACGAGAATAACAAAATATCGATTATGGGATTATTACTCGATTCAATACCAAATTCTCTGAACTAACATCATAAGAATTGAACGGCAGACAGTAGGGAGGATCTTGGAAATGGAAGTGTTAAATATATGTATCCTTTACATTACAGTAAATACCTTCTTCTTTTTCTCCTCTTCTTCTATAATAAGTTCTAGATTTTCCTCAGCAATCATTCTCTCCTCATTCTTCAGAACATCCAAACGAACTTTGTTGTCAACTTTCTCACCAGAAACTTCGCATATTTTAATTTCAGCCTCTTCTACCTGAACATAAAGTAATTCAAAAGGAAGCTTTTATACTGGCCAAAATAAAGAGCAAACAAACAAACACACAAATAAACGATCAAACAAACAAAAACAAAACAAAATTCTAAAAATATTAACCACGAGAGTATCATGTTAAGGAAACCACACATACACAATTACATGGCATGTGATTATAAACCTTCGAATCTTAATCCACCGTCTTGTAAATAATAAAAAAATACTTTGTATTTTTTAACTCCATTTCAACAATTACAAACTTTTTGAATAATTACAAAGAAGAGAAAAGGGCATAAAATAGTGAACCCTCCTGAATGCAGAGCCAAACACTGAACATGAACCTCAAGGGAGAGAGGTTTAACTAAAGTATGTAAATACAAACTGTAAATAATAGCGGAGCTCGCGTAGCCCCATAATTATACAAAATAGTAGTAACCCATCAAGCCGAAAAAATTTGGATGTTCGACCGTACGACCATACAAGGTGCTACTTTTAACATGCGTGGTCAATTGTACCGCGGGCACGCCAATGCCACGACTTTGTCCAGTAGTCCAGTGATCAGTGCACTGGACTCAGAGTCGGACGACCCGGGTTCTAGTCCTGGCCGGGGCAAGACGTTGTGCCCTTGAGACGTGCGAAAAAAAAAATATGTGAGCTCCGCTTTTAGGCTTGGCTAAATCTATATATTATATTATATTACATACCACTTACAATCAAATTGAAATACACGCAAAGAAAATTGATGTAAAATAAAAGAAATGGATTGTAGAAGAAAGCACAAATGCCAGCGGCAATGTCAACTTAGAATGATCCCCCCCGTAAAATCCTGCCATTTTATTCCCATTTCTCCATGACAACTGTCAAAAATTGTAACCGTGAAAACATTAATTCTCTGTTATTCTTAGAACTGCAGCACATAACATTTTTATATAGTTTTTTAATAGGCTTCTCCCATATATAGATATGGGGATATGCTCAAATTGGCCTACCAAGAAATAAAGTTGTCTTTATCCTAACATCAGACAGTGAACACATGCTTACCAAGTTTTCTGGCAGTTGTGACAACGTTTCTTTGAGCTGATCGACCTTACTGACATTTTCTGGGAGATACAATGCTCTGGACATCAGCAAAAGAGATGCTGGAATTTGCTCAACCAGGTGCAGTTCAACCCACTATGTACAAAGAACAACATCTTTACATCAGTATTGAATAATTTATGAAACTTTGACAATGACTGCAACTTTCAGTAATACATGAAGACAGTCATGTACATGTAGGTAGATCACAGATGATGTCAAAAAGTGGTAAGAACAAAAAGTGGCTCACAACTGGTCCAACCGAGTATATCTCTGGTGTTCTAACCACTTTTTTATGTCCTCTGTGATCTAATACTGACCAGATGCATGGCAACATAGAATCTGTTTGTTTTATGTAAAATAAATTAAAGAAGCACAATCATGTTATTGATGCTGAGATCATCCATAGCTGTCCAGATTTGTCTTTTAATAGATCACAAGCAAGAACCAATTAAATTGAGTGTATCATCCAGCTTATTATAAGACAAAGATACATTGCAAGTACCTCACAACCTCTGAAAATTCACCTGTTTAAGTTGAGACCTTAATCTTGCTGCAGGAACACCAATAGCTCTCATTCCGCGAGCTTGGGAAGCTGACTGCAGTTCCTGTTCAGTAAGGCTTTCCACACCTTCTCTTTGGATTAACTGAGGATTGCGATAATAATACCACTTGGGGTGAGACACTTTAAATAATGGTTACCATAATGGGACCAAGTAGAGTCCAATTCTGTCCGTAATCATACAAGTGATTAACAAAATCTGACAAAATAATGCTAAGTGGGAGTCTGATTTGTTAATCACAGGCATGATTACAGACAGAATTGGACAACACAAAGTCCTGGTACCAACTAATCAAAACTATGACTAAATTTGAGAAAGAAACTAGACATCAGTCATACTTTTTCATAAAAAAACAACAGTTAACTCGGCAAAATGCAAGACAACAGCGCGCACTCATGATGTGTCTACTTACACAGGCATGAGTGTTAACTGTCCAATTACACTGTCCAATTACTAGCATGATGCATACAATGTCCTATTAGGGCTCAAATAGGGCTGGTAATAACCAATTCCTTTCAAGAAGTTGTTTACAGTTTTGATTAAATGTACAATTATTCTAGGAAAAATGATTGAAGTTTGCACTAACAGTAAGTTCATTATAGAATATTTATAACGACTCTTACCAGAAGCTCAGACCTATTATGCTTTCAGTAATCATTAAAGTTAAACAACTCAATGTTAGGAAGTGATTTTTGATTGGCTAATCTCATGCTCTAATAAACTCCAGCTCTTGGACAGACATAAGCGCTTCAGGGTTATAATATTCATAATGACTCTGACAAATAATGATGATCACAAATTAAAATCTACTGTCAGTAACGCAAAAAAATGATAAATTTTGAGAGGTATAACTGGTTAAGGTATTAAAATATTTATTATTGGTACATCTATTTTCTTAGGTATTTCTTTTCTGTGTTTCTTTTGAGGCATGTTTTTTTTTTTTTTGAGCCTTATAATATCATTCTTACATGTACATAAAAATTACAACTACAGCAACCTACCAAATCATCAGCTCTGAGCTCTCTTAATTTCATCCTCAGTCGAAACCTGAAGTAATTGTTTGTTCCAATGGTTGGCAACATCAACAGCCTGTTGATTGCTTTGAGTTGGGCACGACTCATGTTGTCTAATGTAATTTGATCCTCAAACAATTTGGAAAACCTTAAGATGTCTTCATTGCTAGGTTGTTGTCCTCTGCTACGGATCTGCCATCCAAATATAAAGCAAATTTATGTAAATGAGGCGAGGGAAACTAGGAGGCTAGTACATACATGTACTTGTTCCTCTGACCCTTTCTGTGCCAAGATCACCATGAAAATTCTCAGCAATGTCTGACATACATTTTTCATAATCATTGTTCTGAGAAGTTGGTTTCTAAATTAAACAATTTAACCCTCAATTGTTTTTCTTTGTTCTTTTCATCACATTCCAGATTGAAAATGTACTCTGATACAAAATAGGGAATTTCCCTTTTGGCCTGTTGTCTTAGAAGTGAAGGGGCTGATGAATTTGTAAAAACCTTAGCAAACATTTTAAGTGGTAATCACTGTATGTACTCATATTGAAAGCATTTACCCTTTAGTTAGTTTTAAAGAAGGGATAAAAAATGCTTGAATATTTAAAGATTTATCACTAAGTCTGTCACAGGATAGCCAAATTTCTCTTCCTTCATGGTTACATTAGGTACATGTATGTTTACCACATTCAAATTCTTCAAAAATTGACTTTTCTAAAATATCAAAATTAACAGCTTCTAAAGAACATAAAACCACATTAAGTGATAAGGGAGAGTTTTTGCAGTAAGAAATATTTATCTATTCTACATATAGTAATAAATACAATTCAATTTTTTTTTCATGCCCCTTTTCCTGCACCTTTTCAAAGAAGTTTGCAAAGTCGGCCACAACCTCTTGTGTTTTCTTTTCTTTGGCTGTCACAGCCATTTCTTCCACTGTGTCTTGTAAAAACTTAGCCATCTGGATTTTTACTTTAAGCTGTTTCTTTTTGTTTTCTTCCTGATAAGTAAAAAAAGAAGGATCATAACACAATTGCTACATTAAAACGCAAGGCTAAAGCTAACTGGCCAGTGAAACTGGTCACTGTCAAACATTATTGATCAATCTAGAATTTGATGGTGGTAATATTGACATGTTGAGCTGAAGAATGCTTTCTGTAACTTATAGTCTTCAAATCAGCTGACTCTACTACTAGCCACAAGTTTAAAGTTTGTTTTTTATCCAATCTGTCTCAAAGGGAAGACATACCACTCCTGTAGTTGTTTAAAATCACAAAAGCTGGCTGTCTTAGAGTAAATTTGGTGAAAAGGATGGGGAAAAACAACTTACTATTCCTGATAATTAGTCCAGTGAAGCCCTGCTAACATAAAACTTGGTTAAACTTTAACTCCCAAGATCTGATTGTTAATTCTCCCCTCTAACTGCTACACATTTCCTTGAAAATTAGTTAAGAGAATTTGGTGCTGGATCAAGATAGCAGCTCCGACCTGATAAGTCTGAATACTCTAATTAGCTGTTTGCTAGATAATGAATAAATAATAATTGTAGGGAGAAGTTTCATGTTAATCACCTCTAGGAGTTAGCGGGTTACCTCTTATAAAAGGAACTGAATGTGTTAAAATGCCTGTGAACTGAGCAAGAATAGTGAAAACATAATTCCCTGTTAATCCTTAACAAGATAATTGAAATTCAACACCATTCCCAAGAACTTGAACTCCTGCTAACTCCAACCCTACTTTGGTTTCCCTTCAGAGATTGAGTTTGTGGGTTTCTACTGTAATTAACAATTGTATGATTTTCAAACCTTCTTGGATTTGTCCTCAAATGTACTGGGTAGCATGTTTGGAAAAAGGTAAACAGCAACTGGTAACATAAACTCCATGAAAGGAATCAGTACAAATACCAAAAATGGAACCAAGCGAAATATATCTGCCACTGTGCGAAGAAACTAAAAAATTTAAATGATGAAAAGGATGAAAACTCCAGTCAGTAAAAATCCAAAAATACTTAGTACAAAGCACACAAACAAAAAAAGTACATGTAAATACTAACAAGTCAGTCTGAGCTCAGCCCTAAACAAAGCCTTGCTTGTAAAATTATTTAAACAGCTTGGTTAGCTTCGACTTAGTTTTCACCCTTAAAATTGTTTTTCTAAAAGTTTCAATAGTTTCAAAAGTTTGCAGAATTTGGGTTAGAGATACAGCCATGTAAATATATATGAAAGGATAAATATCAAAATATTCTTTTTAATTAATACAAATTTAGTCATACTCTTGTTACCTGACGTCTTTCCCGTCTGGACAACACCTTTCCATTCATGACCTGCCATAACCTACGAGCAGCAATTCTAACTTCAAAATACAAAAGCTTAAATCCATGATAATAATGTACAGCCTCTTGCTTAACCCTCTGCCACAGAGACTTCTTTGGCGCTGGAGAAACAGCAACTATTGGCTCGATTTCTTCAGGGCTACATTCCATTTGAAAAGCTTTCTCCTTCAGCTTTTCTTTCTTTTCTTTCATAGCTTCCACAGCCTCCTCTACTTTGGACTTTTTTTCTTCATCTTCCAACAGCTTTGTTATACCTGCTTTGCTAGGTAAGGGATCATAACTTATGCTGCTGGTGTGGAATGTCTGTCTTTGATGACCACACAGGAGACCTGTATGTTTAAAATTTAAAACATTTCCACAAAACATTGTTCTGTTAATTGTGGTTTTCACGGGAGACAAATTTGCCTGGTTTGTACATGGCTTAATCCAGGCAAGTAGATGATGTCCACCAGTGAAACATGTACTCTGTACCTGTCTGTCCCTTTGTACACACTTTAAAGTGTTCAATTCTACACTAAGAGCTGACAATCCAGGTATAGATTGATTGTGAACAGTACTTTTGAAACCAACAACACTCCTATGACTGAATGGAACAGCATGATTACAATGTCGGTGGCAAGGAAATTTGCGCTTTGAGTCTTGATCATATCTTTGGCAAGCGACATAACTGGACAACTGACATGCATGTCTAAAACAGAAAGGAAACAAGCATTGCTTCAAACAATTGCTACACTTGTACTTGGTAACCTTAACCTTTGACACCCTAGACCTGATTGTTAATTCTATCATCTTGTGGTAATGATTTCACCCTTCCCCTTCCACTACATTCCCTGCTCCCTGTGGGGGAACTGATACCCTGATGATGAAACAGTTGACCCATTCATTCCAAGGAGTGACCATGCATGAATTTCTTCTCCCAACATCCATAATTATTATAACTTAAGTCATTCTCAATCCTGAAAAGTTTATGAGATGTCTATCCTCTTCTGCTGTCTTCCAAAGTGTCACAACAACTGGAAACTTAATGTACTAGTGGATATATGCCAGAAATCACAAAAGAAAAGAACTCAACTGCATATTTTGTGAGAATGCCCAACTACTAAGATACTACAAAAGAAGCAAAAAGTAGCACCAGGAAAAATTGGGTCAAAACCGGGTCAAGACTGGAATTCTATTATCACACTCACTCACTCATTCATCTCAACAAAATATGTAGCTTCTCTCCCATAGGAGGCATTATATGAAAATCATATACTTTAGGTGAACTGCAGATTAATGAATGAATATAAAAGTGATCTTTACAGTGGTGAACACTAATTAAGCTGTTGTTAAAATAAAGCCTGAAAAAATTTAGGCCTATATAATAGTTGAACCCATGACCTCGCAATAACAGTGCAGTGCTCTACCAACTGAGCTACAGTATCAAGCTTGCTGGGAGCTGGTCATTATGTTGGTTTGTAATGAGCCCATGTTTGAGTAACCACCAAATTTTTTGATCTAAAATCATAGTTGATGAATGACAAACAGTTAGGAGAATAACTATGTAGATTATGGGAGTGAAGGGGTTAGGAAACCAAACAAATTGTTACCAAACTTTTAGCTAACAGATTAAGTAAAAATAGGCTCATGGATTAACTTCTACTTTGAGTAGTTTTAGCATTAGCATCTAGCGTATTCAGTTACGAATATAATTCAGCTACTAAATAACTCCCCAGGTCACATTCTTAGAGTTCATGGGTTCAAATGCTGTTGAGACACTCCGCACAAACAACTAACAGAAAGATTAATAATTAATCGTGATCAACACACAAATCGGACTCGAGCTTGGCAATGTAACGCACGCAATCACTTCAAAGGAGTTACTGTCCGAAACAGCATTGAATATCAACCATACAACATGGCCGATGCCTAAATCTCCACGTGTGGATGCCTGAGCTCGGATTTAAAAATTAATGGCGACTGTATAATTTTCTTGAACTGCAGATTCAATAATTTACATATGACATAAGTTCCTACAATTGCGTCACGAAAGTTACCACTTACCGATAATGTGGAGAAGAAGTATACAACAGCCGTTCTGTCGAAAATAATACATCCAGATACCCCAATAAGCGAACGAAAAACGTCAAAATGTTATAATAATAAGCTCAGTACATTTATATTCGACCATGCAGATTCAAAAGTTCAGTAAAACCACTCAACAGCATACTCACGCAGGTTACAAGAGTGCTGCAACATCGCCGTTCTGTTTTCTTGAATGCTAAAAATCACAGAGTTGATTATCTACAAATTACATAACCTAAATATTATAAAATTATCTTCTTGTGTGTTTTCCTAGACATCGATTACTATTTAGGCTTATCACATGTTGGAAATCACACGAAGACCGGCTTACACGACAGTTACTGGTCAGCGTTTGCCATATTAGACCATGGCTTGCATAGAGTTGTGGGATACTTGCTTGCCGGAAGAGGTGTGATCATCATCCCACAGGAAAACAATATTTCACAGAGATTTTCTGCGATTCACAGAGCACAGACGAGAGACATTATGTCGTTCGAGAAAGGTTAGTTTATCTTGCATATTTTAGGATCGCATATGCTCTAATTTATAGTCTGTAGCCTTAGTTTATGCGAACAGTTTGTTTCAGCTTTCTTTGACAAACTCACTTTCGTGATCCTGTCATCTTTCTTGAACATGTACTAGCTATCGTTTTTCTTCCAGCGATACGGTATCTTTTGAGACCAAGCTTATTCTTGTCTTACAGGACGTATATTTTCTACCTTACCGAAAACTGTTAGAGGCGCTCCAACAGTTTTAAAAGGCGATCCAAAAGGAAAAAATTTCCTCTATACCAATGGTACCAGCGTGATAATTCGCGACATTGAGGTGGGTTTAATTTATTTCTGCAAGATTATTTTAGCTTCAGAAGTGCAATTTTCATCAGAGCTTGTCATTCGCAAAGCAGGGGGCTGAAAACTCAAACATACTGAGCAAATTTCGAAATGCATCTTTTTATTCTCAGCTGCATGCGATATTATTTTCGGAATTTTCCTGCACACTCGATAATTTCCTGTAGACGTTGACTCATGTAAAATTCATGTATTTTAAATTTCTCACTCACTCTGAAAATTTTAAGTGACGTAAGGTACTGTATTTCATTCGAGAATGTGCTTAAATGTGAAATAACACCTTGAATGTGAAATTACTTTGCAAGGAGGTTGCATCTGATAAAGAAGATGTCGATAGTGTAGTGGTGGACATAAACGGGCGGTTTGTCGATTATTTTAATAGTTTGAGTGAATTACAGCCAACATTGACCAAAAAAGGACATAACTGATCAACTATTTTTGTTTCCATAACTATTTCCATCTCCAACACTGCCATTTCTAATTATGGAAGTCCTGTGGAAGCCAACTCGCTCATTGTAGATTTTTTTGTATTATTTAACCAGATTTTATGGTAAAGTTACAAACCAAATTTTTTTCACTATAAAAATCCTCAAACGGAGTTATTTAGTATGTACAAAGTAAGTGAATAGTGCAAAATGTTGTCATATGAGGGCTTAAGGCTGTCAAGGCTAGTACTATTCCCTTAGGAGCATCAAATGAGACAAAATCGTGCCTCAAGAGTTTAATTTCTTACCATTTTTTGGTATGAAAGAAAGATATTTTTTTGGTGTCTGGGGGTATATACTTAAACTATTAATCACCTCAGTTTCAGAGAATAATTGTTAATTATTGTATCATAATTCTAATGGTCCTGGACTCCCCCAGTTATTTTGAGTTTTGTTAACAGAAAACCAAAGGTAAAAAGCATTGTACAATTACAATAAAATTGTAAAAGTTTACCTTTTTTGAATTACTCCTTTTCAAAGAGAATCATGGGAGACTGGTGACAGTAATTTGCCAAGCAACCAATCTGGAGGCAATCTCACTTTAACAGATTCAAACATGGATAAATATTACTTGATTTTACTTCATCTATTAATTAAATAGTAATTTTTTTAAATTTCTTTTTTTTCCATTGATTCCTCTTTCACTGCTACTTCAGTCAAAGTACTAATAATAAGTTCATAAAAAAACTTTTTTGGAGTCTATTAAAGTTTTTTGTTTGTTTGAGATGGAATTTAAGTTAAAATAATTTCTGAATTTATTTGCACTTTTTATTTTTTACTTTCAATTGATAATTACAGGAAGTATGACAATGTGTCATTAACAGAGGGAAATGCAAATTAAAATGGTTTTAAATCATTTTGTCCTAAATTCAGGTTAAACTACAACATGTGTGTATGCATTCTTACAATGTAGGTTATTAAGCCTGAGGTAGAACCTTGGCTCAGTATTATGTCAGTCTGACTGAAGCATTGCTGTAATGAGATTTATGTAAAATGTACGGTACTTTGAAAACTCTGTGTTTCAGAAGGTGAGAGAGTGTGGGATATTGATTTTTACTTCATAAAGAATAATGTTACATACATCAGTTTATATTAGTCTATATTTGCAAAAAAGATTTAAAAGATATTAAACAAAAGAAAAGAAAGGATAGAAAACAAACTAACAATTTATGAATTTAACCAATAATGTTTCAATGTATTGTTTCTTTTTTGTGCTCCTTTATTGCTTTCAAGATTTTTGTTAATTCTTCCCTTAAGCTGCTGCACATTTTCCTTGTAAAGTAATTATAAGAATTTGGAGTTAGATCAAGATGTAACTTCTACCTCATGAGTCTGAGTATTCTCATTACCTGTTTGCTGGATAATGTATGGATATTGTAAAGAGAAGTTACATAATAATCAATTTTGGGAGTTGAACAGTTAATGCTTTGGAACTTAACTCATGTTCAGAATCACAATTTAACCCTTTCACCCCCAGGAGTGATGAACATGAAACTTCTCCTTATAATTTCCTTACTTTATCCAGAAAACAACCAATAAGAATATTCAAACGTATCAGATAGAAGTTGTTACCTTGATCCAACACCAAATTCTCAAAACTAATTTACAAGGATACAGTATGTGTAGCAGCTAGAGGAGAATTAACAATCAGATCTTGGGAGTTAAAGGGTTATTAAACATTTAGGGCTGGTTGTTTAAACAAAGTTTAGCTGTTGTTTAACCAAACTTCTTTCAAAGCCATCTTCAGTTTAGCCAAACCTCTTAATATCCAAACATTTATTTTTGGGAACATTGTCAAGAGGGCCAAAAATTATCTGTGGGAGGACATTTATTTGATGAAATCAACCCTCTTATAAAAAGAAACTGAGGCCCACTGCTTGTTTAAAACTGTGGAGTTCAGTGAACTCTTTCATTCAAGATGATATGTAGGAATGACCATTGACTAATATTTGATTGTTTCCTGTCAGTGCAGAAACATTTTGATATTTATGAATTTTGGGTCAGATTCTTTGAAAATTTTATGCTCATTTCATATACTAAATAAATTACATTTGCAGAACCCTGACATCGCTGATATTTATACCCAACATGCCAAGGATACAACTGTAGCAGCATATGCACCAAGTGGATTTTACATTGCATCAGGAGGTAAAATATCCCCTGAGACCCATTGTGCCAAGTTCTTTCAAGGTTTTCCATTTTGTACCTAGAATGTAATTTTAACCCTTTCACTCCCAAGATCTTATGAGTCATTCTCCTTACTATCTGCCATACCCTTCTCATAATGTTAGTTCAGGGAATTTAGTCTTAGATCAACCAATAATCCCCTAACTGATATTTTTCTTTATTCTCATCACTAGTCTGTCTGGTATTGTATTGATACTGTAAGGAGAAATTCTGTCTTGATCACTCATGGGAGTGAAAGGATCAAAAGACTGTACCACCACATTACTTTCTAATCCAATAATTTTCAAGTATGTACTGATATTCTGTAGAGATGTACAGAATTTTTAAATAAATCTGTCCTTTTGGAGTGCTATTTTTTTTTTGGTCAATTAGCAAGTTGTATTCAGAAAGTAATGTTGCATCTTACAGTCCCAGACAGACAAAAATTGATGATTTCTTAGATAGGTATTGGTAGCTCTGATATTTGGTGACCTTTTACTGCAAACTAGAGTTTTAGGTAAGCTAATTCAAATTAACTCACAATGTACAATGGGATATGTGATTGGTGGGAGACGTGTTGGTCTAATGGTAAGTGTGTAAGACTTCAGACAAGAGGTCTGAGGTTAAGGCCTGGTTACATCCATGTGTTGTGTTCTCAGGCAAAACACAATGCTCTCACAATGCTTCTCACCATCCAGGCCCCAGTTGTTTGAAGGTTGGATAACACTATTCACTGGATAAATCTTTATCCAGTGAATAGCACAGTATGTTTTGCTATCACTTATCTGCTGGATAGTGATTTATCTGTTGGATAGTGTTATCTGGCATTTATACTACTGAACCCTGGAGTATAAATGGGTACTGGCAAATTTGTCAGGGAAGCTAGTGTGGTGAAATACTGGATGGTAACCTTGCAATAGACCAGCATCCCATTCAGGGGGGAGGAGTGACTCCTAGTTACTCAATGCTAAGGAGATTGGAGTAAGCTCCGGCTTGGTAGCCACTTGGCTTGGGTACAGTTATGGTTAAACAAGTATTGTTCCAGTCATCGTAGTAAATACAGCACCATCAGTGTTGTCATTTGCAGCCACACATTCTTTCCTTCTGGCCATTCATTTCAGTGGCAAACAATAGAACTGAGGCACACATCAGGTAAAGTGCACAAGTGTATAACTTAACAACATGACCTTGTGTCTTTATAGTCTATCAATTCTTTTTTTTTTTTTTTTTTTTTTTTTTTTGTAAGATGTCTCTGGAAAACTCAGAATCTGGGACACCACACAGGCAGAGCATGTACTGAAATATGAATACCAGTCTTTGAGTGGTGCTATTAAAGATATCGCATGGTCCGAGGACAGTAAGAGGATTGTTGTTGTTGGAGCAGGCAGGGAAAAGTAAGCTGTCATCCTCATTTCTTTTTAACAACTGCATCGCTATGTGGAGGTTGGGTGCTTCAAACATCCAGGAGCTTCCACTGTTAGCAGCCAGCTCCCAGGCAACCCAGCCATGAACCCAGATGCAGGAAAGGGAAACAGGCACCCATCACACTGAATAAACAGTGGAAAGAGGGAGGGAAGGGTGGGGAAAACTGCCACTCCTCCAAATGCTTCAAGTTCATGCTCAATGCACATGCAAGAACACCTCAAATGAAGAGCACATGGAATTCCGACACATGCACATATGCAAAAAAACTGCTGACCACTAGAGAACACTGATGCTCTTTGTTGTTACAGTAGCTCCATTAAATTGCATTTATCTGCATATAAAAACCCTGTCCAAATAATTTTCTGTTTGTCTGCTAGTCTCTGCGTTAGTCACAGTTTTTATTTTATATTTAGAGTAGCTCTATATCAGGAAGACAAATGGCCCTATTCAATGACTGATAAATTCCTTTACCGATATGCCAGTTTTGAGCCAGTGGCCTGCACAAGTAACAGTGTATCATTAATTTGCTGGAATATTACTTTGCTTTTAGATTTGCTAATGTGTTCCTATGGGATAGTGGGTCTTCGGTGGGTCAAATCACAGGACACTCCAAGGATATCAACGCAGTGGATTACAAACCCACTCGTCCATTCCGCATCTGTACTGCAAGTGAAGATTCTGATGTTGGCTTTTTCGAGGGACCACCCTTTAAATATCATCATGCTAACAAGGTTGGTAACACTGACATTAATTTATTTGTTTATCAAATTCTATTCAATTTTATTGATTTGATTGACATTCATAAAGATCCTCTACATCAAAAATGTTCATTTATCACATGTATGTGTGATTCTGATATTTTTTAATTTCCAATTCTTGGATAAGTTGCTTTTATTCTCAACCCAAAATTAAACTGGAAGAGACATAAGCATTTAGTGGACTATCATTAGTATTCAACATTCTGTTATTGAAATACACTCTTGAGCCCTAACAAGAGGAGCTGGATTGACCCATGGAAATTTTCTGTCAGACTTACTACAGCAAGTATCTTTTTGCCATTGAGTATACATGAACTGAAGAAAATCGCATTTCATTCTTGTAGAGTACAGTTGTTCCAAGCATACATTCATTAAGCGCCAACTGTTTTGGCTTTTTCTGTAAATGAATGAGATGAATCAAATTATTTGCACAGGTTGACTAACTGCACCCAATCTCCGAGGCCTTGATTGCCTACTCAGATCTCAAAGATTTAACAAAAACCATTGAAACTAGATTTCACAAGTTTGGGAAACTCTTCTTTTTTAAACACATTTTTTTTCCAAAAGTTTTTACAGGAGTGGATTTATGGTTTTTACAGGAATGGTACATTACTTCAAACAGGTTTGTTTTAGGACAGGCACTATGACAATGGATAGCCCATTGTTTCCTTTCCTTTTTTCATTTAAACAGAGCCACACCAACTTTGTGAACTGTGTAAAGTACTCGCCAAATGGTGAACATTTTGTGTCTGGTGGTGCAGATGGCATGGTATGTCTGTTTAGGAAAGTGTTTAATACAACCATGTGACTATGTACAAATGCTTTACAACAAGTTAAAAGAAAAAATTGGTGTACTGTAAGTGGAATTGTAACTCTATGACTGTATATTACAGTATGTGAAACTAGCAAAGTGCTTCTGAGCCAACTGAGCTATCAATTCATGGTGATCATGATAGTAATGTATATACCCTTGAAAGATGAGGAGATTTAACATTTAGCAAATTTATGGTAATATGCCTCAATTTTGCTTGTACAACTAGAGTATGTATGGTTGTACTCTAAAATTGTACTGTATCTCATAGAAAAGAATTATGAACACTTTGGAATCTTCCCACTATTCATTTTTTTATTATTTTGTTATATTTATTTCCCTTGGTCATTATCATAATCTCAAATGAAAGAAAATTAAAATGAAGCTGTTTTGAAAATTGTTTGAAATGAGGAAAGAATTAACACAGCAATTTATGCAACAATACATGTAATTCTGTGAGCATAGCTTGGTTTGTTTTGATGCTGAACTCTTTATTCTGATCAATATTGATATTGTTGTTGTCTTTTTTTAGATTTTTCTTTATAACGGTAAGAGTGGAGAGGAAATTTGTGCCTTGGGTGGAGGAAAAGCTCACAAAGGGGGTGTGTACGGGGTGAGTATTTTACTGAGAGTGCAAGACTTTTCCTAGTGTCATCCTGCAGTTATGAAACTTTTCCTTGATAGTGTAATTGCTTGAAGTCGACAAGTGGTGTTGCTGGATACATATCTTATTTCCTTGAATAAGCATCCATGCTCTAATTAGTGTCCTCCCCTAAAATAGTACCCACCCCCTTGGCCATAATTTCCAACAACAAGTGCCCCCTTAAATAGCTGCTTTTCCCTCCTCCCCCCTCCCCCCTGCACCTCCTCCCTCAATTTCTTAGATAGTGGGGATTCATGGAACTTCTGTTTCTGTTGCCACTTTATTTATACCTTTTTGAGTTTCAAATACAGTGGAATCAGTGCATAGGAGAATAGTTTCTTTTCCCTTCCAGGTATTTCTATCTCCATGTGCTTGCAGAGTTTCGTTATGTGTTATTTAACAATAGACTGATCATTATTTTGCATATTACTGATTGCTTTTTAAAACCCTTTATGCCCTACAATCAGAAAGCAGTAAGGTGCTGACAGGGAGAATTTTTTTAACAATCAAAAGCTTACTTAGTTTGTGATCATTTCCTTTATTCTTGTGACCTTAGTGTGGGACTAACATGTAAGTTTGATATTGTAAGGAGAAAGAAGGTGCCAGTAACTCTTAGGGGTCAAAAGGTTGATGATCATCTGAATGGGTTTCTAAGTGACCTGAGACTTGTCTATCTTGATGAGCAGGAGGACACCTTGAAACGCTCCTCTTCTCTCTTTTTGTAGCATTGTTTAATCCTTACTGGATGCAAATTACAGTGTACTAACAATAATTTGTCTTGACTGTCATAGGTATCATGGAGTCCAGACAGCAACTTTGTTCTCAGTGCTTCAGCAGACAAGACTGCAAAAATATGGGACATAGCTGCTAACACTGCTTCTGTGTAAGAAATTCTAAAGCAGTTCCCCCCACAGTTATGTGCATAGTAGATCCATCAAATTTTGTTTGCAAGTGAAAAATACAAATTTGTATATTAGGTAACAACACGATTATGAGTGCAATTTGGTGTCAGTAAGCATGAGTATATTTTTAAGAGACTACAAAATTTTACAAACCCGTAGGGCAAGTGAAATTTTTTAGTCTTTGAAAAATTTACCAGTGCATATTTACACACACATTATTACTTGTTAATGATTTACATGAAGAACATCAGAGAAAGTCAAAGATGGATGAAATTTTGGCAGCGCACACTATTTGTAATTTGCAATTGTGTTACAACTTTGCATTCGTGTTACATGAAAAATGTACTCGTTTTCAGCCAATCAGACACGCATTATCTTTTCTTGTATATTATTAGTATAGTCTGTGATAATATCTTCTTGCTCAAGAGTACTGATTCTCCATGAATAATATACATAATTGTATTCTTGAAAAAGCAAGGATGTCGAAATTTGAAGTTGACCCTCACCCTCCAGTCCAGTCTTAATTATTTCCCAGAAGTGATGGAAAAAGTAGATTAAAATTCCGCTGTTTTGGCTTTAAACGTGTCTCATTATTAACCAAAAATTTTTTAATGTGACCTTTTAAGAAGAGAAAAATTTGGTTTAGATTGGAATCACTGTTTCAGTTAAAAAAAAAAAAATTGGTTCAGATTGGAATCACCATTTTTGATTTGTTTGTTTTCTGTTAGTGAGTTTACATTTGGCACAGACCTTGACCACCAACAACTTGGCTGCTTGTGGCAGGGAGATTACCTCCTTACTGTTGCTCTCACTGGAAATATCAACTATTTGGATAAGAACAATCCTTCCTCCCCAAGCAGAATTATTAAGGTATGCAGTTTACATGTGTAAAACACTGAGAGTACCCTCTCACACCTACAGTTAGCAGTTATTGGATGAGGTTGAGCACGGTATCATGAATTATCAATGTCGAGGTCTGTGTTATCTTCCGAAGCCTTCGGCTTCGGCAGATACCACAGACGCAAAGTTTCATTGATAATTTATGATATCATGCGAAATCCGAATTCATTAATTGTTTTATTAACCTTTTTTAAACATTCTGCAAAAGAAGACACTTCTCTCTGAGATTGCAGAAGTTTGAGAACACTACACAGCCGAGGGGCTTGGAAACTAGGAAAACTTTGAACTTGACATGATAACCCAATATCTGCTAGAAGTTAATTACTTGTAGAAGTTCGAGGGTAGATAGCGAGCGAAAAAGATAGGATTGAGACTTAGTGTGGTCCTGCTGTGTTGAGGTGAATGTCAAGTATTGAACCTTCGACTAACTTGCAACTCTTAACGCAGTAACTCTCAAAAGTGATTAGCATATAACTTCTCCCTAGAATATCCTTACATTATTCAGCAAGTAGGTAATGAGAATACTCAAACCTATTCGGTAGGAGTTGTTATCTTGTTTTAACACCAAACTCTTGTAACTGATTTACAACGCGTTGTGTAGCAGCTGGAGGAGAGAAATTAAAAATCAAATCTCGGGCTTTGAAGGGTTAAATTGAGTGCATTTGGAAATTGTGTGATTGAGATGACAGGTTTTATATGCAGAGCTGTCATTTAAATGTTCCCGTTTTGATATTTGTCTTGATACTTCATCTTTATTGCTTTTCCAATCAGGGCCACAACAAGAACATTTTGTCCGTTGCTTCTTCTGAAGATGGCTCTACTCTGTACACTGGAAGTTTCGACTCACGAATTTGTATCCTCTCAAGTATTATGTCTTATGCATTCACAAAACATGTGAAATTCTTGGAGTCCTTCAAGCTTCATCTACATGTATGAGTTTCTGTGTAGAAAGATACTAGGTTACTTTAAGGAGTTCGTGTAACTGCCAACAAACTTTGTTTTGTGGAGCTCGTTGCCCCTGTAAATGCTTTTTTTGCCCTTACACAAAGCAGAGTTTCGTTGCTTTACTTGATTCTCATCCGCAGGTTGAAATAAATGTATCTTACTAGAAGTTGTGATGTACCTCTGTTGTAAAACTTAACACGCTTCAGGTCAATGGGATGTGAAATCTGGAAATGCTGAGACATTCAAAGGCAAAGGTCATACAAATCAAATATCAGACATGGTTTTGTGTGCAGATAAGTTAGCCACCTGCAGTATGGACGACACCGTCAGATTCACGTCCCTGAAGACTCTGGAATATGGGTTAGTGGAGTAACACCTCATGTAATGATGCAAGCCCATTGTTAAGACTCTTAAAAGCCTCTGTAGGTTGATAAATTCCCACGGCTTCCAGACAGAAGATGATCGGAGAGAGAAGGAGAGGGGGAATGGGGCAAAGTGAGAGGCATAATATCAGTCGATTTTTTTTTCCATTTGTCCAGTCGTCCAGCTTTGGTGCATATTTTTTAAAGAATGAATTTCGCTGATTTTAAAAAACACTTCATCCTTTGAAACAGAAACAAGACTGTTTTGGCTTACAAATGCAATTGCGTTTTGTGCTGAAACGCTACAGTAGTTAGCCCGAGACCATTAACAGTACTACGGTGTAACAATTTCCTCGGCGAATTCACGGCATTATTATTTTGTCCCGTGTTTTAATTTAGGGGTGGAGGAAGGATGTGTTGGTTATAAGATAAGGGGGCTTATATGAAGCTTCAAGCTCAACTATTGAAATCAATCAGATGGAAAGCAGGTCACAGGGCACCCAGGGACACTATATAGAAACTGCATTTAACCTCCTAACTCGCAAATCAAATTTGTAATTCTACTTACTGTCAGCTATACAATTCTTATAATTTTAGTTCAGAGAATTTAGTATTAGATTAACTAACTATCCCCAAATTGATATTTTTCTTTATTCTCATCACTTATCTGGTTGAAATTGTATTTATATTGTAAGGATAATTTTCTCTTGGTAACTCACGGGAGTTAAAGGGTTAAACATCATTGCTGCGTTTCAATTTATTTTATTTTTTACTGATTTTTTGTATTTTTCCCGTCAGGTCTGAAAGTACAGGAATGCAAAGTCAGCCGAACGGCCTCGACTGTGGGAAAGATGGTCTCACTGTTGTGGCTTGTTTGAAAGAGGTAAGTTTAAAATAGAATTGTTGCAGCTAACCCGAGGTTGTTTGTGTTGCATTACCTTACCTCGCTCTCGCACTAACTAAAACCCAGTGCGACTTCATTACCCTTGTGTTGCTGCGCTCTTATGTTAAAAATTGAGTCGTGACTGTTTTCTAACAATGTTTACCCTTGTACTGATTGGTCTTTGCAATTACTTTGCGTTTGGTTTGAGCAGTTCCCCCTGTTTGGCGAAGTCCTTCAAGAGCCAATTGGTATAAAACAAACAAACAAACAAAAAAACAAACAAAAGATGATGTTAACGCGGCGTGCGAAACTGTGGGAGGGAGGCATGCAAACATCAATTTTGATTTTCGCTGCTTTTTTTTTTTTTTTTTTTTTTGAAAGAACTGATCGTAGTTTACGAACCTTTTGATGGCAACGTTGTTTTCATGGGGTCCTAGCAAACAAATTTGCGATGCTTATTGCTCCGCAAACGCATTAATGACATAGTCCTTCCACTTACTATCTAAGGTTTCCTTCTAACAGATTGTAGTGTTACGAGATGGAAACGTTGTGCATTCTCATCCTGTGGACTATGAACCTCAGTGCGTTGCTATCCACCCTGGGCAGACAGAGGTTGCAGTAGGAGGAAAAACGGTACGGCTTAGTCGTGGAGTTACGTGTTTGGATGCCATTCTGAACGCCCAGCGAGGCTTCAAAAAGAAAATTTTACGTACTCGCTATTTGGGGACCTAAGTCATAAAATGGCTATAGTTTTTGGAGGGTCACCCCGGCGATATCTCAGTGATTAGTACTCGTACAAAAAAAAGTAAAAAAAAAAGCCAACATTTTTTAGATAAAAGAAATCAGGGGAGCATCTACAATGTTGTAAGCAGATGTTTTATGTCACTTTTACTGTAGCCATGAATACTTAGGAATACAAATGTTGGAGCTTGCTTTATGACCGCCGAACGCATGTCACCAAATTGGCGACTTTGTCGCAAATTTAGTCGCTAAAATTTTTCTCTTCTCGCTACGCAGGCGAATAATCATGATAGCAGCTAGGAGTGCTACCCATATTAGGCTGGGGATATACCGTAAGGGTTAGAAAGATATGACCCTCTCCTCTCTTTAATCGGTAATCAGGCGTCACAGTATAGGTGATCAAGGCGCACTGTGCAATACACTTTACTTTGAAATAGAAGAAAGCGAAATTTAAAAATGGCTCAAAAACCCAGAAGGTAAGAGGCAAGAGAACAGTGAAAACAGCCCTAATGGATATTTACTATTTGTTAAAGTGATATTAATATCCCTTTTCACTTGTTTTACTAGAACGAAATTCATATTTACACTTTGGACAAAAATACTCTGGTCACCAAGACGAGCTGTTCTCGGTCATCAGCGGTTAATGTAGTGAGTGACTTGGTGTACTCTCCAGATGGTGCTTACCTGGCTGTGGGCGATGATAACCGCAGAGTATCAGTATTTGACTCTGCTGATTATAAGGTATGACACAAGTGTATGGCATACATGCAGCTGATAGCCAGTCTTTGAGAGGCTCCCCCTACCCTTCCCTACTCCCCCCCCCTTTCCCCACTCCCTCCCTTCCCCCACTCCCTCCCTTGCCCACCCCCTATTTAGCCTTTGGTTTCCCAGGAACGTAAACAGCTATTGACTAAATTTATCGTTTGTTTCATTATTTTGAAGTTGAAGTTTGAGTTGACTGGACCTCAAGCTCGCGTAACTTGTGTAGCGTGGGCACCTGACTCACGGCATCTTGCCTGTGGTGGACTGGACACCAACTTGTTCATTTACGACTTAGAAAAGACCAATGCGAAGATTGAAATAAAACGTAAGCCTAGATTTCTCTAGTAACTGTTTTAATGTTCTATTTTGTAGCCTGTTCAATAGCTTTGAATGTTTGTATTTAAGATATGTGACCCTTCACGATGACGCAAGAAAAAAGGTGACGCGTCAATTTACAGAGCATGCTCATAGTATTTTTTTGATGCCGTTTCAGGTGCTCATCCTCAAGGCATCATTTCGCGAGTTACGTGGTTGGATAATAACACACTGGCCAGTGTGGGCTTTGACTGCTGCATCCGTTTCTGGAACATAACTTACTAGATTAGTTCCCACCCATCCCTCCCTCGTTTACGTTTCAATTTGTCAGCTTTGTGACTAAAGTAAACCGTAAACACTTCTTCCAGCAAACAAGTGCCATTTTGCGCCAACATTTTTTACAATGCACTTAACTATGTCTGATTATAAGAAAAAAATGAGGATTTTGTTTGTTTACATTAAACTGAAGCGTGTAATGTGAATATAAAGAGTTAATATCAAAACTTTAATTTTCAACAAGTTACTTGTATCTGCTTTTCCTTTTCGTATTTCGTCAGCAGAAAAGCAGATGACATCCTTAAAAAGAACTTAGGCTGCTGAAAATTAAAAAAATTAACGGGATGGGGGTAAATTTTTGGTGGCTTCACTTTCATCTGGTCAAGTGCAGAATGAAAATGTGTCCGCAAAGATGGCGTGTTATTTGCTCTCGCGAGCTAAGTGTTCATTATAGATGTGAGGATCTGTTTTCTAGGTCACTTGAGAAACTAATTTACCCAACATCAGCAATGTTCCGAACAAACTTCATTTCATTTGAATTTCAAGGCCAGTTTTGGGACGTAGGGATGGGAACTTTAGTTAAGAGTAGAGATACTTCGCAGTGTTCAGATGTTTTCACATTTGTAACTTTGTAAAACTACCCGTTAAAGACGGTGTTTTGATAATCATTTGATTAATAAAAGAAATGCCATTGAGGTTATATTATACGTTATTTTGCTGCAAGTTCTAAGGAAGCAAAATAGGCCCAGCCAAGAAAAAAGATTTGCAGATACATTTTTTACGGACTGGGTTCGAGATTTCTGTCTCAGTTAACACGCAGTACCCTAACATCAGTATAGGCACGTTCTCCGCACTGTACCCTTTTTTTAAGTTACATCTAAGGAGAATTTGTTTAACACTCCAGAGCTTCTTTAGTTGATGAACATTTTTTTGTCCTCGTAATCTTACTTAGTGATTCAGGGCTGATATTGCATGGAAAAACTGACCAATAGATTGGTGGTTACATTCAAGGGAGAGATATTAATAGTTATGAAATGAAAACAAGGATGTTATGAAGCCAGACAGACGGTATTGGTTTCAGACTCTCGCTTTTATTCCTTAGACTGAGGTTAGTATCTGTTAAAGATAAGGCTTCGAGCTCATAACGTTACCGAGGTTTTCGAGAAAAGACAGGTTTGTTAATTCGGGTTCAATTTTAAAGCGGTCCTTCCTTGAAGTTCACAGGTCCATGGCTTTTTCCTCTTCTTCTCCCGTCCCTATCTATAGCTCGTTAAACCGTAAGAGTGATTGGCTTCTAATTTCTCCTAAATGCATCACCCTTGAATCAATTTCAAAGGTCATGAGAATGAAGGAAATGATCATCAATTTAACAAACTCCTGATTGTCAAATAAACTCCTCGTCAGTACTATCGGAAATGTAAAGAAAACAGTGTGTAGAGTATAAATACATAAATACTATTGTTACGATGGAAAAGGTAATAGAATGTCTTATGATCGCTACAGGACGGAGGATAAGAAATGCAACATGAATGTGACTAAAGGTACCCATAAAAATTTGACCCATGTTTGAATCCACTTTTCCAAAGCCAAGTTTAAAGCATACCTAAGGATTCGAGATATACCGAGTTGAAGTGGAGGGGTAAAGTCCACAGAAGATCAAAAGAAAACTGATTGCTAAAAAAAGAGAAAAATTCTTATACATCGTTCACTTTGGAGATGGCAAACACGAAGGAGAGGTCTGAGGAAATGTCTTTGGGAGTTCAGCTTTGTGATTGAAAAGTCTTGTATGATTTTTTTTCCTCCTCCTTTTGTTCTTTCTTTCATTCTTTTTTGTTCGAGTCTGATAAATTCAGGGGCAACAACTGTTCCTTCAATCAGAACAGTTAAGTTAATTACCTGAGTGCTGACGGTGGGACGAGGTTGACTGCCACAGAGACATTGAGTAATCAGAAGCAGAACTATTGGCATTTAATTCCTTCCATGTTTCAGCTAACAATAACAACTTTTTAACGTATCTTGTCTGACAGGACACCGATAAAATCATCAATAAATATGTCAATTTGTATCATTATGATTATTATTATTATTATAATATTATGATCACATATAATTATTATAATTTTTGTTGCTTCATTCAAAGTTTTTTAAATTTATGCATTCTACAAATAAAATTTGTATAAAGCCTGTAAAAGGAATCATAACCAAGGCTGGCTCTTGCCTATGCGAGCCACTAGTTTCCAGTAGGAACAGTATAGAGCTGGTAACTGCGAACAGCACTGCGCTTTTTCTTCTTCCAGGCGAGGATCGACCCACAAGTGACACAAAAAACCACAGAAACAACAACTGCAGCAGCAACGAGAGTGCTGTATGGACCTGTTATGGAGAAAGAACTTCATTAGGTTGGTATTTGCCAGAAAAATTCGCACCGTCTTATCAATAGAATCCTTTGACAGTTATGACGGCAACGCTAAGGAAGACGTCGATTTAGAAATGAATATATATTTTTAGTCGGAATCTCGCGAATTACTGGATGTGTTTATTATGGCGCCGTAAGAGATAATAAACACATGTGGAACTTAACGCTTCTTTTATACGTTATCCTGAAGTTGGTGTGGCGCCGTATGAGACGGTAAACAAATGCAGCCATTTGTAAAATTCTAATTAAAGGAAAAAATTCATTTTTTAATCGAAGTTTTCCTTGGCGTTGCCGTCCTGACTGCTTGAGGTCCCTAATCTCACAAGCGCGGCACGAAAACGTAATTCTCCACGAGTCGAACCCAGACCTTCGGAATCCGCGCCTCTACGGTGACCTGGATTATCAATAGTTTTACATGTCACACGCATCCTGCATACAGCCAGGATCAGCAATATCGAAAGCGTATCAAAATTAAATGGAACGAGAAAGATGGTAAATTTTAAACTTCGAAAGGGAATAGTTGTGGTGTCTCGTCGTGGTAATGAAATTAAGAAAGATACATTTTCTTTTATCTTGCTTTGTTTCTTTGCCGGGCTGAAAATTTACCAATCTTCCTTAATCATGCTAGATAACGCACAGTGTACAAAAAGTAACACGTGCATGTTACATCTTATAGTGGTTAACAACAATTCAGAATAACTCGTTCTCATAAAAATCCGATTGCAATTCAAGTCAAAGTTTCAATATTGTTTAAGCATAGTAAGCTTACCGCTATTTTGAACTTCGGTGATCTCCATTGGCTTGTGGGACTCTGTTTCATCGTCATCATTTTCTGCACGCGCGAATGGTCCCTGAGCCAGGATATACTCCTCGTCATTCGTCTCCCGAATATTCAGCGATCTCTTCCTTCTCGCTTCACGCAAACAGCCCTTTGCGCAGCGTGACTTAGGGTCTGTTGCGTTACAGATCTTGACCTTGCAGTGCAAGTACGCAAACTGATGATCACCCAAGAACTTGAACGCCGCCAGGCTAAACTTCTGACTTCTTTCGTCATTTGATGGAAGAAACTTCAAGGTATCGTCTACAGCACAACTGTAAGAGACGTCACGATAATTAATTGGCGATTGCATGACACAGATCGCTATTTCAGCTGTGGGCAGTCATGGCGAGTTGAAAACAAAAATTCCACGAAAATTTTGTTATTGTATTGTCGTAACTTTTCGCAACAATTTACATACATTACAACAATTCTCAGGGTAATGACCTAATCATGGACACCGTTAATACCAAAAATTATTGAAGTGCCTATTGAGCAAAGTCATTTTACCAAAAACCGTTTTTTTAAGAATGTAGTATCCATCTATAAGACACGAGTTTGAAATGTTTCATTTCAACGGAAATATCGCTCGAACAATTCAGTATCGTCTTGAATAGTGTTTTATTATCAAGTAGTAAATCAAGTAGGGGAAAGATTATGGAACAAATGGTCAGTATTGCCTGGCATCCAGTCTGCCAATGTCTCGGAAGGAAAGTGCGATGGAAGAGAAAATTTCTCGGATGAAGAGAGAATGGAGAAAAGAAATAGAGAGATGCGGCTCTCACTTGGTGTAGAAGACCCAGTTCATGTAAAGAACAAAGGGACAAAATAAAACGTAAAGAAAAAAACGAGATAAACAATAGGTTAGGTGTTCTATTATGATGTCTCTCCTGTGTCTCCTACACCAAGAAGGAGCCAGAGCTACTTGTACAAGTCATGTAAAAAACTAATAACAGAAAGCGACTTTCTCATACCCATCGCTGATGAACAAGTATTTTAATCCAGGTTTAATAGGATTAGGATCAGGTGTGCCAAAACATGTTTCGGCCAAAATCTCGAGCTTCAAGTCTTCTGTATCCACGTTGACTTCCACGTACAGAATTTTTCCCGAAGGTACAGTCACTGGAAAGTCTTCGCTTTTGTAATTGTCGATATACCTGTTATCGGGGAAGGTCTTCATTTCTAAAGCAAATTCTCCAAATCCATCTTTGGAGAGAACGATCTTTTTACTTTCGACTTTAAGAGCAACAGAGGAAACGATTCCAGTGTTTGAGTAGCAACAGCTGAAGGGTATTTCAACTTCGCGCACACGCGTGATTATCGGTTGGTGTTCGACAGATATCTTCAACACCTTGTTTCTGTAACAGAAAGAATTCTTGGTATCCCTGCTCGTTGTGTGGCATTCCTTTAGTTCTGTGCGAAGAATGAAGTGAGTTTGGGTCTCTGTGGCTCCACAATTCATATCACTGAGACGGAGATGATCCACTCTTATGCCCGGAAGAAATTTCTTTGAAATGCTGATGAACATCTCGTCTTTAACACAAGTAACATTTACTCCTGAAGAAAGATCAGATATTGAATAGAAGAGAAGCAAAAAAAGCATTACTAAGAGTTACGAAGAGGCCATTATCTAAATTGAACAATGGATATATGTGTCGGGTGGAATTCAAGGCCCTATTCACACTTGGCGGGATACAGTTAGAACTCCGTACAAACTTTTCCGCTCATTGGAAAACAGATTAGAAGCTTTCAAATCCATATTAAGTTGGAAATATCTGAAGAACGACATTCACTGGCGGTAGAAACGCTTGGCTGCAATTTTGATCGGGTGCAAAAATAGAAAATCGACGTCAGTTTTGGTTTAGTGAAGACGTTAATGATAGCAGGCTACCTATTTCATGAACTTTCTATAACGCAATTTTATTGAACGTCGTGAATTCAAAAGCAAAGTAAACCAAAAGGCCAATCAGAAATTACCACCAAGAATCAATAAAAATTCGTAGTAAAAACAAACAAACTCCTTCTGGAAAACGCGAGTGACAAAGTCTAAATTGGTTTTGTTTTTTTGTTGCGTCTGATTGGCTGAGAGGGTGGCGCGAATTTCCAGACCAATCACAGAGCGGAGTGAGGCTGAAACAAGAGGAATACTGGGTAAGATTTGACACTCATGATCATTAAAACAATGCTCGAGATGATACGTTACCTGGTGACTGTGTTGGTTCTATGATTGGTGGCTGAGTTGTAGGCGCTGCAAAAAGGAATAAAGAGACTTGAATTCACACACGAGCAAAAGTAAAGCCTTGATGCTGTGTTTAGGCAAGTAAAAAGAAAATTCTTACCTTCTTTGTTCCCACAATAGCGTAATGAACACGCCGGAGGCTTTCGAAGCTCGTACACATAGAAGTCGCCGCAGTTTCGGATTTTAACGCTATTTTTCCATTGACAACATCCACCTGTCCAGTGATAACAGACTTGACGAGCTACCACACCTTCTTGCAAACGTGGATGTTTACCATTAAGCCAGCCTGGAGCGTGAGTACCGCAGCGTCTCATGGGTACACACTTCTCTGGAATCTGGTCACCACTGTCTCCCGTCATACGATACCACTTTGGTACCAGTATGTTATCAGGAGCTCTTCCATCGCACTGAACCCTACTTTGGTTAGAGTTACCCATTGCACGATCAGCTTGGTTAAGTTCTTGGTAGCTGCCAACAGAACATTCCGTGGCCTCTCCTGCAAAGTAACCATGATTTATTCAAATTTCACTCTAAAGTTAGGAGAAGGTAAGTGAAAGAAGAGTAACTTCGCAAGTGAATCAGTGAAAGACTGTTCCATTACTTGGTTTTTTATTCATGACATAACATCTCACTTTCCATGCGAATTTTGAGCCCAGGAAGCTAAATACTCACCGCAGTATCGAAGTGAGCACGCAGGTGGTTTTTGCAGCTCATACAAATAAAATGCACCGCAATTCTTCACATTTATCTTGTTTTTCCATCGACAGCAGTTTTTTGACCAGTGATAACAAACGTCACGGCTTACTATACCGTCTGCGACAGACGGATGCTTTCCATTCAGCCAACCGGGCGCATGCGTACCACAGCGTTTTGTTTCCGGACATTTAGTTGGCATTCTGTTCCCAGCTGCACCAGTGAAGCGAAACCAGCCTGGGAGAGCGACATCTCGCTGATCACACTTCACTGAGTTTTGATCTTTGTTTCCCACAAGACGGTCGTATGTGTTGAGGAGCTTGTATTTGCCACGAGAACATGGGTTGAATACTGAGACAAACATAATTTAAAATATTAATGAGACTTAAACATGTGGCCTCTCGCTATGACCTTTAAGTGAGTATGAGCCGTACAGGTATATCTGTTCTAGGGATCTTAGACTGTCTTAGACATACTTAAACTAGAGGAACTCTAAACTTTGGAAAAACTTTTGAATGCAATGATTGGAGAGCGAAAGATTTTTGGAGGGAAAAGTGTTCCGTGAGGTTAATTTAAACAAAGGTGTTCACTCTTCCTGGTTTACTTTCATTCAATGGTTAGGGACATATCTAAGAGAGCAACCCTCAGCTGAGGGCGGCGCTTGAATGTCATTATATTACAACAAAACCACTGAGATTTTTGAACAAAATGTTTCAACGCTGCTTATTTGAGTTACCTGGGTTTGGCGCTGTAGTCGGTGGTGGCAGCGTACTGAGCTCTGAAAAAAATTCCATAAACTTTAGACTATGCAAAAGTTATTTATGGCTACTAAGGTTAAAGATTCCAAAGTAAGTCTTTCCTCGGACTACATGCCTCACTTTGCCATAACTTATCCTGGTTTCCAAAGTGAAGAGCAATATACCTCTTCAGCTTGCATGTTTTATTTTTCCAGCGTAGGAAATGTGATGATACGCTTGAGAACTGTTTCTTTCCAATTTCCTTTTATTTACGTGCATATGAACGTATAATTAACTAAATACAAAGGCAGAAATCTCCTTAATACTTTTACTGAGAAGAAAAAACAAACAAGCAAAAGAGATTCATCAGGAGAATTCTAATTCCTTTGGATGAGATTCTACTCCATTGCATGTAGTTTTCCACCATTTCTAAAGTTTACTGAGACACCAGGAACAATTTGCAATCACGATGAAGGGGGAGGGGAGGAGTGGGGAGAAGGGGGCATTGTATTTGTATAGTCTATCGCCAGGAGAAAATCATGGGAATCTTGATATTGCGTAGGAACACAATATGAAAACACAGCCTGACCTCCAACCCGGATCTTTTAACTTTGAGGTCATCAGGCTTAGTCTTAGACCTCCGCGTTTGCCACATCAACATAATCTAACCGGAAATGAGTATCATCGTTATTTACGTCATTTCTATACCACCAAAACACAGACAATTTTTCTACAATGAGTAGAGGGGTCTTTGCGAGAAGGTTGATTTTATATAACGTTTTCAAGTGGCAAAGCAACAACAAAACAACGCCTGTACAAAAAAAATACTCTTTAGTAATTCCTTTGGATAGAGGATGAAATAACTAACTCTTACCTCCTTTATTTCCACAGTAACGTAACGAACACGCTGGTGGTTTTTGCAGCTCGTACACATAAAAATTACCACAATTACGGATCTTAATGTTCTGTTTCCATTGACAACATCCGCGTGTCCAATGATAACAGACTTGACGAGCTACCACACCTTCCCGGAGACTTGGATGTTTACCATTAAGCCAGCCTGGAGCGTGAGTACCGCAGCGTCTCATGGGTACACATTTCTCTGGAATCTGGTCACCACTGTCTCCCGTCATACGATACCACTTTGGTACCAGTATGTTATCTGGAGCTCTTCCATCGCACTGAACCCTGCTTTGATTAGAGTTACCCATTGCACGATCAGCTTGGTTAAGTTCTTGGTAGCCGCCAACAGAACATTCCGTGGCCTCTCCTGCAAAGTAACCATGATTTATTCAAATTTCACTCTAAAGTTAGGAGAAGGTAAGTGAAAGAAGAGTAACTTCGCAAGTGAATCAGTGAAAGACTGTTCCATTACTTGGCTTTTTATTCATGACATAACATCTCACTTTCCATGCGAATTTTGAGCCCAGGAAGCTAAATACTCACCGCAGTATCGAAGTGAGCACACAGGTGGTTTTTGCAGCTCGTACAAATAAAATGCACCGCAATTCTTCACATTTATCTTGTTTTTCCATCGACAGCAGTTTTTTGACCAGTGATAACAAACGTCACGGCTTACTATACCGTCTGCGACAGACGGATGCTTTCCATTCAGCCAACCGGGCGCATGCGTACCACAGCGTTTTGTTTCAGGACATTTAGTTGGCATTCTGTCCCCAGCTGCACCAGTGAAGCGAAACCAGCCCGGGAGAGCGACATCTCGCTGATCACACTTCACTGAGTTTTGATCTTTGTTTCCCACAAGACGGTCGTATGTGTTGAGGAGCTTGTATTTGCCACGAGAACATGGGTTGAATACTGAGACAAACATAATTTAAAATATTAATGAGACTTAAACATGTGGCCTCTCGCTATGACCTTTTAGTGAGTATGAGCCGTACAGGTTTATCTGTTCTAGGGATCTTAGACTGTCTTAGACATACTTAAACTAGAGGAACTCTAAACTTTGGAAAAACTTTTGAATGCAATGATTAGAGAGCGAAAGATTTTTGGAGGGAAAAGTGTTCCGTGAGGTTAATTTAAACAAAGGTGTTCACTCTTCCTGGTTTACTTTCATTCAATGGTTAGGGACATATCTAAGAGAGCAACCCTCAGCTGAGGGCGGCGCTTGAATTTCATTATATTTCAACAAAACCACTGAGATTTTTGAACAAAATGTTTCAACGCTGCTTGTTTGAGTTACCTGGGTTTGGCGCTGTAGTCGGTGGTGGCAGCGTAATGAGCTCTGAAAAAAAATTCCATAAACTTTAGACTATGCAAAAGTTATTTATGGCTACTAAGGTTAAAGGTCCCAAAGTAAGTCTTTCCTCGGACTACATGCCTCACTTTGCCATAACTTATCCTGGTTTCCAAAGTGAAAAGCAATATACCTCTTCAGCTTGCATGTTTTATTTTTCAAGCGTAGGAAATGTGATGATACGCTTGAGAACTGTTTCTTTCCAATTTCCTTTTATTCACGCTCATATGAACGCATAATTAACTAAAGACAAAGGCAGAAATCTCCTTAATACTTTTACTGAGAAGAAAAAACAAACAAGCAAAAGAGATTCATCAGGAGAATTCTAATTCCTCTTGGATGAGATTCTACTCCATTGCATGTAGTTTTCCACCATTCCTAAAGTTTACCGAGACACCAGGAACAATTTGCAAATCACGATGAAGGGGGAGGGGGGAGCAGGGGGCATCGTTTTTGTATAGTCTATCGCCAGGAGAAAATCATGGGAATCTTGATATTGCGTAGGAACACAATATGAGCACACAGCCTGACCTCCAACCCGGATCTTTTTAATTTGAGGTCATCAGGCTAAGTCTTAGACCACCGCGTTTGCCACACCAACATAATCTAACCGGAAGTGAGTATCATCGTTATTCACGTCATTTCTATACCACCAAAACACAGACATTTTTTCTACAATGAGCAGAGGGGTCTTTGCGAGAAGGTTGACTTTATACAACGTTTTCAAGTGGCAAAGCAACAACAAAACAACGCCTGTACAAAAAAAATACTCTTTAGTAATTCCTTTGGATAGAGGATGAAATAACTAACTCTTACCTCCTTTATTTCCACAGTAACGTAACGAACACGCTGGTGGTTTCTGCAGCTCGTACACATAAAAATTACCACAATTACGGATCTTAATGTTCTGTTTCCATTGACAACATCCGCCTGTCCAATGATAACAGACTTGACGAGCTACCACACCTTCCCGGAGACTTGGATGTTTACCATTAAGCCAGCCTGGAGCGTGAGTACCGCAGCGTCTCATGGGTACACATTTCTCTGGAATCTGGTCACCACTGTCTCCCGTCATACGATACCACTTTGGTACCAGTATGTTATCAGGAGCTCTTCCATCGCACCGAACCCTACTTTGGTTAGAGTTACCCATTGCACGATCAGCTTGGTTAAGTTCTTGGTAGCCGCCAACAGAACATTCCGTGGCCTCTCCTGCAAAGTAACCATGATTTATTCAAATTTCACTCTAAAGTTAGGAGAAGGTAAGTGAAAGAAGAGTAACTTCGCAAGTGAATCAGTGAAAGACTGTTCCATTACTTGGCTTTTTATTCATGACATAACATCTCACTTTCCATGCGAATTTTGAGCCCAGGAAGCTAAATACTCACCGCAGTATCGAAGTGAGCACGCAGGTGGTTTTTGCAGCTCATACAAATAAAATGCACCGCAATTCTTCACATTTATCTTGTTTTTCCATTGACAGCAGTTTTTTGACCAGTGATAACAAACGTCACGGCTTACTATACCGTCTGCGACAGACGGGTGCTTTCCATTCAGCCAACCGGGCGCATGCGTACCACAGCGTTTTGTTTCAGGACATTTAGTTGGCATTCTGTCCCCAGCTGCACCAGTGAAGCGAAACCAGCCTGGGAGAGCGACATCTCGCTGATCACATTTCACTGAGCTTTGATCTTTGTTTCCCACAAGACGGTCGTATGTGTTGAGGAGCTTGTATTTGCCACGAGAACATGGGTTGGAAGCTGGAGGTAAAAAATGAATGGTTAATCAAATCCATTCATCGAATTCCGTAGTTAGTGGCCACGGAATTTAAATTGATCTAGCAGCGGCAATAATTTTAGATTTTGTTTGCTATTGTGAATAATATTTTTGTTGACTTAACTGAGGCTCGTTAAGTCGCACAATGAAATGTTTACAAAGCGTGCTGTGATCATTTATAGCCCATCATCTTGCAAATTATATAATAACCTTAATCATACTCGCATTTTGATTGGTATCTCGCCATTATCTGTCAGAGGACAAACGCGTCCTGTGGACGTGTAATTCTTTCAACTTCAAATAAATAGAGTTTTTTTTATCTAATTGTTACGTTTTGGTCACGTTCTTTCGAACTTGAGAGGGTTATTGCGGTTTCCATTTTTTGTTTTATTTCTCATTAGTCTCATCATAAAGAAGCAACGTAGTCTAATTCCATACCAAAGTTTTTTGGATCATCCTCAGGTTCCCCTCCTTCATCCGTTATTCCATCAACAATTGTGCCAGCTGAGATTTTATCAGTATCAAACCCCGCATCTTCAGGACTAAACTCTTCACCATGGACCACAGAATTTTCATTTAGCTGATCATCCTTTTCACTGTCCTCGTCTTTCTCTGGCAGATTTCCTTCGTCTTCAACGGGCTGGTTATTATTAAGTGCAACGGGATGTTTGAAAAATCTCTTCCAAGGTTCTTCAGTGTCTCCTTTATCACCTATTGATTGAAATGTATGTTATTTAAAATCCATCATTGTTTGTTGCCAGCTGTTTAACAGTTAATATAAATCTCAAGACAGTTTCAATATAAATATACATACATACCAAAATGTGATGGATCTTCCTCTGGTTCAGCTGGTTCATCTCTCACTTCATCAGTGGTTGCTTTTTTTGGATCTTCAGCAGGGTCAAACCCTACATCTTTTGGACCAAACTCTTCATCACTGATCACAGACTTTCCAACTTCCTGCTCATCCCGTTTGATATTCTGTTCTTGTTCCAGAAGCTCACCCTTGTCTTCAACTAGCTGGACATCGACTTCTACAATGGAATCCTCGAAAGGGTCCTCTAAAGCCCCATCGTTATTTTCCTTATCACCTGTTCATTTAAAATTGTACTCACAATCCATCGACATGTCACAGGAACAGCGCCAGATTCAGGCAAGAAATACGATAACAATTTCAATCGATTACGAAATGGATTAATCTTGGAAAAAGGAAAAACAAACGAAGTACGTAAAACAGGCTGTGAATGGTTCGTAGTTTTATTTCTTGTCTAGAAGTCTCTCGACCGCCGAGTTTGTCCTACAATTCAGTGTTGATGCATATAAAGAAAATTTTATTTTTCTGAATTCATTTTTTCAGCCATATGCTTACTTTGTGTGCATTCAGTTTTCCGCGATATTTGTTTTTTCATGGAAATGTTTTTGCAGCTTTTGTGATAACTTAGAGGCCCAGTCCCCCACCTTAAAGAAGCAATTGTACTACTTACCATGTAATACTGGATCCTCCTCTGGTTCATTTTCTTCACCTTTCCTTTCATCAATGGTCACTCTGGATGGATCTTCATCAAAATCAAACTCTTCACCTTTTGGATCAAACCCCGCTTCTTCTTCCGCCTCCTGATCATCCTCCTTACTTTTCTTGTCATGTTCCAGAAGATTTCCTTCGTCCCCAACAGGTTTGTTATTAACTATTGTCTTTGGATTTTTAGGAGAATTTTCAGAATCTCCCCCAGAATCTCCTATGGAACCTAATTAGTCAGAAGTTTGTTAAAAATGCATCAATATTATTGTCCAAAGAAAATTTCGACGCAAGACGTGAATTTTTGCAACAGATAATCAATGAAACTTGTACTAGTCGAGTAGCTAATCCCGATGAGTATTAAGACGAGAAACTGTACAATTTTTGTGCCGTTGATTTCTCTTGCAGGACTTAAAGTACATAAACATATAGTAAGGCAGGGAAACGCAGGGCGGTCTTCTTGCCGGGGTAGGACGCGTCCATATTTATCTTTTACATTTTTCTTAAAGCCTTCCTTCTGTGAATTTCGCACATGCCACTTGATACTGTAGCACGCTAGAATTACCTCAGAAAATAAAATTTCGACGCGTTTGAAGAAATTCGCAGACAGTTTCGGAGTTTGACACAAATTTCAGGCTTGCATTGTGAAAGCAAGTCTCTAACTACAGGTATGAGCCTTTTTATGTAAATCTTACATTAAAAATATAGTGGCAATTGCGAATGGAAGCTAAAATATATATTAAGAAATAACCGTAAAAAATCTTCAATGATAATTCGAACGCCCACCTATTGTTTTAATTAGAAAGAGCACGAGTGTTGAAAAAATGATTTGATGAGAGAAAATTTGTTAGTCTTGCTTTTACAACACCTTTTGTTATTCAAATGACTAGCTGCGAGAATCTCGAAAAAAGTTACAAAAATCAGTTCTTTGCAGACCGCAATTTAGAAACCCATTCTATTTTACACTTCAGAAACAACATCTTTCAGAATAGTCTTACACGTAATAATAGAAATCTTCCAGCGTTATTTAGCTATCTTTATCACCTGAATTTGCTTCACACTCCGCCGTAAGCTCCAAGAAATTGGACACGTGTCTAAAGCGTATTGGTAAGTAGATTTTCACGGGAATTACAAAAGACTAAGAACAATTCAACCCAAAAAGATTCGTCTCGTGAATCTTTTGATGTGAACATTACACAGCAAATTACGAAGCAAATAGAGCGCATTTTAGAACTGCACAAGATGGAACTATGCTGAACTACCACGGTAGTGCGTGTTAATACCTATTTTTAAGCGATACACCGTAAACGAATTGCCTGGAATATTACCTTGGATAAGAATGTCTTTGCCTGAGAGTTCAAAAGCTCCTGCACACAGCAAAAAACAGCTTAAAAGTACAACCTCGCGATTGTTCATGATGTCGTGAACTCCTCCAGAAGCTCTCACAGTCCTATACGGCTGGGGTATGCATCAGCAACAACAACCAAACTTAATTAATCAACGCGGAAGAAATGCTTCTTTTTATCTACAGGTTGACCAATCAGAGAGCTGTACTTTATGGCGGTTATAACCCTCATCCAATCAGATTGTCGTTTTTCACGCTTTTCGTCATGTGAACGCGGGTAGAGTGATAACTGCTGGGCGAAAGCAAAGGTAAAGTTGTCAAGGAAACGAATGACGTCAAATCGTAAGCCACGGACTCGTAGCAATTTTTTTTCAGCAGAAAGTATGTCAATCATTTCTAGACAAAAGTAACGGAAATAAATTTGTATTTTTAAAGCTCAGTAAATGATGCCGAATTACACGTCATCACAAATTTCAGCGCAGACAGGAATAAACTATATTGACTCGTTTCCTTAAGTAAGTAAGATGTATCCAGGGGACAGAATATAGGGCCTAGCGGCTGTGCCGTGAAAAACAATACCTCCATCTCATGGTTAAAATGTCAGTTCTCTCTAATCAGTTGCAAAGGGCCGTTAGTTCCACGAATTCTAACTCAGACAGCGGTTTTACACAAGAAGTGGGCCTCAGGGATTCTCCATAAGAGGTTTGATTTATCCGTTCACTATTAACTTTCGGCCCTCTTGACACTGTTCATAAAAATAAATCTTCATAAAAATAAATCTTCATAAAATAAATCTTCATAAAAATAAATCTTCATAAAATAAATCTTCATAAAAATAAATCTTCATAAAAGGTTCGGCTTAGAAGAAAGCTTAGAACGCGGTTAAACAACAGTTTAACCGGCTTTGTTTAAATAACTGGTCCTTACATTTTGTGTTGAACATTCATTTGGCGAAGTGTATCTTGGCGAGTCTTGGGCGTGTATGCAAGAGGGGCGAAAGGAGAGGCCTTCTTTTTACGTCAAATGATTGTACTGTTTCATCTCCTGCTTACAAGTGAAACAACAAGAGAGCAATGACTTAAATTTGGAGACAACGCTGTGTTAAAACCAAGATAGAATAAAGTAGACAGTCTATGTTACTGTTCCGTTACTGCGCAAAGAAAATTAGGAAGGAGGTGTAGTTTCTCAAATATAGACAACTTCACTGTCTTATCATCTTACGAAGGAAAAAAAACTATGAAAATTAAAGCTCGGGGAAAGCATTACCGGTGGCGGGTCGAGCTTGAGTAGCCCCTTGTGACGCGCGGTTCTTTCTTTATTTCACTCGATTCATCGATTCGTTTCTTATCGTTGGTCATCGGTCCTAAAGAATTCGTAACATGGTATTGCGAAAAAATGTCCATTCATGCGCCCAGAACTTCCCCTGGCCTAATCCCATTCGAAAGACGAGAAACCCCAAACAGCGTTTTCGATATAAATTGTTCAGATTGGTGTAGACAGAAGCGCGGGAAAATGTGAGTGACCAGGTACGATTCACTTTAATTTTGCATCTGATTGGTTGAAGCGGCTTTCTGAGCCAACCACAAAGCGCCATACAGTTCCGGATTGCTTCGAAACTCAACTGCAAATTGCTTTGTCAGAAATTAGGTGTTGATGATCAGGCTCAATATTACGCTGGATGTCTTGAATTTTGATACGTGTGATTAGTCTGTTGTTACGTTTTCTGGACATTATCGACATCCTAAACCACTCGTTTTCTCCTTTCTTCCCTGCGAAGGCTTGGTAGTAGGTGAAGTGATTGTAAGGGCAAATGAAAAAGCTCCCTAGCATTTGTCAACACAGCCATCAAAGGGGGCATGCACATATTTCAACTTTTGGCCTACCGCAAGTCTATTACCCACGCAAAATTTAGCGGAATTCGTGAAAAATCAACCAGTCTCGCAAAATTTGCAAACAAAGTTGAAATATTCAAACTCAATCGTTGGGAAAAGGAAAATCTAAGACTTTTCGAACACAAAACTTATTCAATTGCGTCCACTTACCGTTTTGTTTTGGAGCTTTATGAAGGATTCAAGGACGTAGAATGGGGGGGGAGGTCCCGTGACCTCCCTTCATAAACTTTTTTTTTGTTGTCACCTCGAGTAAAACATAGCCTGGAGGTCGACATGTCAATCTAGTGAGTACCCTCTGTTTGACAGAGTGACCTCCCAACTTTGAAAAATCCTGGTTACGCCCCTGAATTCTTTTACACCTTTAAAACATCGTGATTTACATTCTTTTGTGGCAACTTGGTATTGACAGCCTAAAAGCAACATTTTTAGGTAGCCTTTTTATTTTCAGCATATGCACATGCACAGACTATTGAGCCCAGTGTTTCGCTCTTTGATTGACAGTTTTAGTTGGACCAGCACTCAATGTACATAGCAAATATCTAGGAAAAAGCATCTGTGGGGGAGAGAGCATCCACTTATGGACGTAAAAAATGGAAAGTTGAATTACATGAAGGCATCTCTACCAGTGGAAATGAAGAATTAAGGATACGTCGCATTTCAGCAAATATAACATTTTTATAATCTCTTTAGAGGCTAACAGCCATCAATCTGAAAATGTTAGGCAAGAGAGAGATCTAAATGTATTTACCACTATGAGAAACTGTAGGTATCGCTTTATATACGAAGTTTAACAACTTCTTACAATTACACCGTTTAGAAAAAACATGAGGACCATCATTCACAAAAAAGTTTTGTTTTTTTAACCAGAAGATATAAATTATCTCAAGCAGAACTGAACTCTACATCTTGGTTCTATTTACAAATATATACAAAAGCCTTTTTTTTCTCTTCTTTAAACTTCTAAGTAGCTTAACCACCTCTTACAGCTTCTTGAGTCATATTCGATGTTCCCCAGGAGTAAAAGGTACACAAAGATGCGAACATTCAAACAAGAGTCGTATCTACTCATTCAAGCTTTAAAACGTTCGTGACTTCCCACAATCTTTTTCGTGGAATTTCTTAGCTTATGTATTTCATGAGCAATGATCTGGAAGTGGGTTTCAACTTAAGTGGAAACAACCATTCAATCAGAAAATTTCTTGCTTTGCTTTTCTCTGGCCGATCATTTTGAACCATTTTACACGACTTTCGATGACCCACGCCCAAATCTGCTGATTCCCCAGGCTTAGAAAAATGATCACGACATTGCAGAAACATGAGAAACCTGTCCAAGTGAAACATGTTTGTAGCATTTGAAATCGACTTTAGTTAGAAATAGATAATTGGGCGTTTTAAACGGTTTTCGTCCAAGCAGGTAAGGATTAACCATGGAAAAGTTGAATGCTTGTAAAGCTGGAAATTTGGTTTAGAAGCCAACGAGGAACAATACGACTTGATGGTGATCACAGCACGGGTTTAATCAGACGTAAATCTCATCCATCTAAGAAAAAAAGAAAAAAAATATAACTTATCAAGAATTATACCAATACAGAACCTCTTCCCTTTCAGAGAAAAAAATCTTAGCGCTTATGTATATTTACTGCTTTCAGAGAAGTTCTTTGATTCAGCACCGCGCGATGGTGTTTGTGACTGTTAACAATGAATACTTGCCATCGACAAATTGAATAATGGTCGAGATAAAGCGATTTTTTTTTCCTTTTAGATAAACTAGCATCTAATTTCTCCTAAAAATATAACCCCGGAATAAAAAATTAGGGTCACGAGCATGAGGAAATGGTCACCAGCTAAAGAAGCTCTGGATTGTGAACAGCACCTTTGGAAATGTTAAGACAGCAGTGTGGAGAATATGTATATTAATCTTAGGGTATAAACGGTTAAGATGGAAATACCACTAATGTTATATCGTATTTCTTATGAATGGACGATACCTGATTTATTTTGATTTTGATTATAGATACACTTCAGAATGTGAACCTCCCTAAAAATCCCATTATCATATTTGGGTTATAGGAAAAAGTGTCTAAGCAAGACTTCCATTTTTTTTTGGCTTGTACCTGAATAGCATTGTTTCACGCATTAAACGTTGCAAAAACACATTTGGTTGTGAAATTACATTTCGTTTGAGTGTGAAGGGAAATTTGGGATTGTATTGATCGTGTTTCATTGCACCCTGTAAATGGTCCAGAAAACTTGCTCCAAACTCTGCCAACCAATCAGACACAAAACCAACACAAATAGTTCAAATAACTAATTAATGAACCGTTCCCTCGGAAGGGGCTTTTTCAGTGCCATCGCAAACAAACAATGAAACAAATACTTCACATCAAGAACAAGTGGTTGACCATTCAATCTAGCAGGAGGCATATCAGTTGGCTGTTTTCAGTACAAGCCAATGAGTTGAATTCCGGGTAACCGAGAACCAATCCAGGGAATGGCGAGATAGATATTTGAACCCAGGACCCGCATTTACCACACAGGTAGACAGTTTCCACTTAACCAAGCGCGATTTATTCACTCGCGTTTTCCCGCGCTTCAAGCGTTTACTTGTTTTTCTTAGAGTTCTTATTGGCTACCTTAGAGATAACCTTTGATCTGATTTGTTATTGTGACTACTTCAATATTAGTTACATCTACTGTAGGCTTACCGTGTGGTCAACTGATGAAAGGTTTTGTCTCAAATGAGGTGGGGTGGCGCGTCGAGTTTTCACTGAGGGAGTGAACACCAGAGATTTGGCTTCACAGCCATCATCCATCTGCTCAACACTCCTCATGAATCCTGAGGGTGTGAATGGTGTGTCAGTGGTTCTTGGTAGTCTCCTGTTGCCAGGAGTATGAGCTGAACAACGCCTTTCATGCTTTCTTGGGGAAACAAAATCTTTTGGATGAGACGTAGACTTAGTTCGCTTGTGTTTGATTGCAGGGGAGTCACCGGCATGGATCACACCTGAAGGTGTTTTAAAACCTAGTCTGGAGAAGAAGGGTGTACCTCTGAATACAGGCATTTTAGGCGTGAAGCAATCTGGAGAATCTACCACATCAAAAGCCACTCGTCTCTTCAGTGTTGGTGTACTTGTTACAGGCGTGTTCCTCCCTGGGATGGGTGACAGCGGAGTTCTTGTTAACTTTACTGCCGGAGACTCAGCTGAGTTTACCGGAGTAGAAGAAGTGAGATTTTTCACACAACTGGCCTGCAGTGAACAAAGCAGACAATATGGTTCGTAATGCAATTACCGTTTGCCATATGTTCACATAAAAAAATGGTTTGCCTCTTTCGATAATCTTTTAATTTTAAGTCTTTTACGCACTTTTATGCATAGAAAGGAACCGCTATTCACACTAATTTTTTAAATATTGATTCTGTTATTTTAGGGTTTCAAGTCACCATTTATCATTGCAAGTATGAGCAAGTCTTCATCGGCAAAATCAAAACTGAATAAAAAGCAGATAAGAGTAGTTTACGAAATTAGGACTCGATTCGTAATGAAACTGAAAAAGTCCTAAGAGAACTCGAGTTTTCAAAATTTCAGGGGGTGCGTTTAAATCTTTAGTCGGTTGCTGAGTCAATATCGCTCACTGCAAATGGACGCGTTTAGTCACTGAACATTTCAAAAATACTAAAAAAAAATTAAATTACGAAACAAACCTTCTTTGAGCGCGGGATAAACGGAGGAGTGCCGGGATGCATCTTCTCAAACTACGATAAATCAAGAGCAGCAGTTTTAGTCCAAGAATGCAAAGTAAATCCCGGCCTCTAGAGAATGTCTCTCCATCAAGCAACTCTGGGACATATAGAACTGACTTTGGAGAATAAACGCTGGGTCAAAATATATTTTCTCTAGCGAGGGTAAACGTGACCAACGCTCTACACGTAGGTTTACAACTAAAGAAATCGTTCTCGTAATTGAACTGCAATCAACCTTGCCTTTAAGACATGTGTTGTTCCTTACTTCCCACTTAACTGTTCGCAGCCACATGTCGGCAGCGAAGTAAATTTCAGTGGGTTCTTCGTTCTCTTGATGGAATACGATCACAGCGAACTGTGACACAAAGTTTTACGTTTAGACAAGATTTGCGTGTTCCTATCAGGATCAGCAATAACGTTATATTATCAAGAATGGCTTGTTTCGGGCTCAACTTCCGCCTGTAATAAAATCTCGAGTTTTTTCTAATGGGCTACTTGTAGTCGTTCACTTCTCTTGAAGACAAAACACCTGCATGCCACACCCCATCTGTTTCCAATCTCTTCTCGTCCAACAGTAAGACCAAGCATGGCCCGTACGGCGAGATACACCGTGAGCGCCTAGCTACAGCAGTTTATTCATCGCATTTACACGAAACTCTCTAAACCCAAACGTTTTTTCAGTGACGACGGAAGAAAAAGGTCTGCTGAACGAGACATAACAAGAAACTGGAATTTTGAACGAAGAGATGGGTTTCTTTATGTAACTCCTATGGCATATTGGTGTAGATGACGCGGAAACATCTTAATGGGACAGAAATGTTAGAAAAAAGCCCCCCAAAAAATTAGGCTCACAAAGTCCTGAATATTGTACATCATAGAATATACAGAAGAAAGTGTTTTTGATTAATTGATTTTCAAACTAAGACAGCTAAGTGAGCAGAGCGTTGGTAGCAAAAGACAGGGCATTGTCCTAAAAGACCACAAGTGCCACAGGAGATAAAATCCCATCTTTGTATGAATTTACTTTTAAGAAAAACTTATAATAGCAGGACACCCCGGATTTGTGATAGCAAAACCTCCTGAGGTATAAAATGACTCTTCTGATGAAGCAATTTTCATCAGAGGGTAGTTGTTCTTCTGCTCAGTCCCTAACTAAATTGTGAGCCACCCCTCAAACAAAAAAACAAAATTTTCGAACCCTTTGTAAGAACTTCTGCCTAACAGGTCCATCAGGAAGGTCAATGACATGATTGTAGAGTTGCACCAAAGCATCTGTTGTAGTTTGTTGGACAGCTTGTTTATGAGATGATCGGTCCATTTGCTGACAAAATGTGCGAGTAACTGGCAGTTCCTCCTGTGGAAAGAAAAAAAAATTACATTTGACATTTATCAAAATTTCCTGACATTATGTGGAATGTTACAGGACCGTATTTCTTTACAGCATGTCTAAAAGAGAGACACCATATTTTAGTAACAAGTAGTTTTTGGGTGTGAAAGTTTTCTGGTCAGGAAAAAGAGAATGGTAATGGATTCTCAATACTTCTGGCCCTTTCACAAATTGTGCTCATGGAGTTCAGACATGATTAGCAAGTTTACCTCTGAGCAGCCAAAGAGACAAAATAGCAAGTCAAACTTTAATATTGGGTCATTTCTCGGTATGCCAACACAAATAAACTAGCATTTGAATTATTGGTTTCTGAGTGGAAAGTACTAACTAAAAACAACCATCAAGGCTTGAAATAATTTCCCAGATGGAATCAGTCAAGCTGTCTAGTTAAACCTATTTTTGCTCAAGACACAGCCCATTTTTGGCCAGAAAAATATCCATGTCTTGATAAATCCCTCTGTCCCAATACAGCAGTATTAAAAGCCTGAACTTACACTGTACATTGGAATTAATTTTTCCCCATACAGGCAAAAATTACCAAACAAAATGTCTGCCTGTACAAGAATTTGACAGACAAAACCTTCATTTGACTTGTAATGTTTGTTGAACAGTTTTTATTTTGAGTCCTGATTATTCACCTTAGTGCTGGTGAAATTGGGGGATATCTACCTAACTGCTTTGTGGCTCAGTAAATATCCACCACTATTCACCTTCACTTCTGTCAATGAATTGTTAAACGGTGGGAAGAAACTATTTTTCAGTCACTCCTGGAAGTGAGAGGTGCAAAGGAATTGTAAAGTCACATACTGTAGAATGTCTTGAAATTGAATTGCACCCATATGGAGGCTGTCAACATTAACTAAGAGTACTTTGCGCTGATTATTCGAAGTTTAGCCACAGCTTAAATAACAAAACTGCTTCCTAAATGATCCTCAGTTTAGCTGAACCTTTAGTCTAAACATTTATTTTTGTGAACAGTGTCAAGAGAGCCAAAAGCTAACAGTAAAGAGACAACTATTTCATTAAATGAACCCTCTTGTAGAGAAAACCTGAAGCCCATCGATAATAGGTAAAACCATGGTTTGGGTTGGACCTCCTGGAAGTAACTGGCCCTCAATCTTTACATCTGTACCGCTGAGGGTTTGAATCCTTACAGATGACTCATATTTAGGTCACTTAGCCCAGACCAAAATTTTTGACCAATTTTACATCTTTCTAAATATTTTATAACTGGTCCCTGTAGTTCTAAGGGTGGATAACGCTATCCACTGGATAAATCACTACCCACTGGATGGCTCAGTATGGATAATGCAGTGTGTTTTGTTATACTTGTCTGCTGGATAGAGATTTATCAGTTGGATAGCATTATCCACCCTTCCAACAGCCCAGCCCCAAGCATTAAAGTTATAGCTACAAATCAACATTTTTTTCATGGCTTTACAAAGTCATATACATGTTAATTGACAGAGGACAATTTATCCCGTCAATTGATGACTACACCAGGTTTGGTTTGCTTAAAAACAACTCACGCTTCCCTTTTTAAAACACTCCTCTGCTGCTTCAATCTCCTCCAACAGACCTTTGGGAATCTGTAAAGAGAAAATTCATTTGAAAAAAAAGAAAAAGGAAAATCAATCAATATCCAGCAAAGCACCCTCTCTCCTGGAGTTTCCCAAAGATGTCGCAAAACCAAGAGGTTTGTCATCAAAGTCAGCTAAATTTGACAAATCGGCATGATGATATCAAAAAATATAATTTTCATAAAATTAGAGGCAGCACATGCAGGCTGAGTGCAAGCTGTTTCAACAGCTGCACTGTGACCAAAACTAAACAAATTGTTGGGGCGATATTGATTTAGAGCACTCTAGGATTGTTGTAAAATCATAGGTAGAGCAACCCTAACAGTCAGTCTAAGTGAAGATGTCTTTGACAAGGACCAAAGCAAACTCAAAGTATGAAAAAGCAAATTAACTGCACAAAGGATGAGTAACTGAGAGTGATCTTGAAGCCACAAATATTGCTTTTTATTTTAATTATTGTAGAAGTTAAGAGGGTGTTGCAAGTTTCCTGAATGAACCAAAGGGCAAAGAGAAGAAAAACCAATGCATTCCTGAATTAACATTAGGATTAAATTGAAAAATACTAATAGTAGTCAGTCAGATACATGTACTAACCTTGAAAAGTTCAGCAGCATGATGAATCATGGAGGCAACCAACTTGTGCATAACTGTCATGTCTTCTGGAATGCGACTCAAGCATGTCACTTTCTGATTTTTTACCAAATAAATGACCAGAAAGGACATAAGAAATAGGTTGATTGGATTTTTCCATATTACATAATTTCTATGGTACTGTTAAATTGTAAATACCTGTAGTTACAATCATTAACTGTAACAATAGAATGTGGATCTTGAATTCAAGTTTGCCTCAGTTGAAAGATTTATTGATCAAGTTACCCTATTCACCCTAATGTAAAAGCTATCAGACAGTACTACAGTATATTTTCTCTACACATTTCCCATTTCACTGAAACGGAGAATTTGTTTAACAATCAAGAGCATCTTAAGCTGTGTCATTAAAAGGGAGAATTTATTCAACAATCAATGGCATCTTGAGCTGTGTCATCAAAAGCAAGATAAATGTACAATACCTCTTTGAAGCCCATAATGTTGGGTGAAAAAACCACAGCAAGGTTGTGGGCTGTCATTTTATTGTAAGGATTCTTAGAGGTAAGATTAAGGAGTTCCAATAACTGCTGTAACAGCATTCTGTTTGGAGGCGGCACCAACAAGAAGAGAAGCTGGAATGCTTCAATCATCTTAGCACTGGATTCATCATTACGAATCTCTACACAATCATAAGATCAGTTCATGGTTACCACATGGAAGTCATGTCTTTTCAGTTGTACAGTGTATATAATAGAAAATAAATACTCTCAACATCAAATAGAAAAACTAAAAACTAAAGGAACTTTAATAAATGTACACACACAAAAAAAATTTGTTCTTGTTTTCAGTGAGAAACTTTGTTTTTTTTAATTTTTTCTTATTATTAGTTTTTGTAAGGCAATTCACTCACGAAAATCATTCAGTCTGTTTTCTTTGTTTTGACCATCTACTGCCATTTTTTGCCAGTCCATTACCAAAATTCTCCAAAAATTATGATCATTTTTAGTCCACATGCTACAATTTTTTCATATGTGGGATCAAGGAAGGCAATCCTGTAGCCAATCAAAACATAGGGCTGGCTTCATATTGCCCATGGGTGCTTCCAGCTATATATTAATTACTGATAAATAGGCTTACATGTGTGCAAGATACAAATCAGTACCAAGGTTAACATAAACAGTTCTTATACACATTAAATTATAAGTTGATCACCAGAGGTCCTTCTGAAGTTTGGCTACAACTGAAAGTACAGTGCTGTACCTGTGATTTGTAAGTAAGCATCCAAAGGAGCATTTGTCAGAAGAGGTTCTGGGAGATCTCCGAGGAAGATTTTAAGAACAGATGCTACATCATGTGGAGTGAATCTTCCATTTTCAAAGTTAACTGGGTCTTCTTTGTCAAGTATTTCTTTTAGTTCCTCTTGTCTTTTCTTGTTGCCAGAAACTCTAAACAACCCCTCCTTGTCCACATCTGTAATAGAGTAACAAACATATTTTGATCAATGGCAAACAAATGGAATTAATTATACTCAGACAGCAATATTACGACCTCGAGAAAGAATCAAACTAATTCACCTGCACAGTCAAAACTTAAGCACATTTAAAGGGTGTTTTCGGGTCATTTATGTAGGTTACACTTCAGAATTTCAAGACTGAGTGAGCAAGAAATTCCTTTTAATTATAAACTATTAAACTGCAAGGTTTATGGAGGATTTTGTCTCCTCTTAAATGTACAGCACTTCATAAATATTTTAAGCAACCTGGAATTAATGACTTACATGACTTTAAGTAATTTATAAGAGTTGAGATTCTGAGAACAGCTTCCTCTGTTAGCGAATGGCCAAATATTTTATGACTCCCTGAAAGGAAAAAAATCATCCATGCTAAGAATAATAATCAACAACCTTCAACCAAAGCAGTCTGGTGTACATGTACTGTGCCTTCATGTAAATCTGGTAGCCTGCACAATAACAAAGCTGGGAGTAAAGCCTATAAAAGTTTTTAAATAATGTCTAGTGATGAGATGAAAGGCATGGAGCTAAATGTCATAAAAATACTTTATCACAATTTTCATTATTATTAATATTTTTTGAGGAATATAAAGGAATAATGCTTACAATAATTCTAACATTGCTGAGCTTATAATTTATGGTTACTACAGTATTAACATAATATAAATTAAAATTATTTCATGGACGATCAAGAGACTCAAACATACAGTGTATGTCAAGGTAGTTAGACTTTTCAACAATCGCAGAGGACTTGGCCAACCATTTTATAGAAGAGCTTACTTTTTTGAGGATTTCACTGCTTAAGACAGTGTTATCGTGAACAGAGGCGCTCCAGTTCTCTTTATAAAAATAAAGCCGGCAATATAATAAGGCCTCTTATCACAGAATATCAGTAAGATTAAGCTAACAAATTGTCATTTGTGGAGCAGCAGGAAAATTTTACTTTGTAGCCTTGCTGTTTTTTATATTCTCTCTGAGAATCATAACACTTTGGAGTATTTTTTTAAATTGATGGGAACTCATTCTATTAGCCTTTTTTCACCTCTTCTGCTGATGATCTTGTTTATCTTTTCCGATGATTTGTAGAAAAAACTTTTCTGTGCAGGTTCCGAATTACTTTCGATCTCCAGATTTCTCGCGACATCCCCCGTGTGTTCAAGTTGTTGTAATTCTTCAAGCATAGTGATCTCCAAAATTCTAGTAAGTCGACTAAGGCACACTCTGGCATGAGAATCCTTGGAGTCTTTCTTGCTCATTGTTTCATAGAAATTAGTAGCAATCAGTTCCCAGTTTATCCGAATAAAAACTTCTGCTTTGGTATCACTTTCTCCTCAGTCAAAAAGACCGCGATTTAGTGACCTCGCCAATCAAATTTAACGGTTCAGTTACTGACCAATCAGAAAGCTCAAACTAGCTCAGCGGTTGTTAGAGCGGGCTCAGTTTCATCCATGATGGCGGTCGTCAGCGATCCCCGAAGTGTCTTGGTCTTTCAAAGTGACAGAATTATCTTCTCACCAATAAAGCTAATAATTGGATATGCCAGACAGAAACTTTTGAGCCTTTGCCTCAATCATGGCTTCAACAGTTGGAAACCTCTAGGCCTTGTACTAAATTGCGCACGTTTCAAAGCCATGCGAAGAATGTTTTAAACTTGGCGCGCGCTGGAACGTGTTGCTGTCACCAAAGTCACGAGATTTAAAGAAATGCAGGTAAATAAGTTTTTTTCCCCGTGGATCATAAATAATTGACGGTGTTAACGAATTCTGGGTGGCAAAAGATCGGCGTTAAGATCAAGAAGTCGTGCGTATCGGTCAGACTTCTGATTACTTTTTTCATCTGCTTCCTTAGGAAATATTTCCAAGCTCAAGTACGTTTGTATTCACCCTGTCTACTGAATCAAAAACAACTGGCTACAAGTTAGCAACATATGCCACATAATGGCTTGAGAGGAAGAGGACACTGCAAATGGATTGAGTGGCTTTTATTTTATTGAATATACCAATACGTGACAGCTATCGAAATTCGATACGATTGCATACCATTGTATTGGATACAGCCACGCCATTTTGTCTACCGACAGAGACACATTCATCAGATTTTCCGGCGTTGACTGCCCATATTTAACGCTCTTCAAACATCCTGTTTGTCTGTGGCTTCTATCATGCCTTCCATAAGTCCTGTTCATTCGCTAAGTCCAGATCATGACAAGGAATCGAAAGAGGAAGATGATCAAACCACCGAAATTTCCGGCCATTTAAAATCACGGTTCTCTCCCAGTTCGACGTTCAGTGAGAGACTAAAAGCCGCCCGGAAACTGATCCCTTCGTACCCTGGTAAAGCAAAGCTAGTTCGATCAGTGAGTGAGAGCAGCACTTTGGCGACGAAGACAGACGAAGAGAGAATACATATTAGAGCAGAAAATGAAAGTTGCGCAACGAGTCAAGATTTTGGGACGTTTTTCCGGGAGCACGCCATCATGGTTGAATAGTGAGTGGGTTTTCTTCTTTTAATCTCTGATTCGATGACGAATTGCCAATTTTAAGTCAACGAATTTCTTTTGGACAACAACTTTGCTAGTAGTTGATGTTCATAATACTCCATGATAGTCTAGAATTATCTTACTGTTCACGGGAGTTCACTGATGTTTAGACAGATGAGGATTTGCCAGCTGTAAAACTGAAACCAGAATATAATCATACACATATAAACACAACAATATAACCACACACACAACCCATGATTCCTCCATTTGCTCTGATGAAGGGCTAATGCTCAAACCGTCAGCTTTAAACTTTTTACAGTGGCCAATTTACATTATCAACTCTGTTAATAAAATAACAAAACAAAATTATCATGTTAGAGTAATTATGTTAGTTATACATTTTAAACAGCATTGTGTTCTGATCATAATCTGTAGTCAGTAAATTAAATGAAAAATGTTGAGTCTTTCCCCCCTCAGTCCTGTGTCTGAGTTCTGAATATGTTTATAGTTTAACATACATCTTCAATGCCTGCAGACATTTTGTTCATTGTTTAAGGAAATATTTTTCCTCATCCTTGTAGACTCATGAAAAAATACTTCTAGGCAACTCTTACTTAAGTTTTAAGATGTCCATGTGTATATTTAAAATGCTAAACCTCCAATAATTATAGAATGAGTGTATGCTTTGAAATTTCTTACTTTTTAAAAAATGTAATTATTTAGAAAAATTTTCTCTTTGTAGCAAGTGTATGGGAAGAAATCCTCTCTCTGGAGTTTATGTAATACCATCACTGAAGTCATTACAAGGTCAGTTCTCTACACTGAGGCATATGTAGTACATATGATACAGTTTTGTTGTTAAACTGGCATCCTTTATTCACTGTTTGTTTTATAGTCCTGAATGCTGTGGTGTAATATTTTTAGAATAAGTTGCAATATTCAACCATGTTCTACTAAAACCACATGAAAAATATTAATGTTTCTAGTTCCGGGTCTAGTTGTATTAAGGGCAGATAATGCTACCCAATGAATGAATTGCAATCCAGTGGCAAAATGTACAGCCTTATCCACCAGATATAGTTTTCTCTAGTGGATAGTCCTATCCAACCTTCGAACAACCACAACCTGGTATTCATTGTGATCATAAACAAAATAATAGAAACAAGAGTGGTTTGAAAAAATGTTTGACTCTAAAGAACTGGTTCATGCTTAGCATGCGTATATCAAGTTATGGATGCATGCAGGAAGTTTGGAAAGCACAAGAGAAGCGTAAGAGTTGCTGCACCTTAAGCAACTCTAGCTTCTTAAGTGCTCTCCAAACTTCCTTAGTGCACCCATAACTTGATATATACACAGTCCTTCCCTAGTGCATCCATAACTTGATATATACACAGTCCTTCCTTAGTGCATCCATAACTTGATATATACACAGTCCTTCCTTAGTGCATCCATAACTTGATATATACACAGTCCTTCCCTAGTGCATCCATAACTTGATATATACACAGTCCTTCCTTAGTGCATCCATAACTTGATATATACACAGTCCTTCCTTAGTGCATCCATAACTTGATATATACACAGTCCTTCCTTAGTGCATCCATAACTTGATATATACACAGTCCTTCCCTAGTGCATCCATAACTTGATATATACACAGTCCTTCCTTAGTGCATCCATAACTTGATATATACACAGTCCTTCCTTAGTGCATCCATAACTTGATATATACACAGTCCTTCCCTAGTGCACCCATAACTTGATATATACACAGTCCTTCCTTAGTGCATCCATAACTTGATATATACACAGTCCTTCCTTAGTGCATCCATAACTTGATATATACACAGTCCTTCCCTAGTGCATCCATAACTTGATATATACACAGTCCATCCCTGATATATACATCCATAACTTGATATATACACAGTCCTTCCTTAGTGCATCCATAACTTGATATATACACAGTCCTTCCTTAGTGCATCCATAACTTGATATATACACAGTCCTTCCTTAGTGCATCCATAACTTGATATATACACAGTCCTTCCTTAGTGCATCCATAACTTGATATATACACAGTCCTTCCTTAGTGCATCCATAACTTGATATATACACAGTCCTTCCTTAGTGCATCCATAACTTGATATATACACAGTCCTTCCTAGTGCATCCATAACTTGATATATACACAGTCCTTCCCTATATCCATAACTTGATATATACACAGTCCTTCCTTAGTGCATCCATAACTTGATATATACACAGTCCTTCCTTAGTATCCCCAGTCCTTCCTTAGTGCATCCATAACTTGATATACACATAGTGCATCCATAACTTGATATATACACAGTCCTTCCCTAGTCCATCCACAGTCCTTCCCTTAGTGCATCCATACTTGATATATACACATAGTGCATCCATAACTTGATATATACGCAGTCCTTCCCTAGTGCATCCATAACTTGATATATACACAGTCCTTCCCTAGTGCACCCATAACTTGATATATACACAGTCCTTCCTTAGTGCATCCATAACTTGATATATACACAGTCCTTCCCTAGTGCATCCATAACTTGATATATACATAGTCCTTCCTTAGTGCATCCATAACATGATGTATACACAGTCTGGAAAAAACAATATTGGAAAAAAAAATCTTGAAAGTTTTTAAACCTTGCAGCTAAACTCAACTAGATTGTAAGCATGATAGTGGTTGCCTAGGAATTAGGTAGGACTTACACCTGCCAGATGTTATTTGTTCTGCCAGATGTTATTTTTGACTGGAAGAACAAATTGTACACTAGCTTTATATCATTGATTGCATCTACCCCTCCACACATGATTATGATAAAAACATCAAAGTTTTCCTGCTCATTAGGGTAAAGGTTTTACATTGCCTGCCCACTTGAGAAGGTTTTCCTGCCTTTTGATGGTGATTGGCAATGGCATTTGCACTCAACATAAGAAGCAGAAAGTTTAAATGTGGCATACCTCAAGTTATTCATCAACTTGCAAAATAAAGTGATAGATCTTGCACAGTTCCATTTGTGCACAGACGTTTGGAGAATGTTGTATGAAGATTGTATCTCTGAAAGGGTTAAACCAAGCAAGGGCAGCCTTTCAATGTAAGTGGTAGATCAGGATCAACTTTGGCCAAAAACTCTTCTATAGTTCAGTGATCAGACATAATTCTTCTCAATTCTTTCATCTTTTGAAAAATAAACTGTGGAACAGCATTGAGTAACTAGTGCTACTAAAGCTGGGCAGGAAAACTTTGAAGCTTTTCTGTCAAAACATTAAAGTTTGATAGGCCAACGAACATGTTTTCATCACTTGTGTGGAAGGGTAGATAGAGATACAGTCAATGGTATAAAAGAAATATGGCTGGTCGTTCTTGGTGCAATTCAAAGTTACTGTAATTTTGTTTACTTTAGTCTGGCATGGAGTAATATTTGTCAGAGCTGGGCCTTACAGAGATGGCATCTTCAGGTTTATAATTATTCTCCAAGATGAGTAAGTACATTTAAAAAAAAAAGCTCATTTCAATTGGTGATATGTTTTGTAAAATTACGTTTCATAAGTTATTTTTTTGTTTACAAGCTACATGTTTATTTGTATGGATAAGTCCAATTCAGCTAAGGCTGGTTTAAATGGTGGCCTTGCAGTGAATTAACTACGTAGATACAATGTAAAAATGTAAACATGTAAATCAATTAAAAAGGATCATCTTTCAAGTTCACAGCATGCAATCTGATTAAAAGAGAAAGTTATCAAAAAATCAAAAACAAACAGTTACAATGTAGATGTTCTATAAAATTGTTGCCAAAGAACAGCTGCAGTAGGAACAAAAACACATGCGTGGTAGCCTAATTCCTGTTTTAGAATCAAAGGTTTTTTAATTCATTTCATACTTTTATTAATATTAAGATATATTAATTGACATATTAATTATTATATATTTTGATCTCTTTTTAATCACCAGTTTTCCTGATAGTCGACCTCTTCTGAAATTGACCACACCTATGTTTCATCCACAAGTTAATCCAGTGAATGGGTACGTATAAACCATTTGTTGATGGTGCCTACATATAACTGTACTGACTTTGAAACAAAAGAATACCACATTTTTCCATGATTTTTTCAGGATGATTTTTAAATATTTTCATTATGCATAAACAGATTAGTTCTATTGAGCTATACAGCATATAATTGTTTAATTGGATTGTTTGGCTTTCTTTTTCTTTCAACCTAGATCACTTTCTTGTGACTCTTCATTATCGTCAATAGAATTTCATGACTTTTACAGTGAAACAAAAATTTTATGACTTTTGAGGTTCTTCCATCACAACATTGTGTTAAAATGCTCCATTGTTCTAGAGACATTTTAAAATGTGCCAGTGATATCATGAAAAGGTTCACATAGTATACATGTATGTGAATTCATAATTAGCTTTTGTGGTATCAGTGTTCCAATGTTCTGATTTCAAATGCCAGTTTTGGGAGAGCTCTGTGAGTAGCAAGATAGCTATCTTTTTGTGACCCTGTGACTCTGCAGCTCAAAACTCTTAACAAACCATCTACACAGAACATAAAGTGTAGTGCAAGTACAATTAAACTGTTTCAATCTGTAGCTACAGTTCTAACCCAGTTATATTTTTTCTAGTGTCCTCAATCTGGATGAGTCATTTCCTCAGTGGGAAAGGGGTAAAAACAGCATATGGTAAGTCCGTGTCTCATACAGTTTTCACTGGTGTGGGAATAATTGCCCTAACTTTTTTTACTTACCAAGTATAGTCTTGTAGACTATAATTATTGGATAAATTATTTTGCTTTCCATTGGTTATATAGCCATAGAATGAGTAATATGGTAAATTTTGTGCTTGATGTCACAAGCATTACACAGAGAAAAAACATGCAAGTCTCCTATGAATTAAAAGCCACATACTCTGACTCTTTCAGGCAAGTCCTAAAATTTATGAAAAGTTGCTTCTATAGCATAGACACCTGGGGTGCAACAAATGAAGAAGCTGTTGATCTGTAAGTGAAAATTTGTTCCTGGTATTACATTGATTTCAAGCACAGAATCTCTCCTTGGCTGTGTGTTTGTTTTACAGTGTAACAGTAACAGTTCTGCTCAAATTTTTCTCATTTACTGACACTTAACACATTTCAGACAGTCAGTGTCTGTGTCAGGTCTGTAAGGCTTTCACTCAGCAATGGGACCTTACTTGAGAAAATTATTGGTCTGAGCTTGTGTCAGTACAGTGCTTGACTCTATTCCTCAGTATGGCTTGGGCAAGCAAGTTTAGTTAGTAGTTTATCATATTAACTATGGTGCTGTTTAAGGAGTTCCAGCCCTGAGAAAAGCCTTAATAACACACATGGAAAAATACTATATTTTTTTATGTGTGTTTGATATCACCAATCAGCTGCTGACACATCGCTCACCTTTCGTGCCACTCAGTCAGGTTCACTTGATAAATGAACAGCAAAGCCTTCACCATTCTCAATCCAAGGTCGTTTGTTGCAAGTTTTTTGGATTGTGGCCTCTAAAACACTGAAAAATCCATGTGCAAATTTTTCTAGAAGGGGAAGAAAACCAAAATTCACAAGGAAAAACTAAAAGTTATGTATTCAGTGGCTTTTGTAATGTAATTCTTGCAGTTGACAACAAAAATCAATAGATCTGCTGCAGGCAGATTTTGGCCATTTTCCTGAAAGATTTCTTTTGTCCATTGTTTGTTTCTGTGGCATTTCAACGTATTTTTCCATCTTGTGCCATAGCATCAAAACACTTAACGATTTTTATTCGGGGATTGCCAATCGTTCTATTTCATTCATCAATAAAGTTGACTTTTCTTCTCAGTAAAGGGCTATTGTGTTTATATGATAGACAAAATAATACATGGTTACTTGTAGATATGAAATTTTTCTTTGTATGTTTAACTCAAATGTCTCACTTGTGAGCTATCGAGTTAAACACTTGAAGAGAAATTCCGCATCAACATGTGCCCATGTGTCATTCTCTATTTATCATATTAACTATAGTGTTACACAAGGATTTCCAGCCCTGAGGAAAGCATAATACACAACTTGTAGACATGAAATTTCTCTTCTCCTGTTCAACTTGACATCTCCCTAGATTGCTGCACTCACTCGTGAGCATTTGAGTTAAACATTTGAAGAGAAACCACATCAATGCCTGCCCATGTATTATTCTCTGACTATTTATTGTATGGCACTCAGACCAGACTTGTTTGTTTTCTATTTGCTGCTTATGGAGAACAAAAATACAAAGGTTATGACTGTTTCTGTGGAAATGTCTGTATGAGAAACTCCCAACCAAGTAATAACCAATCAGAGCAGTTGGATTTACCACATGATGACCTTGCCATACTATAAAAAGTTCTTCTGACATTGAACATATAACAATGTAATGTACTGTACAATACTTCCTCAGGATTCATTGATTTTAGTGTCATGTTCTTTGCTGACAATCTTCTCTTTAGGGATTTTAAGGTAATTCACTATTATCCACTTTTTTAGAGTACATAATAGCTTTGAAGAATTCAAAGAAAGAGCTCAGCAAAGTGCATCAGAAGCCTTAGATTTATTTGATTCTGAGGTGAAACAAGACAGCAGCTCAGGTACATGATTTTTTGTTAGACAGTTAATATGAAGATGATACTAGTGCTGTTTACAACTTGACTCCTTTAGCACCATCATTTTAGGTATGCGATAATTCATAGTAGTTAGGGCTCCTGCTTCTACAACCTAATCTATGTTTCAAAGCTGTCAAGAAGAGCCAGAATCTGGCCAGAACTAGGCTAGTCCTCTATTTTTAGGTAGCTACCTTCATCTCATTACCATCATGGTAGTTTTGATACCATGATCTTGGAAATTTGTTCAGCAGCTTTTTCTCTGTTTTAAGTGTAATCGAATGCATGTACATGTACATGTACCTGTGATTCACCTGGAATAGGTTTATTGGTTTAAATATGTGAATCAAATCCACATTCCATTTAATTTGTTTCGGTATTTTATCCAGTCCATGACAAAGCTCAGATATATTAGATATGATAGCAGTATTCCTCACAGTGTTGAGATACACAAGGTTTGCTTTTGGCCTTTAATGTATAAGCTATTGTATATAATATGACAGATGACGATGGAAATGTGTTGCGGCAGAAGAATCTCAGTGACTTGGCATTCATGGAAGGCAAACGAATGATGCTAGCTGGGGTGAGATGGAATTTAGTTTATTAACTTATTTATATTTAATTTTATTTGCACATTATTGTTGCTGCATTATATGTTACTGTACAATATACTCCATGGAAAATGATGTGGACGTTCATGAGGTTACTTGGTTCAAAGCCTAGAGTGAATGGTTTAAACCCACATGAATGCCACTCAATTGTGAGGTGTTACTCATCAAGTGAGGAAAGTTCAGAAAAAGAACATTTTCAGTGACAGTAACTGCTTCTTCAACAACACGAGCAGATACGAGCCTAGAGCTTCCTCTTTCAACTTCCAACAAGTTTCTGAGTTGATGTGAGTACCTTAGCTTCTCTTGCCATAAATGTTGACACAAAAGGTTAATATTAATATCATGTTACAATTACATACAATTGCATCTATTTCTTATTTGACAGGAACACACTTCCTTTGATATCAGAGATCCACTATTCTGAAGTAGTGAAGCAAAGTAGATGTGTATTCTTTATATATCCAAGAGAAGTGTGATATATTGAAAATTTTAAATTGAAATGGAAATAATAATATGAACTACTTCGGTGTGGCATATCACATAATTATGCCTGAAATGCCAAATGTGTATAGTCATGAACAAGTTTGTATTTCGAGGTCTGGACACGCTTGATGCTGATTATTTCTGTAGATGCCTACAAACAGTCATAACTAATTTTAAAAGTTATACCTCACTTCATGTGTTTTTACAAAATACTGTGTATTCAATATACATTACCCTCTTTGGAGAACTTAATAATTACTGCCTCTAATGATGCAGAATATTGTCAGTGTTTGGCTGCTAGAACTGAATAAGCAGAGCTTTATTTTATGTGGTTATTGGCACAATATTTATTCAGTGAAACTGTTGTTAGTTTTAAACTTTTTAAATGTCTCAGTTTTACTTCTGAAGTATTTCTGAAATGTACTGATTTTCACCCCCAAAATTCAATAAAGATATATTTATTACAAGTGTGTATTTCTCTCATGACCTCTAACATAAAGTCAGTTGCATGTATTTTGAATAGAGCTTTGAAAAGAATAGATGTACATCTTTACTCATTAAACTGTAGGGTCTAAAAGTTAATAACTATGCAAAGGAAGAAATGAAACATATCAACTTTATTATTGCCAAAAAGCTCTTGGATAAGTAATTAGGATTTAAAAAAATTATTCAAACTGTAAATACCAGACTGTTGCAATTTTTAAGTAGTTTGATTTCCTCACTATTTGTTTACAAAACATTTTGTTAAACAATTCTTTGTGCTATCACTAAATCCAACAAGTAAGTTTGTGTATTGTCACATGTACTGTAATAAATAATTGTGGATTTCTGTACATGTAGAGACTTTTTTGATGCAAGTGAATTACAGTGGACATTTACTTAGGTAAATTCTGGTTAAACATTCAAGCTTTCATGACTGCTCTTCCCTAATTCCAAATGTTTTTCTTTCATTTGAAAGAACTTCCATGACTTTCTTCTCCATGTCTTCCAAGGAAATGGTGACTTTATTCAGTGATGAAAAATCCTGTTTTAAAAGAAAAAAAATTGTTGAAGTTTATGTGTAGTGTCAATGTGAATCAAATTCTTAATGCATAACTAAAAGATCAGAGTACCACAAGGTCTCAAAGTGATTGAAATTCTTAATGCATGACCAAAAGATCAGAATGCCACAAGGTCTCTCCCAATGGGAGCATGTCTGTGAGAGTTGTGATATTTTTAAAGTAAAATAGTTCCAGGAAGATACTGGCTTGGTACTTAATTCTCATCATTATTTAGACAACAATCCACAGCGAACATGTGTTGCTAAAAGCTGGGCCAAATTTTATGACATTCTACAGCTTAGTGGTGTTTTCTGTGATAATATGATATTTTAGTCAGCCATTTTTCTGTAGTTGAGCTAGAAAGCATAAATTGAGCTTGCAAGCTGAAATTGAGTTTGCAAGCTGAAATTGAGCTTGCAAGCTGAAATTGAGCTTGCAAGAAAAAGAACAGCCCATGACAGTGACAACAAATTATCACAAGAAAGCCTTGAAGTAAATTGTTTAACAAGTGAGTTTAGGTAAATTTAATGTAGTGCAATCATTTCTAACACACTCTTACACTCTTGATGACTAAGCAGGGACATCATTGCTGAAAACCTTTCTAATTTCCTCATAATAAGTCAGAAAAAAATTCATATTATTTTTTTGCTGCTGTGCAGTATTATGTACATTATGGTTTGACCATCAACATGATTGTATCAAAACTTGGCCAAAATTTTAAATTTTCAATCCTTGTTCCTTCTTGGGTAATTCCCTCCTCTTTGGGATTTGTCTCCTCTGAGAGAATACATTGTAATTTTAAGATTTCTGCATGTAAACTGTTTAACGTAACAACATGTAACTTAGCTTGTTTTCACTTGACCATACTATAACATTTGTACTACCTTGTTGATCTGTTGTAAGAGGGGACCATGGTTGTTCCAGCAGTGGTGAAAATATGCAACACACATCTCAAATACAGTGGCCTTGTCTGCATATGGATCACAGTTTGGCACAAGCTGCCGCAACCAGTGCCATGACTTTGTGATTCGCTCTCTATATTTTACCAGAGAAAAAACAACGACTTACTTGTAGATATTTCATAATTATTCAAACTCCTGGGTCCATCTCTAAAAAGTTTCAAATAACTATTAAAGTTATTGATGACAGCTTAAAAGCTGTTATAAAAAAAAAATGGATTGATTTTACGGCTACATGTACAAGCACCACACTAATAATTCCTCAGATTTAGATTATATTGAATTCTGGCTTCAGGCTTGTAAAAATAAAATGATGACTTTCCAATAGTGTATCCCTGGTCCCTGGAATTTTAATCTTTTCACCCTCAAGATCTAAATGTAAATATTGCATGCAAGAGAAATTCACCCTTCTTGGTCTGTGGTGGGAGTGAAAGGGTTGAAGATGTATAAAATTATCGACTAGATAAATCATTGGCAACCAAACAGCATACAGTAGTTTGTTCTCCTTGTGCTTGCCTACTGGAAAGCAATATTTGAGTTTAAACTGTCCTTATCCAGCCATCAAACAACAGGAGCTTGGTTGGCTGGGAATGCAACAGATTTTCCCAAGCAGACAAGGATTTGACTATATCTCTCTAGGCCTCCTAGAAATGGATGCCTATTACGCAGTCAAGAACATGATTACATCTTTTTTATTGGCCTGAACATTATAAGCTGGAACTATGAACCTCTCATCACACTTGGACAACTCAGCAATTTAGATAAGGAACTAACAGCCACATGTGAAGTACAATCAACAACCAGTTCAGAATCAGACTTACAGCCCATACAGTCTCCCTTTTAGACAAAAAATTAATGAAAAGATAGAGCTGCTGTATTTCAAGTGCTAAACACATACTGCAATGGCAGATCTATTGAGCAACTGTTAATTTTCTGACCTTCTTTTCTTTTCCTTGTCCAAGTGATGTTCTTTCCGTTCAAGGGAAGTCAACCCTGTAGACCTTGGTTTCTTTCTCTTCAGTCCAGTAGTATCACCTTTGTTTACTGAACTTTAAACAAATAAATAACCAAAAATGTGTCAGCTTATTGCTTCTGGGATGAAATTATTGGAGTTCACAACATCTGAAGACAACTAAGTCAACCAACCAAGATCAGGTTCTTACTAATAATAAAAATAAGACTAAAAATAACTGATCAGAAAAAGATTACTGTACTTCACTGTTTTATTGATAGCCACTGATTAAAAGGCAAATTTCAAAGCTTTCTACAATTGAGTATTTTCCATACAGACTTCTTCAATGTAAACAATGACTCATTTGTGTGGTTTCGAGTCTCCAGCTCTTATTGGAAAAGAGAACTCAAGGCACATGTATAATCATGTAGTCTACAGAAATACCACAGTTGAGATTGCAGAAATCACCTACACGCCACAACAAAGAAATTTTAAAATTCAGTTACAACAAACCAGATGGAGACCATTGGTAGTGTTGTACTGTATATTGATATCTACAGTTGTATACAGGGCTATACTTATACCTCCATAGCAGGGTGCATTTTATCAATTTGGTAATTGATGAAAGTGAGTAATTTACAGTCTTGAGGCTGGTAGCTTGAGATATCTGAATTATTATGATGTTGAATTTAGTGAGGAAGCTAGTTTCAATTTAGCTCAAACATTGAGTAATTTACTTAATGTGGGAATTGTTACTTGCAAAGTTAGCATACAACTGTATACCTGCTCCAGTGAATGAAAATCATCTGGGTTAGATATGGGGTCATCAGTGAGTTGGTCAACAGGATAAAAAGTCAGCTCCAAGCTCTGGTAGTACACTGTATATACAGTCTTGCAGCTTAGGAAAACTGTTTAGTTATGTATGGTATCAGTAATTGAAAAAAAAAAGTATACCTTGGAGAGCAACTTTCTTCATTCACATTCTTTTCTTGGTTTCTGTTATCACTTTTATCAGCTTTTGTCTTTGGGGTCTTTTTCCCAGATTGATTGTTTTTGTCATTGGAATTAACGCTTGCTCCATCACAGCTTTTTTTTGCCTCTATTTGTTTCGTGGAGGAAATATCTTGTGGCGTTTTCTCCGTGGCCTGCTTCTTACCCTCTTCTTTTGTAACCACTGAAGGTTGCCTCTTATCACGCTGCATATACCCACTAGACATAATGGTGCTCTCTGTGCCACCTCTGTCCTTCTTTATATGAACATTACTTTTCCCATTTGTAACATGACGATAATAGTGATATGGATGGTGTGGCAGCAGCTGTGTGTTGTCCAAACCACCCCATGACATCTGTTTTGCTGGGATAGGCACACCACTCTTTTTCTCATGATAGTCTTGCTGATGCATAGGTGATAAAGACATCAAGAGTGGATTAATGTGATTATATGCACTTTGTGTGTTGTCATAGCCATGTAAATATGATGAAACTGAAGGTACATGTAGACCCCAATTTGAGGCTGGAATTTGCCATTCTTTAGGAATTGCTGCTGCAGCACCTGGTTAAAACATGGAATTAGAGGGATTCTGCATTGCATCAGACTATCACATACATGTAAAACCATTAGCTGGAGTAATCTCAAAAGTTCTTCTCAAGTGCATGACTGTATGACTAACACTACATAATAACTGCTTCATTTAGGCTGCTGGATGAGTTGCTTCATCCCATATACTGCAAGTAAGTACTGTACATTACTGTATGTCAGCGGCCAACTTTTGGTTTACATTCATTTGAAGCAGTGTTAATGTCAAAAATTCAAAACTTTTCAAAAATACAGTATCAAATATTATCAAATCTTTACAAAACAAGTGCTAAACACATACTGTGAAGCAGACAAGTTGCCACAACTAGCCCACTTATAAGTGGTATGCAGTTTTCAAAGGCTTGCAAGTTATAAATGTATCGGCTCCTTTTGCAGCTGGTTCCATTAGATAGCACTGAATCAAATATCATACCTTCACAATCATTGTTCCTTGATGATAGAAAAGCTTTATCAAATTTCCTTTTTCTTACAATGCCAGGCCTCTTTGATTTAGGAGTAACTGCAACAACATTTTGAAGAATTTTTTAAGACAATGTCTCCCTTGTAAAGCTACATAAATCACATTATTTGGCAACTATATTTTTTGTTTTACAAGGTTTGCAGGTATTCACCAGACTGAAAAGGGCTATATTGTGTGTCACAATAACATGAATATATGTAGGAAATGAGCTGAATTGAAGTCAAATCTAAATATGTAACTGAAAGAACATTTTGAGAAATCCTCAAGTGACCTTACAATTTTCTTAAAGGGACCAAATTGTGTATGGCTCCCAACAACATTTTCAATATGCACACAGCTTCATTGCTCAATGATATTTGTTTAGCATTTGCTACAAAAGAGTTGTACGTCCAGGGAGAAACTGAAAACCAGAACCAACATGTTTCACAAGATGAGCTACCAATAATTATTAAAAAGAATTTGGTTTGGTGGTTTGATTTGCTTGCAGTTAATTCCATTGCTCAGTAACAGTAAAAAATGAATTGATTTTTAAGCCAAAGCACATACCAATTGGCTGGGTAATTTAAAAAGTAATTCACTGTTAGATTGACTACTATCCTGGTTTTTTTCCATCTCTTTTTTTTTGTTTTGTCTTCTCTTTTGGAAACGTAATCTTTTCAAAGAGGGATTAATGCATAACACACCACTCAAAATTCCCTGTCACTCTGAATATACTCTGAAAAATAATGTAAGGCGTTTTACAGTGAAAAAAGTAAGCATGACTCGACCAAACTCTACATGATAGATACATGTACCTGCAAATTGTCCTGGTTGCGTTATCAGACGATTTACTGCACTTCCCAAATCACACTCCAGTGTCAAGCATTTGAACACAAGCTCATCAATGTACTGCTCTTGCATCAAGTGTCTGACAGAATCTAGGAAAAAGTTGTAAATTTGTAGTTGTAACAGCATTGCAGCAACTGTCAATCAATACTAAGAAAAATTGCACGCTACAATCAAGAGTAAAAAAGAATTAACAAAAAGATCAAATCATTGTTGAGAACAGTTCAAACCAGTCAATCTTTGAGTTGTTAATAACTACATGTACATGTAGAACATTTATCGCTGAGTTACCCTTTATAAAAAGGCTATAATTACTTTTTGTCATTGCCTTCTGTAACAGTATATATTTACAAGCTATATCACAAGAAACATGTTCAAAAACACATTGTAAATCTTTGAACCAATAGTAAGAAGGGGCAAAATATATAAGATGTGCCTACATGTACATGCACTTGATTTTGTAAGGTTGTTATTTTTGTTAGGCATGCAATACATCACACCTCTCTATCATTTACTACTGTATTAACCCAAGAAAGATGTTAGGAAAAAATGAAAGGAGAAGGAAAATCAATGGCCCTTAAAGCTTCAATGACATAGCTTCATCATTACAGGTACAATAAACAATAGATTTTAGACCACTCTCTTTTTCTCAAAATTTGTTTCAACAATGCCTACATTTCTACAGAGCCTCTTCTTGTACCACTGGTCAAGGAGGTTGGCTCTGTCTCAAAGAACTTAATATATAATTGGTCTTATTACCCTTCATAAAGAATAAGAGGAAGCTGCTTTGGCCAGTTACCATGATGGTGATATACAATAACCACTGGGAGAAAGGAACAGGTTTACCTGACAGGGGTCCAGAGGAAATAAATACGATGGGTGTGTACTCATTGCATGCCTTTGGTGATCTGTTGAAACAAAACAGGTTATGATGAGCAAGTATATTTATTCATTGAAACAGCCATTGAGGCCCTGGCAGGGAGAAAGAATCTACAGCATTTTTTAGGAAGCAAGCAAAATACATAATGACAAATTTTGGTGGAGAGAGATTTAGCAAAATGTTCAGAGAGAACTTATAGCTAAAAGCTTCAAAAAGCCAGTGAAAATTACCCTGAAGTTTATATTGTCACTTATTGTCCACAATCCACAAAATGAAATCTTTGCAATGCTAATTCAGTTAATGTAGTTGCATGTGATACATATAGCATTTTAAAGGAATCCTGTTCAGGTAATAACTTTTCAATACAATTTGGTGTTGATATTAGCACAAGTAAATTTTTCAAAGACAACATAATTGCAAGGGTGCATAAGGCAAGTGCAATTTGTACACGTGTATTCTTTGAAAAATTTTACAAGTGCTTATACACAATTTTAACAACACACTATTTAAAATCTGTGCTTGTGTTACAACTTTGCACTTGTGCTGCATGAAAAATTCACTTGTTTGCAGCCCAAACAGAAGTGCATAATTTTTTCGTGTATATTATCATGCATTTGATTGAACTTTATTTGACCACTCACAATGAAGTCTTTAAGAATGGAAGGACTTACAAACAAAGGGGATACTTACTTGATAGTCTCAATGAAATTGTTTTCTTCACAGTCTTCCAACACAATAAGAGCCATCCTCATGGAGGCACATAACTGTGAAGCTGATGCAATGCTTGATTCCTTGATAACAGTAAATTCTAATGACTCCAGCTTCTTGATGATGATTGTTGTTGAATCTGAAATTTTTACTGAGGACACATACAGGCATGCTCCCTTTCCACTTTCCTTTTCCTTTTCCTTTAATTAAAGTTGGCCATATTAATGCAAACCTGACTACCTATTTTATTAACTTACTATTACTTACTATTTTCACTTACTATTTAAAAATAGTAAGTGACAAGGACGAGCTCCTTGTTCACAGATAATTTTCATTATTTTTTCGTTAACCACATTGAACTAACAGCTAATAAACAAATGGTGTATTTCTGACGAGTTTGTCCACTACAATAATCGACCTACCTGCGAAGAGCTTTCTTTAAAAAAATCTACCAAAAACCCTCAGCACCACACATGCCCTATTTAGCACGGGCAAGATTTTTAAAGTAATCCCCTGAAACTTTTAAAGGATCGCACGATGAAATAATAAAACATACAGACTCACCTCGGCTCTCTTCACAGTTGTGTCAGAATCCTCACTTTTACTTTCGACCATTGTTTAATTGAAGCGGCAGATTGTGATATGATGTTGGACTTCGCCCTCTGAAGCCAATGAAGTTCTTAAACTTTTTTGCCTTTTGCTTTGTAATAAAATACAGCCTGTTGCAAATCTCTCGCTCTTCTCGCTTCTGTTAGCGCTCGCCACAACCGTACACGTATTCTTTCTTACGTGATCTGTTAGATCTCTTACCCAGTTCTCACCTAATCGTACCATTTTGGTACGCAGTCGAGCCAAAATACCTCTGGCGATAACAAACGAGCCTGATTTGCCCCCGAAGCGTACCAGGAAGGTACGTCTAGTTATTTGCCCTACCTAAATTCAGTGAAACCTCTAGCGATATTGCAGTTACAGCGATGAAATATCTCAGGCACTCTATGGAATGGCCGCGGGAAGACTAGTACGAGTCAACAAACGGCGCGAAAAGATGACGAGGGTCGCAAGCGCATGAGGAAGATATTCTCAGATTGAGTGTTATTACAATACACAACAAACAAAGTGATAAACTATGGTTGACCTTTTATGCCGAAAAAGTGTTTTACAAACCTCATCACGCGGAAACAAACACGCAGAAAGCTACAAAAGGCAAATCACTTTGAGGCTTGCCATTCATTGTACTCTACTTGATCAGAGTGACACGAATATGTCATTCATCTGAGCACAAGTTAAAACAAGACTGATTATGACCGTTACTAAGCAAAACGTTTTCAAAAAGACCAATTTAGAAGAGTCAAAACAAAGAGTAACAATTCCTCCCGTCAAAGTCATCACGATACTCATGAAATTAGTAATAAAGGAAACTTTAGCTTGTGATGACAAGTTTAAGTTTCCTTCTTTAAATGGATTGTTGATATGGGTATTTGCACATAACCACCATGGGAGTGCAGGGGGGGGGGCGGTGCTTAATTATTACACCTGTCAATTAAATCATTAGAATACTAAGAGCCTAATGGGGGGGTGGGGGGATTAGATTGTGACATAACCAAAATACTCCGACCTACCTCCCCCATCACCCCCCTACCTGCCGACTCCTGGTTCTATCCAGACCTGCCTATTCCATCAGAAAACCGTCGGAATCTGTTTTTGTGTATTAGACATGTGTGATTTTTTAGCTGGTCATTTGGCTGGAGAGAGAGTGTATCCGGGAGACAAGGGTAAGTACTACCTCCCTATAACCGAAAAAACCAAAAGTTTAATTCCAGATCATTACTTGTACGGCGAGGGGAATGGAAAATTGTTGAATCTGCACGGGGTGAGGAAGAGCGGGATCCTGGTGGTAGAAGTAATATTAAGCCAGGGATTGTCACTGACTCTATGAGACCACAGTGCATGATCTTCGTTCAAAATTTATGGAGAAACAAGAAAGCTTGTCGATGGAATCTTTACATTCAACTTCTCCTACCATTTCTGTGCTTGAATTTGAACCTTTCTCTGGAGCTCAAGTCCCGTATTATTGGTTGATCAGTCAACTGACAATCTAATTCAAATTATTTGAACAATCCTGCAGCAACTGAATTGATTTCCAGCATCAAAGGTGATCTTCCAGTTATAAGATACTCTTTACGGTATTGAACTCCAGGATGGTTCAATTATTAGAAGACAAAAAAAGTGAGCTGAAATTTTTTATATTTTTTTTTTAATTAGACACTAAATGGCTTGACAATAAATTATGAAACGTTTCACACTTTTTATAACATTCTCACTTGGGTTTCACTCCTGTGATAGTTTTTTCTTCTATTTTTGTGCAAGCTCCTACAAAATTTTAACTTAAATCGTAGGTTAACAGCAAAGGTGAATAAATAAAGGAGTCAGATGAAAATACATTATCTGACCTGTGCACTTGATATATGTGTGCAGTGGAGTAAATACGATTAGTGGCGTAGCATTGTAATAACAATTAAGCCACCTACTAAAGAACATGCTAGGACTAAAGTCAATAAATAACGAGTAATATATGCAACTGAATGCTGAATAAATAGTTAAATCATTTTTATAATTAGTAATAAATCTAATAATATTGAAATAAAATCAGTTGCGGAAACTTCTGACGACACTGGAAACGCAACACGGCCGTAAATATGCTTTCACGATTATCTATTTAGCATACCATACTAACTTCCTTTCTCCTGTAGCTGTTTGTACTTGTCTACGACAACTCAGACTATAAAAAAATGAAAACAAACATTGCGGGCTCGCACTAATTACTGTAATATTTTATATGAGTTATCCTCTAAGGCTCTTGGTTAAATAATTATAAATGCATTATTTTCACGATATAACGGTATGTAACCTTTCTATTACTAAAACGATAACTAGAACTGAAAAGGAATTGATGAGTCAATGCTAGAAATTACAGACGTGTATCCAGTACCGCATCATCTTCTTCGTAATCTCCTGTTGAATAACAAAGCAACTCATTATCATGATACTTTAGTTAACATTGTCGCCTAAAACAAATAACCAAGAGTTTTGGAGTAATGAAGAAATATTTCCTCTACCCAGACTGATAAACGAGAAATTAATGCTCCAAAACTTTGAATTTTGGCGAAAATGGAGGGTGGCAAAACATACCTTCGTCTGCAATCAGCTGCTGCTGTCGTGAAGATTTATCTTCCGCGGACTCATCAGCCTGCTGTTGGGAGTCCTCACATGCTCCTTTTGACTTCTCGTCTTCCAGTTGCTTTTGGTTGGGTTTTTCATACTCTTCTTTTGGCGTTTCAGTTTCCAGTTGCTCTTGTTTAGGTTCCTGATTCTCTCCTTTTGGTTTTTCTTGCTGCAGTTGGTCTTTCATAGGTTCTTCATGGTCTTCTTTTGGTTGTTCATAATCCAGTTGCTCTTTCTTAGAATCTTCATCTTCTCCTTTTGGTTTTTCTTGTCCAATTTGCTCGAGTTTAGGATCCTTATGGTCTTGTTCTCGTTCTTCTTGATCACAATTAATTTGCTGCTTTTCGGTTTCTTCAGGGTGTTCTTCTTTCTCCTGCTCATCTTGTTCATTTTCCTCTTGTTGCTGTTCACTTTCGTTTTCATTTCTTTTCGACTTGTTCTTCTCTTTACTTGCATCCTTTAGCTCATCAGGCCCTGCATGGTCGACGTTCGGTTCTTTTTCTTCTTGTTGTTGAGTGCCCTGTTGTTTGGATTCCTGGTCGTCTCCTTTCAGCTTTCGCTCAGGTTTTTCATCGGCTTCATTTCGCTCCTGTTTTTCTCGTTGCGTCTCACTTACTTCTTTGTTTCCCTTTGAATCTGCTTGATGATCTTGTTCAACTTCCTGCTCTGTAGTTGGTTCTTCATGGTCATCTTTTGGTGCTTTGTTTCTTTTAGATTCAACCTGCTGCTGTTCAGTGGGTTCTTCTTGGCCTCGCTCTGGTTCTTCGTCTTGTTCACGTTTAACTTCCTGCTGTTTAGTCGCTTCTTCTGGGCCTTGTTTTCGTTCTTCGTCTTGTTCACGTTCAACTTCCTGCTGTTCAGTCCCTTCTTCTGGGCCTTGTTTTCGTTCTTCGTCTTGTTCACGTTCAACTTCCTGCTGTTCAGTCGCTTCTTCTGGGCCTTGTTTTCGTTCTTCGTCTTGTTCACGTTCAACTTGCTGCTGTTCAGTGGCTTCTTCTTTTCCTTGTTTTGGTTCTTCGTCTTGTTCATGTTCAACTTGCTGGGATTCAAAAGGTTGTTCATTGTCTACGCCTGATCCTGCATGGTGCTCACCATCTCCTTGTTCTTCTTGCGATTCATCCTCACTATCGTCAGTGCTCCCCACTTCCTCTTGGTTTTGTACTGTGTTCAATAAAATAAACACAAAAAGGGAATAAGGTTAAAAAGTGTTTCCTCAGGTGGTTGTAGTTGGCCAAATCGCCAAATTTGTTATACGAAATACACCGTGCTTTTTGCATTTGGTAACCGGATCGTGTTACTTCTCCGTCCTCAATCATTTACGCTCCGCTTTTACTCTTTCCGAATATCTCTTCGTGGCTTTGATACCTTATTAAAACCATTATTTGAAAACTTTTCACGGTCGACCAAACAAGTAGCCTATGTTGCCGTGCGTCTGTTCATTCATAAATAACATATGACGACAAAATGTGGTAACATCAAAAATGTGGTAACATCAAAAATGTGGTAACATCAAAAATGTGGTGCACTGGACTCAGCCGATTAAGTCTCCGATGTTCTTAGCCCATTTCGATTTTTTATGTGAGTGTTTTATGACAAAAAGCGAAATATTGTTAGTGGTGAAAAAATCTATAAGTCTTCCCTCCACTAAATAATAATTGAGAATCAGTCAAAGTAGGATTAAGCATATTACGTAAACAAAAATTACAGTCATTAAATTGACTCAAAATGCGGTTGTTTGTAAACTTCAAACTGGAGGCTAAATTACTTTTTACGCGTTTCTTATAGTGGCAAAAAGGTCGAACCGAATTGCTTCAAAGTTACAACAATGCTTTTCTTTGGCTTTTCTGTTTTGCTCTTGGTTTTTGAATGCTAGGTATTGCGTTCTGAAATTTGTTTTAGTCTGTGGAGAAGTGAATGGTGCGTACCTTCTTCGATGACTCTCATCTCTATTCCCTGATCTTGAACTGACGGAAAAATACAAGCAAGCGGACAAAACATCAGCAATAACAAATTATTCATTCATGAGGCAACGTCTTTTTTTATCATTTGAGGTTGAGTCAACCTATGTGTTTAAATGAAATACTCAAGCTCACGCGCCAGTAAATATATGGATCTGTTTGTTTCTTATTCATATGGGTAACCAAAAAGTATCTCTTGGCTTACAAGCCGATCTGATTGATTAACCTACGGTATATCTACTCTTAAACCTGTTTAAAACGTAACTTTATGGCATGAAACCAAAAAATTAAAGAACGAGAAAAATACTCCCCAGAATGATGAAAGATTATTTAAAGTATCAAAAATTACCTTCAATATCTTGATTTCGGCCGAGTTTTGCCACCAGATAATCCCACAGTGGTTGGAGTTTGGCTCTGATGACTCCTCGGACCTTAATACATCGAAACAAAACACGAGGTTATAATCAGTAAATAGTGCTTCCTCACCAGTTTTTAAACCCTTCGAGTCTTTGATTTCCCCAGGAATGCAAACTACGTTTGCGCAGCTTTCCAGCCACTCTCAAACCGAGTGCGATACAATGAAAACGTGCACGTTTTACATACAGAAGAGAGTTCTGAGGCAAAGGGATCTCAGAAATGGCGGAAATCAAGTTTACCAGCTGATATAAAATACGGTAAAATTATAAACAGTGAGACACTTCTTGGCGGTTCGTGTTTCACTTATTTATTCTTGTCGAATTTAGATGTGATCTGTGATCTGAGAGACATGATATAAATGCAAAATTTAATTTATTGGCTGAATATATACTTTTCCAACCGTTCAAGTTATTAGTACATGTACCTGTGGGGTAGACAAGGTGTAAAGAATGGGATTGATGGCAGAGTTAACCGGCAGAACAAAGACTGCGATCCAAACTGCGAGGTCACCAGGTGTACGGAAGGATTTTTCCAAGAGAGACCTCATTCCAATCGCCACAATAGGCAGCCAGCAGACACAGTCGGTAAGAACAATGAAGAACACTCTTTTGGCGAGCGAGGCCTCCCTCCTTAGATCGGCTGCCCTTGCCTTGGCTTTCATTCTCCTCTCTCTTTCGGTCCCTTGCTCAGCCATGCGCCTGTTTGATGCGCAGGACTTATAGATTATCATCGCATATGCCACAACGACAAAGAGCACAAGAGTAAAGTTTAAACCCACAAACATGGCAACAGAGTACTCCCAGCCCGACGGCTTATCTGTGGAAAGCTGCAATGGCAGACATACAACTGATCTGCCATAAAAGTGATGACCTTTCTGGCGACTACCGAAGTAGTCGAAGCCCACCGTGGGAATAAATGCAATTATGCCACCAACAATCCAGATAAGGAAGCACAAAAGGTGCGTAACCTTAAGGGTAAGGGACTTTCCACGATAGGGGAACAGAACATTCTTCATCCGGTCGGCGGAGAGCAAACAAATCGTCATTACAGACACCTCACTTGACAACACGGCAATGGCACCTGTTATCTGACATGTCAAACTTGAACGCCAGTAATAGTCATGCAAATAATACTCCCCTGCCCAAATGGCATCCACCACACCTATAGTTAGGAGGTAGACACCCATAAGTCCATCGGACCCAGCCAAATGTATCAACATGATGGACTGTATCTTGTTTTTCTTCTTCGTCTCCCTAAACACCAACCGCCACACAATGACAAACACAGCACCAACCAACGACATAATTCCAATCACCCAGAGGCACTCCCTGGGAGCTCGATTTCTGAACAAAGTTTCACAACTGGCGAAGCTGTCGACATAAGCGAAGTCGCAATCTGCATCCTGCTTCGTCAAATGGCAACACATCAGGTTGGTGTCTACAGTCCTACGGTTCATAAAAAGAGTTCAAATGAACAACAAAAGGGAAAAAAAAAGACAAATTTGATCCGTCACAGGATCTAAATTTGTAAGAAAATGAAAGTGTAATAGTAATACAGTAAGCGCAGTATAACTGAGCACCGACAAATGAAATTTTTCAATTTTAAACTCCTCGCGTGGAGAACATTCCACTTGACTTACGCAGTTATTAGATTCTTCATGTTTGTAAAGAAACCCTCCGGTAGTTCTCGCATTTCGTTGTAATGGAAGTACCTGCAAATTAAAGGAAAGTAATTCAGGCAAACTTTGCCCGCTAATTCTTGATAACATCGACATCTTTAGCCTATTAATCACAACCATTAAAAATTCCTGAAATGTTATTGGTGCATCCGCAGCTTCATTTTTCACTAATCATTCTGTAAAGTTGTAATAGGACAGTTTAATCGGACAGTTGGCTGCAATCGGAAACCTGTAATCGGACAGTTGAAGCAGCCAATCGTACTAAGTCCACTCAGTTAATCCACCCATCACAGAAATGATCAAAATAATCACAGCAACAACCACTTATCCAAGGGAAAAATGGGGGATTTCCAAAGTGGAGGAATTTTTAACTAAAGATATTGTCTCCACTGGAGATATTTGTTTTAAGTGCTTTTTTTTTTCGGAAATTCAAATGGTTATGATTAATTGGTAACAGGACTTCTTGTCGTCAAATTCTGTCCTTAATCATACTCGTGATTAACAAATCGGACTCTCGCCTCGCGGTCGTCCGATTTTTCTGATCACTTGTATGATTACAGACCGAATTGGACTCCACTCAGTCCTATTACCGTTATGTATTAATCAGTTTTTCGGCTCTCTCTTGTTCCTTTTCCTGCTCAATTCTCCACAGCTATTTGATAGAAAACTAAAACAGAAGACGCGCAATTTGTCATTGAGTGTGTACGATATACTTACACAGGCTATGCCAAAGTGACTTTATTTGTTATACTGATATGCTTTTAATACTACAGTGAGTATCTGATGCACTCATTTCGAATTTAGGATGGGTCGCTCATTACAGAGAGGGTACTTTATGCGGAGGGACCGTTCCTTAAGTTTTTCCCAAACTTTGTCTTGTGACCAGATATGATCGTCCCAAGGAGTATAACATTTGGGCGTAAATAAAAGTATAAACTGTGTATTAGTGAACAAAGCCGATCCTAACTTCTAGTATATCAGTGGTAGTATGTATGTGAAAATCGTTTACTCCAATTTCCCTGCCTAAGCAATTCGGCCAGTGGTATGATCACTTGTCCATCCTTTAAAATGGGGGAGGGGCGCTTATCCGTGAGTTTACGGCACGTGAAGGTCGCGCCAGCAATATCTGTTTCCCTTGAACTCGAAGTAGTTTGAACACACCTGGAATATTACCAGTTTACTCATACTCACAGGAATCGAATACTTGGGGCGACATCTTTGAATTGTTCGTTGCTAACGGTACGGATATTGTTGAAATAAAAGCTCCTACAGAACGATGAAACAATGAAAAGCGTAGAGCGTCAACTGACAAGCATTAAAGCGTAAATTAAAACAACACTGGACAGAAAATTAGCCAAGAATGGAAGGCAATATCTTCCATTTGTTCAAAATGTTCTGCAACGAGAAAAGAACCTCACCGTGCATTAGACAGTGCGCCATACAATAATGTCACATAAGTATTTTTACGAATTTTCACATTACTGAGAGCTTCTTCAAAGTCACAGTTAAGTTATCAAGAATGAAAAAAACATTCTCTATTTAGGTTCCAGATCTATTTCTATCCGCGTGGCTGATGCCGATTTAAATAACCCCATGAGTATTGTCATACCTATCCTCAAGAGGTTTTCGCGGTCGAAGTCTTTGTAAACTCAGTGTTTGAATCTGGAAGGGGATACCTTAGCAGGATTTTGTTTTTGGTGGTTAGAGAGACCTGGTGTTTCCCAAGGTTTTGTCTGATTTGCCTTTTGGTAGTTCTCTCTACCTCTAGTAAATATGATCTCTTAGTCAGCCTATTTTCACTTTCACAATCGTAAATATTTCGTCGTCCATCACACATGGTTTTGATCATAAGGTATGATCTGTCCACGGGGGTAGAAGATTGTCCATGTTTTTGGTGTGCAGCTTTGTGGGTCTCTTGATCTTCCCGAGCGGAGTTTGTCTTAGATAACGGAGATTCCTAACATTGCTATGATTGCATCTTCACTAGACCCTTACTAATTTTACAATACCTCGTTACCGTTAATAAGAGGATAGTTTAGAGACAGATACTTACATAGACATCATGTTTTTCATGCCCTTAAAAACTTCATGTGGCAGGTAGTCAATATTGTTTTCGTAAACAGCCCTAGAACAACATAGAGGGCACATCATTATTATCAGAAATGTAGAAAAATTTAGAGGTAAGCACGTATTTACATAAACTTCCTTCTTATCTTCATTGATTCTTAAATGCCCTCTGCCTACGATATCTTCAAAGCTATCCGATATTGAAAACATAATAAAAAGGTGAAAAAAAAAAAACTCACAGCCAGGGATGCGTAAAAGTTACACTGATATGCAGTTTGCGGTTACCTCGCTGAAAATGGCATAACTTAGCGCATGCTTATATTTGGACTTCTATAAAAAGTATTGTTTCACTGATCTGTTAATTTTTTTCGGGGGTGAGGGAGAGAATTGCTACATCTCTAATTCTCTTCTTTTCCTGTCTTTTTCTGGAGAAATCCGAGGTGGCAGTTGCTATCTTGGATGGATGACAAAGCATCTTTTTCAGAATTCTGCTTGGGTTTCTGAGGTTCATCAAATCAAAGTACACTAGCTTCAAAATTTAGCGAAACTTTGGGCAAAAGTGGTGGGAGGAGGAAAGAAAGGTCTATTCGCCCTACTGAGTTGGTTAAGTACATATTTGGTCAAGAATAGTTACTTGTGCAGTCAGATATGATTTCCATCGAATATTTACTTACAGTTCTTCCAGTTTGGACAGGCCTTGGAACTGATCAGGAGACAGGTGTACGAGGCTGTTGTTATACAGGTATCTACACAATAAAATGCAACAGACACTCGGTATAATTACAGAGTCTTTGATGGGGGAGGTATTATTGACCTTAATGATATTTGGCAGCAGAGAAATGACTGTGAAACTTATTGATTCTTAAGTAACCTCGACTCAGCATAATCTTTTGAGGACCTCGAGACTAGTTTAGTCCCAAACCCTGTCTCATATTACAGAAACTGTTTCATCCTTAATTAAAGTCAGTCGAGTTAAACATGCTTATTATGGAAACCTCCTTCGAAAGCGTTGTACTGCTCATCAGTGTGCTCCAACACTTCCTGAAAAAACATCCCATAAATGTATTTGGACCAAAACGTTGACGCGTGCATCGTGACAAGAACAAATAAGTTCCATCGTGTTACGCCCTCGCCAAAAGGATTGTGCTGGCCACCAGGTAAACAATGGTTAAACCATGGTAACGCTACTGTGACATTTAAATGAATGATCGGACGTGCGCCCATTTACTTTTGCAACCGAGTAATTGCTCGTATTTCTAGTCGCATCACCCGGAATTCTAAGCTTTTAATTTGAACATCTCTTTTCTGGAACATCTGGAAAAGCTGCCAGAAAAATTTAACTGAAAAACTGGAATTCATAGATCCTGTGTTTTCTTTTAAATCCCAATGAACTCAATATTGACGAAATCGTTTTGAAAGCCGCTAAAGAATTTTAAAACATTTTTTTTTCATTTTTCAATAAAAATAACAATCGATCGTTAAAGTTTAATTTGGGTTAATCATCAATCATCAGCGATCATTTCTAGCATATGGTCCTTAGCAAGTCCCAAGGGGAGGGTGCTGTTAAAGTATTGTAGGGGATGTGTTTTATTATATTTTGTTCTATCACTTTAAACATTTGAACCCTGGTAATTCTTAGTTGATGGCATCTCTTTCCAAAGTGGATGTTTATTTTTAACTTTTTACTCAATTAACATCCTTAAACAGACTTTTAAGTCATAAGAAGATGCCACAGAAATAGTCCGTATCCAAGCTGATCCTTTGGTTTTAGCCAACGCTACCTTTAATTAATGCTCATTATACAAGACACGTACTGAGCCAGTTCTATCACAAACGTGAATCACTTACAATATTTTCAACTCGGAGAGATTTTTGAACCTTGGCAAGCGCTGAAGTTTGTTACTGGAGAGTAAGCTGTGAGCGATATATAAAATGAAAAAAAAGTCAGTTGAAACAGAATTTGAGATTCTTGGAAAGGTTCTTTTTCTCTCCGAATAGGCATGAAATAAAACCCAATTGGTTCTGGCAAAGCTATTTTGAAGAATTACAAAGTTCTACCCATTTTTTCTGAGTACATAAACTGTTTACTCCTGATCCTGAGAATTTAGGCAAAAGATACCATTTGCACATTAATTGTTAACATGGGCGTTTTCATATCATGACATCACTTTTCAATACTGATGCACCAAACTATAATAAGTCACTTACATCACAAATCAATCTTTGCAGAGTTCCCTGGTTACTCAGCGAAAAAATTATAGTCACAAGTCACGTGAAGCAAAAGGCTGTGTGAGACAATTGAATTTAATATTGACCTCTTTTTTTCTTTTTTTCTCAATGACCAACTCCACCAAAGTTAGTATTATATAAAGCCAGTTGAGCTTATGGAATTTATTTTGATACGCTTCACGTAAGAGTCACAAATTCTAAATTCGCGAAGCTCTGTTTTTATAATGGTCTTAATGCATTAATTTACATAAAGCTCTATGGAAAACTGTACATTATCATTCGCTTTGCTGTGAAGTTTCTACTGAATGCCACTTACAGCTTTTCCATCCGGGTAAGGTTCCCAAAAACATCCATGGGCAGACGCTGAATTTCGTTGTTTGACAAATCCCTTAGGGTATTTATTGAGGTAAAGAGTTAGCTAGCTTTTCAAGAACACAAATTTTATTTGGAAAACAGGCTAGGCCTCCCCCTTAAACGTTTCTCTTAGGTGCCGGACAGGAGCCAAACCGGATAACGAACAATAAATACCAATTTTTTTTTTTTTTAACTAAATCAGGAAAGGAAAAGTTTTTCTGGCTGTCTTTAAAAACATCAAATATTACCAAGAATCTCTAGTATGAAACAATTGGACTCAACGGACATATTTAGTATATGCTTAAAGCTGATAGACTTTTGTTTAAAACAATAATGGCAGAAAGACCTTGCTCATTAATGTGGCATCTAACGCCAAATGACACTTGATTCAGTAATTTATTCCAACTGAAGCTACATTCCAGGCGGAAATACGCGAGATTTTCAAATGATTTTAAACGTTTAGGTTTGACCTGCATTTTTTAAGTTCAAAGAAAAGTCCTACGTACAATTCTCTCAGCTTGGTATTTGTGCTAAGTATCCCTCGAGGAAAATTCTGCAACTGATTGTAGGACAAGTCCCTAACATTTGAAGAATGAGATGATAATCAGTAAGAAAACAAACAAAGGAAAAAGAGAGTCCCAGATAACAAACATTTCCAAGGGATATATTATGAAGTTCTTTCCCTACTGTGTGCAACGACTTTATTTGGAAGACATCGGGAAAGTTATCATGAGACGAATGTCAATTCAGTCATTTCAATCTTGGATAACTGTTTCGGACGAAATTCTTATCTGATAGAATTTATTCAGTTGCAGTTCATCGAGTTTTCTATCTAATCATCTCATAAATGAAAAAAGATACCTATTTTTAAGTGAAATGTATTGGCTTAAACTTGTGAATAGATCTTCACGTATGTGTCTATCTCTTGCTTCCGCCCTGTAATTTCTAATTTAAAGAATTCCTTTGAGAAAAATAATAAAATTTTTCGGTCCAATTTTTCTTCGCTTTTACTTTTGGTAAACAAATCCGCCTCATTCGATAATTCAACATAATTATGATACGGGTGGGTGTTGTGCAAGTTTCGTAGAACTATTTTCCGTGTTCCGCGAGGGCGAAGAAAATGCAAGCAATTAGCGAAATGTTCGATCGTATTATGTGTTAAACATCGAATAAGGGATTTACCATTCCACTATTGTTTCAATTTCTAGTATTTTGGTTTTCAGATTTTAATATACATCCTTCGGCCTCATCTGAGCTTGGTATCGGTCGCATAAGGCCTGAGCGTTAGACAAATACAAAACGAGAGAAATCGTCAAAGTGTTACAGTGAACAAATTACAAATTCTGGAGCGCTTAAAAAGTCAAGGTGTGGTCGTTCAGTGTGGCCATTTTTTTACTCCGCTTTCCGTCTGTATTTTCCCTGTGTAACACTTGACACATTTCGAGTGTTCCGTTGCCCTGATATGGGCGGCGCAATTGTGCAGTAATAATAATGATCACTTTAAGGGCCATTGCACTTCTTTTCAGGCAGTTGCTCGGGTGAATTCAGTTGGCTATAATTCGACGTTATTTTGCTGATACTTAGCTAACTTTGGAAAGTTATTAAAGTCCGTTAATGACGTCAACATGACACGCACAATGTCACATGACCCACAACAAAAAAAGGCTTTGAAACTGCTGCGCATCTTGTGCTTCCTTTTCGTACTTGCAGCATCTGTAACGTCTTGTTGAACAGATGCACAACGAAATGGAATCCATTTTTTAATGAGAAAGAGGAAAGAGGAAAGAGGAAAGAGGAAAGAGGTAAAAATCGGAGGCTCAGAAATGTTTTTTCTTTTTTTTTTTTTTTTTTTAGCTCGCGAGGATTTAGTCCCCCCCCCTCCTCCCTCCCCACCACCCCATGAAACCCGTAATCAGTCCATTGACCCGGTAAAACGTTCGACTGATAAGCAACTCTGCAATGGAGTATAATCATTTCCCTCATTGACATTTTTGAAATACAAGTTACCAATTTCATATAAATTTGAACAGTCTTACTTTGAACTACTCATACACAACGGCACAACGGATCAAATTCAATGATCGAAGAGTTTACTACTGGCTCAATTAAGAACGAAAGGTTTTAAACCATGTTTTGAACGACTTGAAAGCAATAATCTCATGCAAACGCAATGCATTAGAAAGAATTGTTATCATTGACTAACATTTTCGGAAAGAAATATCGCAAAATTTTTACTTACAGTTCCTCCAAGGCGAACAATCCTTGAAGAATTTTTGGAGGCAGATTCTCCAGCCGATTGCCACTCAAACGCCTAAACCAGGAAATTCATTCATCAGAGAACGAGATCAAATCTGATGTAATCGGTTTTAATCTAAAAAAGTATTTTTTGCCCCACCCTTCTACCGCCTTTCTATTTAAGAACGATTCAAAATTCAGTACTGCATGCTCTCCTAAACGGGATCGGAAATTTCACATCAAGGTGTGAACTCTACTACAACTTTGAACGGCTTCTCTTTCATCAACCGCAAAACTCTAGCTTTCACGTAAGTCTTTCCATCGTAGATTTTACTTCCTGGTCTTTTCGCGTTCCTTTATCTAGGTTTAATTTCTCAGTTGTAGTTTGTACCCCTCAACACAATGTCAGGACATTTCCGAGTTGATACGACAATGTAGTCGTACTTCTGTCCAAGATATAGTTCGGAAAGCTTACGAAGGTGTGTAGACCGGCCGAGCGCAGGGATTTTTCTCATTATCTACTCGTATTTAAAATCGCCACCATTATCAACACTATCCTCATTTATGGTGTCGTTTTCTAGTTTACTTTTAACACGGAGTCTGAATTAGAGCGCAAACTTTTCCTTATATCCTTCACTTTTAGTTTGTGAATGTTATTGCAATTTCTTGTCTTTGAATACTATTATCATTTCGAACGCGTTAAAGAATGAAAGCGCAAACTATTCCCCCGAAAGAGCGCTGTTCTCTATTTGTTTATATTTCGCGGTCACCGTACGCGTCAGCATCGCTATGGTATTTAGGTAGTTTCTTTTCCAACATGGCGCCGAGAATTTAATGAGCTTCTATTCGGCTCTTGATTTTTAACTCGTTTATCTACTCATCTAATAACCAAGAGTGGTTTTTGTTAAACAACATAGCGGTTCCAAAAACCTCGTGGTCAGTCTGGTCGCACGCTCATGAAGTAACGTGCCACAGAACGCCACTCTTTCCAAACAAGCAGTAATAATTAACAGATAGAGACATTGTGTTAAACACCTTTGTTTGTCCTCTTGATCAGAACCTTTAATAGTTGAGCCTGCAGGCTACAGTGGTATCGTGCCTTTCAAATTATCGAACTATGTAACTCATTTGAGGTTTCCTCGCTGAAATGTCGCTTACTTCTTAGTGTTACTTATATGTAAATAAATTACATCATTTTTCGCCGCTAACAGGCTATTACGTCAGAGACAAATATTTTTTTAAAAGGATGCGAAATCATCAGTACTCACAAATATTTTAACTCGTCTTGCCCAATAAATAGATCTTCAGATAAGTTTTGTAAGTTGTTGTTTCCAAGCCACCTGTAAAACGCATTAGAGTTGAATACCATTATTATTTGAATAGACTTTCATTCTCTCTGCTGACCAGAACGTGCGAGATGCGTGACTATTTCCCTGAGGCTTTAACCATAAACTTGCCACTCCTGTTGGGAAGAATTACCGCACAAATATGCATAGACACATTGATTGCTTGAACAGCTCTTTTTGCTTTTGAGTTCAGCAGGCCAAGTACATCAACTTTTGTGTTTCTAATGACAAGCCCTAGGAATCCACCTCGCAGGGTTTTGTTAATCTGGCTTAACTAATTTGTTCAAGAGGATTCACACAAGTGCTTGCTGTTGGGCAAGTTTATTAGGTAGTTATTTAGTATACATTTACATGTTCACAAAAGAAAGTTCGTAATTATAAAGGGTTTGAGTTAAAGGAGGTGAGACTATGAATAAAAGGGCGATATAGGAAGAATAATCTAACTAAGTCAGCGACAGTCAACGTTATTAAGCTTCAGAGCAAAATACTTACAGATCATATAACTTGAAGCGTTTGAATGTATCAGATGGAAGTGTCTCCAGTTTGTTGAAGTCTAAGGTTCTGCATAAAAGATATAGTTATTTTCTCGACGGTCCTCAATTGTTCGGTTAGGAGCGTTTGAATCTCCTTGGATTCAGCCACAGATGAAAACAAATTAGAGACAGGCTGTTGTTGCATACGAGTGTTACATTGAAAGTTAGAAATATTTGAACACGAGCGTGCTCATTTCTCGAGACCAAAAGCGTGCAATATTAAAAACACTAATTACAGTGTTTACTGCTTTGCTAACAAAGGAGATGCAATTGTATTTCAAATTAACCAAACCATATTAGAGTTCAAGTTCACAGATGACAAATCAAAATCCAACGAAGGGTTGACTGTTTTTTCCCTCCCATCAAAAAATATTTCGATGCATTCAGCTTATCAATCACCATTCGCCAAAATTTCTTTTCCTTCCTTCAGTTTATCATGGAAATTCATCAGAACAAAAGGTCCTTATACAGAAACCAGCATATTTTTTAATAGGAAACTTTTGGAAGCAAGTATATTGTTTTTTTTGATAGAGGTTACTCCCTGTGTGTTTCGTAGCGCCCGTTATCCTCTCCAACGTACCAAAATGCTCACAACTGAGAACTGGGCCCCAATAGACCTTAGTAAACCATTTGATTATCTCTTATTTATGTTCAGACGTCTCGTTTTGTTGATGGATGTGCCTAACCAATTTTAACGAGTCGAAATCTCAAAGGTTTTTTCGGGTTGCATAACAAACCATCCAGGGTTACTCTAATTTAGTTTGATTCTTCAACAGAGTGATGAAACTCTGTAACAAATTACGAAACCAAGCGTGAAAAAAATCAATTGAATAGCGGAATGTTGTTGAGACAGTGAAAGTTATTTCAAACTTTGAATGATCAACACAATTGATATTCGTTTGTCAACATCAAACTTTATTCTTCGCAGAAAGTTTTGAACGCGTGAAAATAAATTACGGTCTGAGGCTACGCTTTTCCTGGTTGGTTTTCACTCTAAAACTTAGTACCATAAAGATATCAAGAGCCATCGACAACACTGCAGTCACTAAAGAGTATAAACAAGATGTTTATTGCTATTTGAATTTCTTTCCTACCGTCCGCCATTTTGCCGAGTATGTAAACAGGCCTGGCCGAAGGAGAGTTGGCAGATGTCAAATTTCATATAAACGCTCCGTAAAGTTGTCTCGGGGGAAGGTCTGTCTCGGGTACTGAAGACCATATAAATGGGCCTAACACACACCTATTACGGGTAATTATTGTAAATACAAGTTTCTAAAAATTTCCAGACTGCTGAATTATGCTGACTTTCTTACCATAGAACTTTCCAGAACATTTCATTGAATCACGCATTTGTCATGTAATACTACTGAAATATTTCTTATGTAGGCTTCTGGAATGTCCCAGAACACTTTGTGAAAATATACATAAGATTACATAAGACTCACTTATGTAATAGAAGCAGTTGTTGTCGTCGGAGCGACGACTGTTTTGAAAGCTATATCGAAAGAGAGCTATTGCGGAGGATTGCTCACTTCAAGGAACTTTGAAGACAGCAGTGAGATTGTGTCAGTGGTGAGCGAGGATATAAACTGTGTGGGCTTAATTAGGTTTATTAACGCTAAGCTTCGTACTGCTTTTAGGGTTCGTTCTTTGTTAAGAACATTACTCGCTGTTTAACAAAGTAGTTGAGTTTGTAAGACAGTAGCGTTTTTCTGTCGGTTAGATTTTACCGTAACAACCTTGTGAAAGAAAAGGTTTAAATATATTAAAATAAAGCATCCTTACTTCAGTGTACATTCCCATATTTCCTATATTATCAAGATTAAAAATTGGTGGTTTTATTTTTAGTCGCCGTCTTAAGGGAGGGTCTTTTTTTATTGTTGCTAGTTATTTTTAGACCTCAGATATAGTAGAATTACTAACTCAAGCGGAGAAAGATTCCTGAGCCACAAAACTTACAGGTTTTTAATTCTATATTTGCCCCACCAAGGTTTATCAGGCAGTTGATCAGAGGACAAGTTCTTTATGTTGTTGTTGTTCAGGAAACTGCAATGGTGAAAAGGAAACCGTAATAGTTGAAAAACAAATGGATTAATCTGATTTACTTTGTACTGTTATTGCAAAGCTGAAGATAACAGGACTTGTAACAAGATCAGACATGTTACTGACCACTTTATTGAATAATAGTTATAAGTGCTAATGATAAGATGAGGCAGGTATTAAGGAGTAGACGATTAGAAGGAAAACTGTGTGACTTTTCTCCTGGCTGAAAGAGTCAATATGAAATCTACGCAAAATTAACAAAAGAGGTTTTAGCCAGCAAAGTAAGAGAGGAAGAAAGGAGAAAGGAATTCATTATAAACCTTTTGGCAATTCTTTCTTTCTGGATGTTACAAGTGTCTAACATGCTGACGAAAGAATTCCTTATCATAAGAGTTTTGATTAATACTATTTTTTTAATTGGATATCTGATGCAGACAATACCATCTGCAGATCTAAATTCACTTTACTTCTTCTAGCATATTCACTTCTTTTTTTAATTTGCCCTTTTATCTTCTTAATTATTTGCCACTTTATATCCGCGTGGAAACGGAATTTTTTTTACAGGTTGCTAGTCAGGTAGAACGACAGATTAATGAGAGCAAAAGTTTATGTGAACTGGACTAGTTTGCGTTAAAAAAATAATTTTGCCCGTCATAAGTATCCAGAAAAAGTTTGGTATGGCTGAGATATTAGATTGCTAATTGTTTTGAAACCTTGGTGATTCAACTGAGAAAAGATCGCCATTCAGGTATCCATCGACCAGAAGATGACAAAATTAATTCGAGTTGAAGACTTATGTGAAATAGAAAGGATCAACCTCATACAATCATTAGGTGTGTCTTATATCGCTATATCTTATATCGTCTCATCAAATATACTTAAGTGGCAACAAGTTATCTTTTTGTTTGATTGTTTTTTTTTTTTTTTGGGTGTTGTTGTTGTTACTTACTACATTTTAAGAACAAATGTAAAAGAAATATCGATCTTGATGTCGGTAAACAAGTTGAAAAATCTAAACCTTGATCAATATCGATTTTAGCGAGAGATTATGATAATAATCTCTTGCTTTTAGCCAATCATACCCTTCCGTTTAGTTATATACAGTCCTTTTGACACCTTGCCATATGATAAACAGTTATTTTCACACACATCATCACAAGATTCAGTCAAGGAGAGTAAAACAAACAGTAGCCCTATATCAGTTGTAGCAAAAGTGCTTTATAGCTACTTACAGTTCTTCAAGTTGAAACATTACATAGAAAGCTTTTGGAGGCAGCTGTTCCAGTTCATTATAGGACAAGTCACTAAAAAAGAGAGAAAATGAAGTAAACCCAGTGACAAGAAATCAGGGATATGTGACTCTAAGCCTGAAATCAACATTGGCAAGTAAATATTCTTGGGTTCAAGAAACTTTAAAGTTGCATTTCTACATATGACCACCTCCAACCCACTGGATCTTGTAATGCTGATAAATAACAAAGGCTGAGTAGAAGCTTCATTTGCTCTCTTGATAGAAATCATGTAGTTTTCCCATCAATGCAAAATTATTTTGATTATATTCATGGAGGAGTGGTGAATCTTCAAGACCAATGAGCAAGCTTGTTATTGAGTTTAAATAGGCATGGTCCAAAATTGATAAAAAGAGCTAACATCAACATAACACATTTTCTGCAGACTTATTTCTTTGACTGACTTGCTATTGCCCCCAAAGCAGTAAAAACAACCAGTTATTGCATTTGTTCACAATAACAGCAATGTTTATTGAAAGGAGAAGAATAACTAAGTATGGTGGCATGTTGAAATGAAAGAACTGATGAAGCTCGTGCCCTGTCATTTCGGTGCCTGATGCAAGGCTTTTTATTCTCGAAAAAAAGGGTGGTATTCGCTAGCTTCCAGTCACTGAAACAAAGGGTGCAACAAGAATTGAAAGCAACTTAGGTTAGAGCTGAAACTCTACATTTTTGACCAATTCTGTCCATGACTTACTCACATCACGAAAATCCTACTCCAGAACTTAAAGGCATTTGTTACTGGATTTTTGCAGGCATTTTTGAATTAATGACAAGTTGAAAAGAACTCAGATCATAGAATTTTTTTACAACTGCAGGAACCAAGCTCAGCCCACAAAAAGTGAAATGCAAGAAAGTGATGCTCAAAAACTAAGGAACAAAATATTGTCAAATAATTCAATTTGACTGGAATTGATGCATCACAATCATGTCTAATGAAGACATCAAGTGTGCTAAAAAAAAAATTAAAAAAAAAAGACTCTCTGGTCACGAGATAAGTTACAATTGGGCCATATCGCTAATGTATTATCTAATGACAGAAGTTAATTCAAAATAATAATAATAATAATAATTTTAAAAAAAACAGAGAAAAATTTAAGAAAAAATTTGCAATTTGAAAGACAAGCAAACAAAAAAAGAAACAAGCCTAGTTGAATGACTTATGGTGATTGCACTTTCTACAATAATCCCATTTCCCCACCGTTTTCCAAGGTTTTCTTTACATCAATCTTCAACATATTATTGCCATACATGATTATCATATGTTTGAAAGGGAGTAGGTGAGCACAGGTAGCCACACATCACTATGACTCATTGCAAAGGTAAATCTCTTCTTCGCAAAAATATGAATGAGTACCTTCATTAAAAAGGTTGCAGAAATCCTTGTACTATTGTTATAGCCCAACAATCCATTTTTTTTGTCAGAGATTGTACTATATACAAGTTAACTTTTTATGGCATAAGCTTTCCAGCCTCTCCCGGCTTGAAAGGTCATTCAATACACATGGTACTGTGTGCTTTACTATCCATTCACTCCTACACCAGAGAGGTGACTCTAGATCTTTCACTAGTCCCAGTAAATTAGTTGTAGAAAGTCAGAACAATGCTATATGTTTTGGAAATGTTGTACTTGGTCTGAACATTGCCGCTTGAATAACAAATCAAAGTCAACAGCAACCTACACTCCAACTCAACAAAGGTTCTCCTTGAACATATTTTCAAAGAACTAAACCTGTGATGGCTACACCACATATTACATTGGATGTAATGATATATTCTGAAGACATTTCGTTGTCACACTGGTGTGTGGGAATCACCCAGTAATCAAATACAGTATGATGTAATAAAGTAACTTTCAGCCGAAGCTGGGCTATTTTTAACGCCTTAACCCACGAAACTCAGCTGAGGCGCCGCTGCACATTACTTACAGAGAGTCGCTCTCTAATTCGAATACTAAAGCACACTCTTCAAAACCTCGTAATCTCTGATACAAAACTCATGTAAGAAACACCGTTCAGTCCTTCTCTTACAATGATCTGGGTTGCGTTTCTATTAGCCAATCGGTCAAGCTTTGTTGATTTTGGTACTGGTACACTGGGATCATCTAGGTATCTCTTATACTTCCTAATGTGGTATCGTTATTTTATAAAAATGAGGGTAAAACATGATTTGTAATCGCATTCAAAATTATGATTGGCTTGTGTTATTTCTCACCTTTGCCATGCACACAGCTCCAGAGGGTTTTGAGTCTTTGTTTCCTCGACAACTTTCGGCCACAAATCGTGCATTTGTAGTACGATCGATTCTTGTCGATTATTTCTACATAGAGTGAGCTCACATCATTATTTATATCATCGTCAGAACATAGATCCAAGGTTTCCATCGTCCGAATGCAAAGAACCGGTCAGAGTAGTCATAACAAACTTGAGCACTTCTCTTGAGACTGCAATCGGGCAAGCCAGCGGATTCTCTTTGCTAGCCTATGACAATTCCCGAAAGATCCACATGATCATGCCCGTGGTCGGTAACAAAGAAAACTCCATTTGGCGCTCATCTTTGAAAGTACTTTTCAACGGTTGATCGCTTGTGGGTCAAATTAATTCATTCTCAACTGTTTTGCTTAATATAGCAATTCTAAAGATAGGTTTTATTGTGGTTCAATGGGAAAACGAGAATAGCGTGAGTGTTGTAAACGAAGAGAAAATCGTTGGCGCCGTGGAGTTAAAAGAATGGACAACAGTTGACATATCGACTGGTACAAACAAGGGTCGCGTGGCCATTTATGAAGCTACGATTTTGAAAGTTTGTGGTGAGTAAAAATTGCGATATTCGTTACGTGATCAGAATCTTACCAAAGAATAGATATAATGGCTAGAATTAAACTTACATAACGCTCGGCGCAACTGAAACTCGAATAATTCTGAGAATCGAATCGGTCACTTGTATGCCGCAGTTACTCTTAACAATGAAATAAATCATCTGAAAGGTTTCAAGATTACTTTAGTCACGTTTAGAAACATTCTAGATTCGTAATACAAACTGTGATTAAACAAACCTTTGTACATAAAGGAGCCTTCCTTGATAAAAACAAAATAGTTTATTCAGCCCTTTTTTAGTAAAATCTATGGAAGAGATGTACTAACTCCAATATGGAAGTCATTCAATACAACAGAAATTTCCCAATCGCGGTGCACTTTGTTAAATTAGGATTCCAATGCAAGCCCTTTTCCTTACAGCTATCTAAGGCCTTGTCTGAGCTCATAATACATATAGATATATTTTTTTTCAAATTCAGATGTCATGGAATCCAGATACAAAATAGACAGGCTTCTTGTAGACAACCTCATTCGAGGCCAACAGAGAAAGCTGCGAGCCATGAAAAAGAGACAAACAGCAGCTAAGTCGGCAGTTTAGGATAATTTCATTCTAATTTATTGTTACAGTTACAGAAAGATTTTACTTCAAAAATCAATTTTATATAACTGAAATTAACCCCTTCACTCCCAAGAGTGCTTAGTCAAAATTGAGAAGAAATCTTTGAATTTCAATGTGCAGAATCAACAAAAACAAACAGTAAAACACGAAAGTGCTGCTTGACAGCTGATATTTAAATGTTCACACACAAGAGCTTTAACTAAATAAATTACAACCACATAAAATCAAGTTAAAGCCTGACTCTGGGAGCAAAAGGGTTAAATACCTTTTGTATTATCATCCAAAATTAGATGATTCATTAAAAGACTATTTTTTGACTGATAGTATTTATTGCAATATATATAATTCAAGTTATTGTATTTTATGGAAAAGAATCAACAGATTTTGTTCACAATTTGTATCAAACCAAATTTAATGATTGATTAGAACCATTTTATATGAATAGCTGTAATTGAGGATAATTCTTTTGTAGTTTTCAAGAAAAGAAAAAGAAATCAAATTCCATTCTAATATTAAAAGTTGATGTTAATATACACTCACAAATATTTTTCACGTAAACCTGAGTTAAGAATGTAAATAAATTTCGTTGAATACTTGAATTTTTAGTCTGGATTTTTGAATTTTTTAGTCCGGATTTTTGAATTTTTAGTGCGGATTTTTGAATTTTTAGCATTTATTTCATGTCAGTTGCCTTACATTTTTGCTTAAAATTCCTAGCAGTTCTCAAACATTCCTAGAAGTTTCTGACAAGTTTTCAGATTTACAGCCTTTCAGGGAAAGTCATTGGTGCTCTGAGTTGGAATTCCAAGGAATTCCAAATCCTGTTGGCTATTAACTTGGAATTTCTGGGAATTTCTAGGGTTTTAGAACCAGAGTTGTTACGGTTGGGAATTCCTAGGAATTTCCAGTTCGCATTTACCATAAAAATTCACACCTTATTCCTAGGAATTCCTAGGAATTCCAAAATCCATTTCACAAAGAAAACACAATAAGGATTTGAAGAAACAGAATTCTATTCCCCTTATGCATCTGGTGTTATTCAATAATCCTTTAAAAAATCATTGTGGCCTTTTTGTTTTAGGAACTGATGCATCCTCATGAACATCATTGTGTATTCAACAGGAGTTTGATTTATGTGTAGTTGAAACCTTTATTTTGAAACCAGCTCAATTGTATGCCATTATTTGCTATGGAAAATGACTGATTAATAAAGAGTTAATCAATTTCATTGACCAGGAACAGTCTTGGTAGCCATTGATTCTTTTCATCATTTGTAACTGTTAACATGCTTTCATTTGTAAGGGCTTTAAGATGGAATTGTTTGTGCTGTTCTCAATAAGTATTTCAAAAATTAGGCTTTCCTCAAAGTGTCGGGGTGTAGCAGTCAAATCATGGAACAAAATTCTTAATGTAGTCAACAAGAATCATTAACATGAGCACAGTGTTAGAATGCACACTGCTTTCTTTCCTTTTGTTAACTCATTTACTCCCTGAGAGATTGATATGTGACTTCTCCATACAATTTCAAACTGTTCACAGAAGCTCACAGGAAATGGAAATGCGACAGATGAGAATTCCAGCAGGAATACTGATATACCACCAAAATTAATAAATGAAAAATGTGGTGAGGAGAATATTTAACAGTGTATATCATTAGTAGTTTGTGAATGTGTTAGCAAGGGGGTTCAGTTTGAGATGAGACATCGACAAGAAAGGAAGTACAGTATCACAATAATTTGCTTTGATAAGCGTTCCTGAAGTGTGTGTGCTAATCCATTCAAAATGTACATGTATCTACACTGACAAGAGAGGTTCTCTTGACTCTGTACATGTGTGTGGCTCCCAACAACTTCCACAGCTTTTCTTGGGTGATGTATATGGAATATATTCAAAAGATTGGTGTTGAGGTGGACACCATTTTTAAAGGAAAACTTTTGACCCCTCTCTTTATCGTCTGCCAAAGGATTACAACATTGTGACAAGTAGGCTGTCACAATGCCACTCTTGAAACCGTCGGAAATTAGAGTAATCTAGAATTATCGACCAAGTTAATTACGCAAATGAGCCACCAGAAAGAATTTCAAAGCTAACGTTCCGTGCAAATGTAAAGGCATTGTCAGTAAATGAATAGCTAATAAGTGCGTAAAATTTGTAGAACTTCAATTAACATTATATGTGACAAACTCTTGTATTGAGATGAATTGATTTAATAAACATATCGAAAAATTATCTTTCTTGGTATATCGATCGGTGAGTTCACCTGAATGATGGTCGAGTTATAGCGAAGCTGCACGTTTGGTGCCAACATTTTACTCAGTAATTGATTGTATTCTCAGATGTATTACGTCGCAGAGTTAACGTAAATAAATGCTGATACGATGTAGGTGGTTTAAAATAATTTCAGCTCTAGTCTTAAATAGTGAAACAACTTTCAAAGAGGTGTAACGATTCTAGTAGCAAGACTAAGGGCAGATCCGGATGACAAAAAGCGACAGACATAGAAGGACTTTTATCGCCAGCCACAAACTTTTTTTCCTTCCCGATTGTGTATTTTTCAGTAGCCCGAAGTTGAATTCTGCGTGAGACTTTTTCAGTCGTGTGGACGTTACAGTTGTAAATAAACATTTAATTATAATTAGGTTGGGTGGTACTTACAGTCTGAGGAGAAGCCGAGACGCTTTGAAAACTCCTGAGGGTAAGTCCTTTAACTGATTATGGGATAAGTCCCTGTGAACAAGAAATCATCACATCAAATTATTAGAAATATGCTATTAGATAAAGCTTATAAATTCATATGACTCCTACCGAAAGAAGATCTCGTTTTATTATGTTTCAAGTGCCCCTAGAATAAGCCACCGCCTCACTCCCACCTCCTTCCTTGCTTTTTCAGATACGAGAAAACCTGTTTCTATTGCCACTTTATCTATAACTCTTTAACCTTAAACTTTAGCTTCATCAGTACAGGTTAATAGTTTCTTAATAAGCGCCCTCCTTCCAATAGGTTCCCCTCCTTTCAGTCGAAATTTGAAATAAGCGCTCGGGCAATTATTCGAGGAAATGCTTTGAATAGAGTTGGCGAATTAGGTTTGATGGAAGGGATTCCTTATTGAAAATCAATAGGAACTCGCGCTACAACTGGTCAAGATAAAGTTCTTTGAAACAAATATTGCCTTTTCAGGAGCCCATTACACTAGGCTCCTGACATTTTCAAATAATTCAAGACTTCTCTGAACTGAATTTGTGGATTAACACACTCCCCTCACCCACGACTGTTCTACCTAGCTGCGCAAATAAGTAATTTGACACCGCATTAGGGGTCCTCTTCAATTTCACAAGCCGCCTCCTCCTCCTCCGTTAGAAGTTTTATTTCCGCCACTTTCGATATTGCGGTTACAAACCCATCAATATAGCTTTTATTTTGTACAAAGAAAAAATGTATCAAATAATGGTAATGGTAATTGGTAATGACAATGTATCAAATAATGGTAATGGTAATGGTAATGCTTACCAAAGATTAAATAATAAGTTTTTAGATAAACTGAAACTTTTCAGACTTTGGTCTATTGATCTGTGTTTATTCTCTGGTACGTGGGTTGTTATGTTTATATGTAGATAAATATACCCAACGTGCAAAACTGATTCTGATGGGTCCTAGCGAGTTCAATATATCACCATAGTGCGACATTTTACCTACACTGACTTTCTTTACCATTCAAAACTACACATAGGTAACTCTTAGTGAATTAATCACCGATGGAAGTGAATAATACTTTCTGTAAGATTACTGACTGTCTTTGAAGAAAACATCAGCATGATGATCGTGTTTCAAAAATTTCTTGGAAGCCTTTTAAATTACCTTTATCTTAACGCAAATAAAAACGTTTCGGTGAAGCCTCTCTCCTAAGTTTGCAGTTTGCATTCGTTAGATGTTTGAAATAAATAAAAATTTTATTCACCAGCATAAGTCGGTGCGTAGTATATGTAATATATCAATTAACGATTATGTTCACTAAAACGGAAATTCTTTCGTCAAGTTTTCCAACCAAGTAAACTAGATAAATTACCGAGTCACGCGAGGATGAATGCGCCCGAAACCAAGTGAACTGCCCAGAGCATAGAAAGGCTACAATTACACGCATCCAAACCGCAGTACTGGTAATATGACCGCGTGTTGAAGAAGTGAGAATAATTCCCAAGGTTTTGACGCATATCTTTTCACGCATTTTGTTTTTCATCGACACCGGTAATTTGCTTTAAAGCGTAGCTTTGAGAGAGCAATTTTGACAAGATTTTCATGCGGCGTAACTGAGCTCTGATAACGACTGCTCCTGGGGACAAAAAAAACTACAAAAAGTCTTACTGACTTTTACTCACCTGGTTTCCTGATCTTTGCCTTCCCTACCCACCCCCGATACAACTTTGAGTCTGATTATGAGGCCAGCTCTTAGTCCTCGTTTGGCGAGTGGTAGGGTTTGTAAGGAGGGGCTGGGAGAGGGGGGGGGGGTGTACAATTAGAAGGAGTTTTATCGCTGCCACCAACTTTTTTTTCTCTACCGATTATATATTTTTCATTTGCAAGTAGTTAATTTGGCGTGAGAATTTTTTTTGATTGTGAGGTGATGTTACATTTGTAAATAAAGATTTATGTTGGTTGGTACTTACAGTCTTCTGAGCCTCAAAAGCTTTCCGAAGACTTCTGAGGGTAAGTCCTTTAACTGATTATGAGATAAGTCCCTGTGAACAAGAATAAAATCATCACATCAAATATTAAAAATGCACTGTTATATAAAGCTTATAACTTCATATGACTCCTACCGAAAGAAAGCCTCGTTTTGTTACGTTTCAAGCGCCCCTCGAATAAGCCACCGCCCCCTCCTCCCTCGCTTTTTCAGATACGAGAAAACCTGTTTCTATTGTCACTTTATCTATAATTCTTAAACCTTCAACTACGGCTTAATCAGTACAGGTTATTATTTCTTTACAAGCGTCCCCCTTGATTAAGCGGCTTCCTTAAATTTAAAACAGGCGCCCGGGCAATTATTTAAGGAAATACGATGAATAAAATTGGCGAGATGGTCAAGATAAAATTCTCTGATGCAAATATTACATTTTGAAATAATTCAAGACTTTTCTGATTTTGAGGTCATCGTCCAGGATGTGAACGAGCCAGTTTTCGCTTATCCCCCTTCCCCTTCCCCTCCCACCCTCACCCACGACTGTTCTACATAGAGACGCAAATAAGTAATTTGACACTGTATTAGGGGTCATCTTCAATTTCACAAGCCACCTCCTCCGTTAGAAATTTTATTTCCCCCACTTTCGATATTGTAATTACAAACTCATCGATTTAGCTCTTGTATTCTACAAAGGTTACCAAAGATTAAAAGAAGAATTTTTAGATAAACTGAAGCTTTTCAGACTTTGGTCTATTGATCTGTGTTTATTCTCTGGTACGTGGGTTATTATGTTTATCTATAGATAAATATACCCAACGTGAAAAACTGATTCTTATAGATCCTAGCGAGTTCAGTATATCGCCATAGGGCGACATATCCGCGCAGTCTGCGTCGTAAAGAATTTTGTCAACGAGGAGGGAAGAATATTTTTTTGCTATTGTGCTTACAGAAATAACCAAGGAGTTCCTTATGGCAGTTTTCAACAAAAACGAACGATTCCAGAATTATGAGATTGATCCTTTTAAAAAACTGAATCCAAACTGTAATGTTTAATTTCAATTTCCTTAGCGCGACAAAGTGACTTAAAAACGACAAACAATACGAGAAGTTGGTACAAAAACTGTCCCGTTGTGAATTTGATGAGAGAAATAGGACAAAAGAAACATCTCCAAACTCTTAAAAGAAAACTGCGGTAATACTTAGGTAATTTGAACCACCTGCTAGCCCGGAACCGAGTATTTAGTTATTCACAAACACCACATCATGTGGCCACGAACACTCGAGCAGGTTGTACGAGGCAAATCGTCGTCATTTTTCTGGCATCTCAGAAATGCACCAATTGTTTGGCATCAGTGGTTTTTGCCAGGACTACACTCACCCGGACGTTCAAACTACACTATTACTTGAGATTTATTGTTGCATGAGAGTACATTTTGCGCGAATTCCATAGAAAAACGCGATAAAATACATATCTAGGTAGTGACGTAATTGCAACCGTAACAAATACTCACTATGTGTATTTGCTGCGGTGGAAAATACGTACCTTTGCGAAACAAATACCCACTCTCCGTATTTGCTACTGTAGCAAATACTCACCCTCCGAATTTGCTACCGTAGCAGATACTAGCCTGCGTATAAACGCAGCATTAAATCCCCTGACTTTCTTTGTCATTTAAAACTAAACAGAGATAAATCTACGGGTATTAATCGCCGATGGAAGTGTATAATACTCTCCTCAAGATCAATGATTGTTTTTAAAGAAAACATCGCCATGATAGTCATGTTTCAAAGATTGCTTGGAAGCCCTTTAAATTACCTTTATCTTTACACAATAAAACTGTGTTGGTGAGGCCTCTCTCTTTAATTTGCATCACCTCTTTTTTTTCTATACTATCTACTCGCCAAATTTTTTTTCAGTTTATGGCTGGGAGGATCTTGCCGTAAATACAGTCCTAAATCATTCGGGCTCTTTCAGCAAGCATTTGTTTAACTCTTTGAAAAAAATGTTATTCATCCACCTTGGTCGGTCCGTATTATATGCATTACATGAATTAACAATTATGTCTAGTAAACTGAACGAATTACCAAGTCATCTAATGATTAATCAGCCTGATCTTTGCCTTCTCTACCCACCCCTGACACAAGGTTGAGTTTGATTCTGAGGCCGGCTTCTAGTCCTAGCAAGGTGGGTGGTGGGGTTTTGAGGAGGGGGGAGGTAAAAAATTTGATGGTATTTTTTTGCTCGTCCTTTTTTCTTTCTCAACTGATTATACTTTTTTTCATCTGTTAGTTGTGGAATTCTACGTTAAACTGTTTCGGGCCCTCGACTCACTCGTGTGGATGTTACATTGATGAATAAAGATTATGTTGGTCAGTACTTACATTATGTTGAGATATTGAAGGACGCTGAAAACTCCTGGGGGTAAGTCCTGAAACTGATTACGGGATAAGTCCCTGTCAACAAGAAATAATCACAACAGATAGTTAGATATGCGCTTTTAGATGAAGTTTAAAACTCCACATGACTCCTACCGAGAGAAAGTCTTGTTTTATTGCATTTTAAGCCCCCCCCTTGAAATAAGCCCTCCCCCAATTCCTCCTTCACACTTTCTTAGCTACAAAGAAAACCTGTTTCTTTCCCACTTTATCTATAATTTTATAAGTTTCAACTTCAGCCGAACCAGTACAGGTTAATAGTTTGATACATGAAGCGCCCTCCTTGATTAATGCCCTCCTTCCAAGAAGCGCCCTTATTGATTAAGCGCCCTCCTTCCAAGAGGCGCCCTCCTTGATTAAGCGCCCTCCTTCCAAGAGGCGCCCTCCTTGATTAAGCGCCCTCCTTCCAAGAAGCGCTCTCCTTGATTAAGCGCCCTCCTTCCAAGAAGCGCCCCTCCTTTCAGCCGAAATTTTAGAATGGCCCTCCGGTGCTTATTCGAGGAAATACGTTAACTGAAATTGCTTGATTAGGTTTGACGGAAGGTTATTTTTATTAAAAATCAAATGGGACTCGCGATGGAAATGGTCAAAATAAAATTCTGTGATGGCAATAATACAGTTGCAAATAATTCAAGACTTTGCTGATCCTAGCAGTAGGCAGGCCGCGTGTCATATGAACTTCGTAATAGACCTCGTTCACCGTGTCCCACGCTCGTGACAAGACGAAAAACTATCTTTTTTCATTTCTTTACTGTGCTTAAAAACTTACCATCTCTCTTATTCTATTTACAAACATGACGCTATCGACATTGCTAATCCTAACAGTATGCAGGCCGCGTGTCATATGAACTTCGTAATAGACCCGTTTACCGTAGAGTCTCTGTGGCTAAGTGGTAGAGCAGTGGACCGGGAAATCCGAAGGTCTGAGGTTCGATTCCTCGTGGGGACTCAGAATTTTTTCTTTGTTCCACACTCGTGACAAAATGAAAAAATATCTTTCTCCAATCCAAGACTTCTCTGAATTTTTGGATCATTACAGATTTTTATATTATCTTACAGCCTGTTTTCACTTATCCCTTCCCCCCTTCAACCACGACTCTTTTACGTATTGTACCTGCGCAATTAAGTCTTTCGACATTGTCAGGGGTCATTTTCATTTCACAAGCCACTCCCTCCGCCATGAGAAATTTTATCGCCGCCACTTTTGGTAATGTGGTTACAATCATATATAAATAGTTTTCAATTCGCACAATGAAAATAAGGCAATTAACATTATCTGTAGCGTACAAAAGTCTAAGTAATGAATTTCTAGATAAACAGAAAGTTTTCAGACACAATTCTACTGATCTCTCTGCACTCGCTTGTATTTTTATCTATAAATAATTACACCCATCGTGGAAAACTGATTCTGATTGGTCTTAGCGATTTTGTTAAATCACCGTAAATTACTCAAACAAGTTTACCATTATAGTGAAACTTACACATACAATCTGCATCGGAAAGACCCCTGCAGCCGATTTCTATTAACTCAGTAAGATCTTTGCCACGAATGCGCCTTTTAAACACGTAAAGTGTTTTGGCTGATCTGTCATCTGATGACAGCTTCGCCCATAATTTAGGTCCTAAGTGTCGCAGTGAGTACCTACCGTAAGTTACAGAGTTATACCTAGGAGTGGAGAAATCAGATTGCCTCAGATTATACTTGGAGCTATGTTCTTTAAAAATATTGCAAATATTACTTGGGCATAGTTTATATTTAACTTTATACATAAGAATACAAATGTCCTGCAAACGTCTGTTCATCAAATTTGGCAGCTTGGCCCTTTCCAATAATTGAAGATAACTAGCTTGCTTTTCATTGTACACCACTCTCAAGCCTCTTTCTTGTAGCCGTTCAAGCTTGCGCGAATAACTAGCTCTACAAAAGTGCCACATTAGATGGCATTATGTAAGGTGAGGTAACACAGCTGCCTTGTACAGTTGGAGTTTGGCCTCAATAGGGATTAGATTTCTTAGTCGCATGAGGACAGCAATTCTTTGACTGGCCTTCTTGCACGCTGAGTTTACATGTTCAGAATATTTTAATCTGGAATCTATTGTTACCCCTAAAAGTTTGACAGTTTCGTCTTAATTTCTTCATTATTTATGCAGCTCCCTCCACTTGCTCTTTCAGAGCCAGTTGTTTCCGTTCGGTAGCCGATTTTCAACGTCTGGTATTTCTTAAGGTTCCCTACCAGTAGATTGGACTTGTACCACCTCAACAAAATAAACTGTGAAATCTTTATCACTAAAATACGTTGGGATACAAATGTACATATCATAGACTACCAAATATAAAGGGAATCTCTTTTAATTTCAAACTGCCTTTATGTCATCGAAAAAGCTGTACCAAAAACAAGATAGTTTAAGTAATTAACGCCTAGTGAATGCTCTCACAAAATTTGGATCGTCGACGCACGTGTCAGGAACACATTGCAATGGTAAAAACCAACGAGTTAAAAACAGATGATTCCAGAGTTCTGAAGCTAGTCGTTGTAAAACTAAAACCAAGCTTAATGGTAAAATTTCAGTGTCCTTAGCGCGAAAAATTAAATTAAATCTGTTCAATCACAGAAAGTTTCGTGATATTTCGCCGCATTTGCAAACGGGGCCTTCTGGTTGTAAATTGGAAAATGTAAACATTTTTGGCCAAAAAATAAATCTTTTAAGAATAAAACTCCCGTTATCTATCTACATTTGAAACACGTGGTTTGTTTTTACATAAATCCTCATATGGAATTTAAAAAACGCATTGGTTTGTTCCAATGTACCGTGGTCCCACGCATCCCAGAGTTCAGTCCAGAGTTCAGTCCAGATTCCTCATTATTGGCCTTTTGAGGCCAGGATGCCAATGTTACCAAGCGTGTGAATAAATTTTCTTTCAAAGCAAAATGGTTTTTGCTGAAGTCACAAGGGAAACAGTCAAATTCGCAGAAAGGTATTTCATGGAAGAGAAAAAGGCTTAAGATTGTTAACAAAATAGAAGCTAAAAGGACAAGCAACGCCACCAGAGAACACACTACGTTGATCGGTATAGGGCTAAGATGATGTTGGCGACGAAGTGATTCCGTCGCCGACAGTGTCGGCTTTTTAGCGAGGACTGAAAAATTATGTGGTTCATGCAACTTCTTTGGATAGAATTATGCTGGATGTCCTGGGAAAAGCGGAACAATATCGCCTTGGTGTCATTTCATCAGGAACACAATTTCTGCAGTTTCTGAGGAGACGTTATGTTTGATCAACATATGCCTTTGGTAAACTCTTTGAAATTTTCGCACAATATTTTTATTAGGTCGCTAACCCACTGAGATTTATCGAGAAAATGATAGGTAATTCTCTTAAATTTACCGTGCAGTGAATTTGAAGTATCGAAGGGCACAGTGATTAGAATCAAATCGTGGCAATCGATGCCTTGTTATCTCCTCTGGGAATGGCAACGAACTCCACCTGAAAGCTAATTGCAAAACCTGTGGCTTGTTCACTATGAATAAAGATAGTTTGAGTGAGGAGCAGTTTGTGTAAAATGGTTCCAGATTAATCAATATTTTTGGAGGATTGCGAAGCTAAAGGCTCCTTCCCAAGTGTGGAGATTTAATGTGCCAAATGGCTGTGGTGCTGGAATGAGTGGTTGTCATTTCATTAGGTTCATGTACACAAGGATGAATTCTGATTGAGACTCAAAGGCTCTTTTTAGTTCAGTTTAGAGCATTTAGGATACCTGTGACACTCAATACCACTATAGAAATCTACAAAACGCTGATCAAGAATGTCACCAAAAAAGATCCTTGTGAGAGTGTCAATAACATTCCTCACTCGACATAATTATTGTGTAGCTAGGGAGCAGAATTCCATTTTTTCACAAATAATTGGAGTTTTGACTCATTGAACTTTTCTTGAAGTGCTTTTTTTACCAGGGTGACATCAAAAGTCAGCACCCAATTTTGGTCCATAATTGTGTAGTCTTATACTCCTATGTACATGTACATGTAGATATAGCCATGAACCAACCCATTTGGATGCAATTTTTGTGCTTAATTACTTGAGTTGGCAGAAGATACTTAAAAACTGTTCATTCTTTATTTTTGTTGTTAATAATGAATAAATGGATGTGGCCAACCTCACTCATAATGGTTGGTATGCAGAGTGTTCACTTGCTAAATTTCAGCTTTTTATGAATGGTTCTAATGATGATTACTGATGATGACTATTTTACTAATGACCCCTTCTTTTGATGAATTCCAATCACAGGGTCCCTTTAATATCTTTTGATGGCTCACAGTTAAACTCCATCAAGGCCTTCATTGACAGGTTTGTAAAATTCTAGTAAGTCAAGTAAGGACTTCTTCTACAGGTGAATTGCCAAAATCATTTTCATTGTTGACATCAGCTTCAACTACTGGTGATAAAACTTTACTCTGCTTGAATTCAACACCCATCACTGACATCACTGAACAAGTGTGGAATATAAATTAAGAACAGGCACCTCTTGAAATGTACACACTTGTATGGCCAAGGTCTGAACTCCATTTGGTTTGAACAAATCATTTAAATATTGACTAAGTGTTTTTTCAGTACTACAGCAGTAATTTAAGCTGTGAAAACCATCTGTAGTTTGAAATCCATTGACCTGATCAGAAAGTGACAGTGAGGCGTTACCTGTAATTTTTGGAGGCTTCAATTGTGACCAAACAGGTTTTGCTATGTAATGATTTGTTAAATAATTTTTTAATCTTTAAATACAGGTTGGTTCAACTCTCCTTACAAATGTCTGTATGATATTATCACTACCACTACTGGCAGCACACATGAGACATTGTACTGGGTACACTTTATGGTTGGATCATGGCTGTAGTTTATGGTAAAGGTATTTTAAGGTTTGTAATTGACACATCCATGCATGCTATGTCAA